ACAAACAAGTTGCTGGAAATGTGCACTGTGACAAATGCTACTTGCCCTGAACGTTTGCCACAAATTCATGGAGGAGCATAGAAGCTGGCCTCCTGCCCGCCAACTATCGGCCATATACAAAGACTCTGTTCTGGAGTTAAATCTCCCCAACCACCATTAGTAGCTTGCCCTGTGTGCCCCTGGTTCGGCACTTTCCCTTCATGCGAATGGAACTGAAAGCTGGCTCTCTGGAGGCCGTTTGCATGAACCAAACCCACAAATAGTCCCAGCGGTATTTTGGCATGAGAACTTTGTGGGTTTCCGGTCACCTCAGTCGGACTTAGCCACGAATGTTATGGAACTGTTTTAGGTATTAGGTGACCGTGCAGTTCCTGGAAGACATGGTTCACGGTTTTGAACCACTTTGAAATCCGCCAGGAGAGTGCTATTTGGAGGGGAGTGCAAGGAACAGAAGACTGCAATGGTGGTGGATGTGGCAATACCCAGTGACTATAACATCAGGAAGGTCTTACAAACACAGAGAACTACTCTCACAAGCTTTCAGAGATGTATCAGCATTTCCAAAGAAATTCCAACACTTAAGATGTTTCCCAGACTTGTCCAGATCCACTAGAATATTTAGAAGATCTTTCTATGAGACTACCACCACTATAAGAAATAACAACATAAAATATAGTTGGGGTTTCCCAGCAAGATTGGTTGTTCACTATGAGAACTCCATTATGTTTGATTCTGCCCAAAAAGCCACTTCTTGGCAGAAGTCAAAACAAATTTTTTCCTTAATGATGATAATGGCAAAATGTAAAGTCTCAATAGTTAAAACTTATTTATTGCTCTGCTTAAGTTTTTCTTTCCTCCCTACTATAAAGTATAGTTAATTTAGTATACCTATCCCCTTCTATGATAAATGCACTTCATAGAATCACTATTGATAATGGTTTCACAAATATGTACAAGTATGAATTAGACAAAATGATTAAAGTTGGCACTCTTATAAACTTGATAAAATTCGAAACAGAGTTGGTGGGATAAGATAAGGACGAGAGGGGGGTAAGAGAAGAGGGAGGGGTAGGAAGTAGACATATGATGGGAGGGATAGGGTATGGATAGGGAGTGGAGATAATGGAATAAAATAATTTAGATATTTACAATAATGGGTAAAAAATAATGAAATAAAACTCATATGGGATTTTTTTATAGTTTAATTGAAATTGCACAAAGATAGAAAGTTTGACTAAGTTTGCTAGAATGGATAGATAATGCAATATCTATTAATTAAACATTATAGTTCAAATATAATATTCACACAATTTAAATGTTGGGATATACTCACGAGTACGTTTAACTAATTTTGATATTTACTTATGCTTAATAATGGATGGATGTATATTAATATTGTAGAATAAATAGTGTAACTATTCACTAGGGGGATAGAATAAAATAGGGGAAACAAGAAGGTTGCAATTAGATAGGTGGAGAGAGAAAGACAAGAGTATTATTCTACAGCTTTGGGGCCCTCACGATTAATAACTATATCGAGGAAAGATAAAAGTAATTAAGTGTATATGTTCAAATTGGTTGAGACTAAGGACAAAGAAAGGGAAAAAAAAAAGAAAAAAATGTCATAGGGAACATTAAATTTAATTTCAAATCGTACTATATATGTGACCACGCTCATTTTAAAGAAAGGAAAGGGAAAGGAAAGAGGAAGAAAGGAGAAAGGAAAGAGGAAAAAAAGGGGGGGGGGGTTAAATATCTCCTAATATGAATAGGTAGTAAGGAAATATTTGATTTGCACATAAATTAACGAGGAGAATATAGACACGTTAAATTATCTTAAAGAAGTAAATGCACATGAAATAAAATGAAAGTCTAGAAAAAGTTTATTAAAGTAAGAAAGAAGAATCAATGCATACAAGAAAATGTTTTCTTTATACATTTTTAAAAAAAATATCTGCTTTCTGTTGCCCTTGATAGAAGACCTGACGGAAAAAGTGTCTAGCAAGGGAAAGGGGGTAAGACATACTATTTGGGACAATGACGCTCGTAAGGGTTTTACCCTTTGAGGTTTTTTTTTGTTATATGGTTGTATTTGTCTTATATGTTGAGCGGATTGTGCGTGGCCAACCTGAGGAATTATGTAGCATAGGGAGGAGTAATGTTAGAGGGGAATAAGATTAGGATTATAACTTTGAACGTTAAGGGTTTGAATACTCCACAGAAACGTAAGCTTTTAGTAGATCATTTATGGAAAAAGAAAATTACTGTCGGATTTATACAAGAAACACACTGGAAAACTGGAAACTAAAAAATGAAAAGTTTCTATTATCCAACTCTATAGCTTTAAAAACAGAGGAGTTGCAATTTTTATTTCAAAGAATGTAACTTATAAAGAACTATATAGAGAAGTGGATAAGAATAGCAGATATGTGTTCTTGATCTGTGAATTGCAGGCAAGTACATACATCAGGGCATGACAACCGTAACGGTTGTCATAGGCCCGGCGGTCCTGGGGGGCCCGGACTGCTAAGGTCGTCCGGGCCCCACATTCAGTGGGTACATACCGGGTCGCAGGGGGCCCTGCGACCCGGTATGTACCCACAGGGTCAGCCTCTTCTCCTGGGGGGCCCCAGAGGCTGGCCCTGCTGACACCCGACACCCGGCGGGCCGGCGCGCGAGGGAGCACTCTCTGTGTGCTTCCTCTTCCGCTCCCTCGCGCACCGTACTGATGCCGGAGCCGGAAGATGACGTCATCTTCCGGCTCGGCATCAGTACGCGGCACGCGAGGGAGCGGAAGAGGAAGCACACAGAGAGTGCTCCCTCGCGCGCCGGCCCGCCGGGTGTCGGGTGTCAGCAGGGCCAGCCTCTGGGGCCCCCCAGGAGAAGAGGCTGACCCTGTGGGTACATACCGGGTCGCAGGGCCCCCTGCGACCCGGTATGTACCCACTGAATGTGGGGCCCGGACGACCTTAGCAGTCCGGGCCCCCCAGGACCGCCGCGCCCATGACAACCGTTGCGGTTGTCATGCCCTGATGGCGGCCCTGATGTCCGGCACCTAGTTCCATACGCTCTGCACCATCACTGGTTATTTTCTGCTTTAATTTCATATACTTCCACCATTTGAAGACTGGACGGTTACCGGTTGAGAACAGACTCTAGCAATTGTGGACTAATTGGACTTTATATTGGCGTAACCTATATTTTGTATAAATAGTTTTCTCTATATCTTTCAGTAAGTGGTTGAGGGTCTTACTATTAGTGTTGGCTGCCTGCTATCATATATACTCAGTTGACACTCTAGCGCTTATCCTATCTGTGTGTTTTTTGTTGTGAGTAGGAGTATCTCCCAGTCCTTGCTCTCTGCCTCTCCCGCGCAACTCTGATTCAATTCCTCCTAGCACTGACCTCACGAAGGGGTACCGGTCAGCGCTGTCAATATCACAAGGGCCCAGTCGCACTATTAAAGGGCTGCAGCGCTCACCGGGCCCCTATGGAGATATTGCCATCAAGTATCCTTTACTGAATAGATCACCCCATGGGCCCCCTCAGGATGTTCCGCTGCTTCCTTAGAATACATCTTTTCAAGCACCACAGAAGACAGGTGCATGTCTGCAGAGGAGGAGGGACTACATGCCTGGCGGGGACCCAGGCAAGACCATTACATAATGGTTTACCTCATTACCAGAAAATGGGGCCAGGGCACTCCTCACACTATAACCACTACAGCGGACTAGTGGTTTTGATGCTTGGAGTAACCATTTAACCCTTCAGTAACCCTCTTGAGAGACAAGATAATTCAACTGCTGTTTGACTGAAGTTGGCTTTGGCATCCCTTCAGCCATTATGATGATGCATTAGGTCAGGGGTAGGCAAGCTTTAAGGAGCACTGTGCCGATATAGAATTGTGATGTCCCGTAGCGTGCCGGACCTTTTTTTTTTTAAATTGAGGAGTGTATGTTGCCGTATTCTGCTTGTGTTATTTTTACTGTAATTGCTTTGTATCGTTGTTTTTGTACGTATATGAGTTATTATATTGTATATGTTCAGGAGTAGTTTGTGGTGCTGTGTATGGGGGCTGCTTGTGGAATTGTGTGTGTGTGTGTGTGTGTGTGGATGGATAGGTCACATTTTGTGTTTGGTGGTGTGTGTATGTGTGGGGGCTGTTTGGGATATTGCATGTGAGAGGCTGCATGTGGGGTTGTGTGCATGTATGTGGATTATTAGTGGTGTTACGTTTGTGTGGATTGTGTGTGTTTGTGTGTGGGCTGTTCGTATTATTTGTATGAGGGGAGGGTTATTCTGCATTTCTGTTTATATCTAGCAGTGTGGGTGGCTTCCCTGGGTTCCAGTGGGGACCACGCTGGCCAGGAACAGGTCAAGGACAGGAGCTGCAACAGCAGCTGCAGGCTGCTCTACTACGGTGTGGATTCCCATTCACAAGTGCTGGGAGGAAGTGATCTGAGATCATTTCCTCTACATGCTACAATGCATAAATTGAGGATTGTCCTTCACCACCTTTTTGTATTAGCAGATATCTGAAGTTTCACCGGGACTACTGATAGGCCAGAGCCTGTTTGGCTGTAGCAGCCTTGAGTGCTGTGCAAAGACACCTTGAGTGCCGTGCATGGCACTAGTGCCGTAGGTTGCCTACCCCTGCACTAGGTCATTAACTTTTGATTCTCCAAAGTGGTAGTCCATCAGCTATTAACTATATCTCTCATCTTGCATGTACACACTTTGGGAGTTGGGAGTCTCTGGCAGCTCTCAGCACACAATGAGTGCAAATCTCGTTTTTTGGTCAAAGGACAAGCTTATAGCAGCGGGCATACAGATGGTTACTGAACCCTGCTCCAAACAGCAATTCCAAGGGAAGGAATTATGGAGGTCTGCAACAGTAGAAAAGAAGGAAAGCTTATTCATTAAGCCAGGAGCTTACAGTTGACCACAAAATCTATAATTGATGCCAAAATGGCTAGATAGAGAATTGGTCACATTCAGAGTTCTCCGGCATTGTGTGATGACTTGAAGTTAAACATAAAATACTTTGAAAATCAAATATAAGGAGGAATTGCCTCTAGTGGCTGTCAACCTGATATCTACCAGGGTATAATTTTGGCAAAATGTCTGTTAAGTGTTAAAATGTCTGAGAAAAAAAGCAACATGCATGCACCAGAACAACTGTATTAAATGGTTACTCCATGCACCGTGGCCACTTCCGTGATTTGAAGTGGTCATTGTGCCTGTAATCTGTATGTACAGCGTTTTACAATGAATTGTCTCTAGTAGCTGTTGGACTTAGCCCTGCAATGTAAATATTGCAGTTTAGAAAAAAAAACTGCAATGTTTTACACTGAAGGGTTAAAAGGACAGGGCCACAGCACCCAGGCAATTTCATTGAGATGAAATGGTCTGGGTGACCATAGTGTCCCTTTAAATGGTTACCCTGCTTTATTTTTTACTGTGGGTAATGTACAAGTGGGACTTTTATATAATAGTCATATTCCCTGCCCCCTTTCAAATCTCATCTTCACATAGGATTATCGTACATGCTATGCCTCTATCTGCTAACGCATTCATTCAATGGAAAATGTTCTGTGTCTAATGCACTTTCATCCACTCTCCGTCAATCAGAGCCCCCAGCAAAATTCTGAGCATGCTTGTTCATCAGACTGTACAGTTCTTATTCCGCAATATAATTTAACATGTAATGAGACAATCTGCAACAGATTTTGACAGGAACAATAGATTGATGAGGACTCTGCTCAAACGAGTTTACAATCTATATTTTAATATTGTAGCTGGCTTGTCTATAAATAGATACATTGTATGTATACATTGTACAAGCCGCAGCAGTGGATATCCTGTGTCCCAGCTGGTAGCCCTTGTAACAGTTGCAAGGTGTGCGTTCGGGTCCTGTGATTGGTGGACGGGGCTTATTCCCTGATTGTGCCAGGGAGGGTTTGCTGCATGTGTCCTGCTCGTGATTGGCTGCCCCCGAGCCCCCCCTCTAGCTCAGCTCACTGTTGACGTCACTGCAAGTTCTGTGCTGAATCCTAAAACAGCTCCATCCCTCTCCATTCATGAATCTCTCGTGACGTCAGAGGAGCACTGGGCTCCCTATGCAGTGGGCTGCAGGATTGTGTGGGTGGCATCTTCCCATCCTTTTCAATATCACTAAGCATTCCCCCGTACATCTTACTCTATCTCTTTTTCCTGGTGCATTCCACATCATTCCTCTTAGGGGTTTTTTTTTTTTTGTGTGTGTGTGTGTGGATATTTTCTACAGGCTAACCATGGAAAGCAGCCTCATGCAGCACTGTGAGTATCATCTGTCAGTTCAACCTCTTTGTTTTATTCCTTACAATAGAGCATAGATGTAGTGAAGGGGGGTGGGGGCTTGTTGTGACCGTGTTATGAAGGACAGATGGATTGGTAATGAAGATCCATCTGTCCCATAAGATCTCCGGGGTACAAAATGATGCTGTGGGACAAGAAACCTGATACCTCCCTTTGCAGGATGAGCCAGGCTCAGCTGCTGTATTGTAGCAATTTCTTCCCTGTCAAGCCTCCTACTAAATGAAGTGCAATTTTCCTTTGTACATCCCTACCTATCTCCAGCTGAGCAGTGGAAGACGGCAAGAACCTAGTATTTTGCAGGAGACAAAAACAAAAAAAAGACATTCCGCTTATATTCTTTGGACAGATAACACATATCTTGAGAAATTTAGAAAAATCCAGAGCTTGTCTGCGTTCTAGGTATTTGTTTCCCCGCTGTTCTATTCATAACGGTAATGCATGAATTCTTTTGGTGTACGTTCTATTTTAATCTGTGGGGTTTATTCACTAAACACTGATTTGTAGTAAACCGAAATCTGAACTACACGGCTAAAATAGCCATGCTGTGATCATTACAGATTTGGAGTATTTTTCTAAATCAGCATTTTGTGCCTAAATGTAAAATTTTTCCGATTTTTAAATCAATACAGTTTGGTGTTTAGTGAATAAGACCCTAAATATATGCATTCAATCTATATCACGCTTTCCTGTGCAGGTTAAGAATGTTGGGTTTACAGGAAAGAGGTGCAAGTGGAGTGTGTGTGTTGGGGGGTTTAAACAGTTGGATTATCAGAGAGACTTGCAATGAAATATGGATCATTACAGTTTTGGGCCTTGCAGAGATTGCACATCCACTATGGATTCGATCTGCTAGATTAGGAATTATTTATAATTGATTTTTTTGGTTAAGGAAAAAAATTGTACAGAATATTTCAGTATATTGTGGGAACCAGAATGCCTGTGGTTTTTGAACATAGTATATAAAGCAGGCCAATGTAGAATGCTATTGCTTTACGGAAAATGTAGTAGATCCATGTTATGACCTCCCAGAGGAGTTAAACACATCATGTGAATTTATTGAGTACCTGTGTGTACGTAAGGACGTTCCAGTAATTTGGAGGGTCTGATATTTTTATATGTCGTAGAAAATGGTAATGTGAGGCATTTGATTTTTATTATAGTTTTATAGATATTTCTAATAATGCATTATTTCACCCAAGTGAGTTCTGTCAATAGTACCCAGGCTTTAGATATCGCTGTGCTGGTGGGTTGTAACTCAACTGGTATAAGCACCATGAATTTGACTAAAGCAGGACTGTGCTAATAGATGTTGTGGCGTAAAAAGAGTTCATTCATACTTGCTAAAGGTTTTTAGGATGACAGTCAATATATTTTACCGTATGTTCGGTGAATTCAAGAGTTGTGGCACCTCCTCTCTCTTGGACCAGGTTAGTGAAAGCTAAGCATGTGTATGTATCTGTGTTAATTACTTGACTGCATTTCTTTGCAATTAACATAGAGTGGGTGTTTGGCATCCAGCATTGGGTAACCAATAAGCAGTTTCTATGATGCGGTTATTTTAAAAGGAAAGAACCAATAGGCAAGGGGAGATGGAATTATTAAGGAAATTAAGATAATTTCAGACCAAAAAGAACCAGCTAGGTTTCATCCCTTTAAAAGTGACTTGGCAGAATTTCCCTATTACATCCCAAAGAACACGTAGTCAGTTGCTGAATTGCTTACGGCTCTTGATGTACAAGAATTCATGGCCCAGTAAATTCTGCAGAAAATAAAATCTCTGCATATTTTTATGCCATGATGTTATGTACCAAAAAAACCCAATTTTTGCACTTGCTCCCTTCCTGTTATATAAAATATTTCTTCCGTTTCTGTAACTCTACAACAGTGCATCTCAAGATCAGTATAAATGATAGAAATGTTGGTTTTCTTAGGATTGGTCCTCCATTTATAGCTCTACCCCTCAAATGGCATGAAAAAAATTATTCTACCTCTGATTGGTCGAGAGGCCCGGAGTGGAGTTATAAATGTTGCAGATACAGTCGCGCTGATGTCAGAGCAACTGTATTGTGATGTATTTCTGCTGTGCTGGTACTCAGCCAAAGATAACTAGTCCAGGGCCTCAATCCAATAGGGCACAGCAAACTAGTGTGTGCCGATGGGCCACAGGCTTCACAATACAATGTGTATACAGTGGTATCTACCCCCTGCCATTTTACTTATCCTGTTTCTTTTAAATCTCTACTGCTCAGTCTTCCATTTAAAATGTTGTTATGCAATGAGGTTCTTCTATGCTAAATAAAAACCCTCTATTGTAAGAATAGATTTTTAAAATCTAGTGAGAATATGTTTTTATTTTAAGAAAAGGCAAAATCCCTTCTCTGGGTTTAATTCTGCTGAATTCTACAATTTAGCTTCATTGGAGTATTTCACAATAGATCCATCCACTACCTGAAACTTTTTTACTCTAATTTTACAAGAATTAACTGTTGTACTACACATTATGGCAAGATCTATTATTTAATGAAAAGCTAGATTTTGGTTGTGTGTTTTGTTATTTGTGTTTGCTTAAATGTATGAATGTTCATCATATGCAACTCAATTTGGGTACAGCCCGCCATTCAGTAGAAGTTGCCTATATGCCGTGAGCCAACATGGGAGAATGGCAGCTGCCTTTATGAGAACAAGTTGACTTGGCTTTACGTACCTGCACTGCACTCTCCACTGTAGGAACATTTTAAGACCATAATCAATGCAGCGTGCATGTTGGCACAGTGCTTGGCTCATTGACTGAAAGCGATCAGCTGGCCCAGCTTGGAAGGGTTTAACGTAGGAGAGCTAAGCCTCCTAGCAGGAGCTTCTCTGTCTCAATGAAGGAAGTTGTCAAACTGTAGGCAAATGATTATGGTGCTTCATGCTTCTTTACTTTTTCTGTGTAGCTTTCTTGGTTGAGCATAATGCCATCTCCAGAACGTGTCTTGATTGCACTTGCATACTATTCTATTTTGCTCATGGATGATTGACCCTTATTTAGAGTAGATAACATACGTGGTTAGAAAACGGTTATTTCGTACGAACTGGTGTCACAAATATTAACACATATTCAAGGTGTACAGCCAACTTTTCTATTCTGATGTAGTGTACTGATCATAACTGATAATAGCTTGCTCTCTTGAGCTTACATGCAGATGCTAAACCTATTGACATTGAGTACTGCCAGGTTCTGTTCAACTCAAGGTTTCCAGAAATAAATGAAGATAATTTCAATATTTGTAAGTTTATTTTTCTTCTACAGATGTATACACCTATTTATTGTGTTGCACCACAATTCTCCCTATGTTTAACCCATTAAGGACCCATGACTGTTTGTTATCATAACCTATGTTGTTTAAGAATCTGTTCGAAAATGAAACGATTTACTGAACGACTGCAGGCGTTTATAGCACTAACTATGCAAAACATTTCATACCGGCATAGCATTTTAAGTGGTTAAATCCCTTTTCATAGAAATAATACACACTTCACGGGTTAACATACATCTAACATAATTTGTGTTCGGTTTCTTTTTGTTCCAATTTAAAGGGGAACTGCCAATTCTCTAAAAAATTACGCTATTGGAAAAAAAAACAACGAACATCACCTATAACTTATCTTAACCTCTTTTTAAACCTACATGAAAGATTTAGAAAATGACATCACATTTCAGTACAGTCAAGGTACAGCCAAGGCACACAGTGCAAATGAGGAGAAAGAGAAAAAGTGCTTTATTTCTCCTTTTCAATGTACGCTTTCTCTTTGGGAACTGTCAGGTAGAAAAGACAGATCTTATAACAATTAGACATAACAGGTAGCTAAGATTGAGGCACCCAGTTTCAGGATACAGAGGTGTTGATTTATACATGTAATTACATTTTTTACACCTCACAAATACATATTTGTAAGAAGATTATAGAAGATATGTAACAAAGTATTCAAATTCCTGGTGACAATTCCAAAGTGACATTTTTTTTTTTATCTTACCATAATTATTTTTAATTTATAAAATGTAATCATTGTTAAAAAAAAAATGCATTTAACCAAATTTGCAACCATATTTTTGAAGGACTGAAAACGTACCTTTCATGAGCTGCATAACTGGCCTCTACATTTAATGAAGATGCAACCCTTTTTTGCCCAATGCTTACTTCCTCGTTAGTGTGTTTGGGCATTGTAGTGACCAGTCACATGCTTTCAACACGGAAACATTAAGGACAAATTTCCAGTACAAAGCTTCTCGTGGAGATGGGTGATTCTATTGACATTTAGGGATTAGTATTAAAACAAAAATCCTTAGCCATTTTAAATATTACGTTTTTGCTGCTAAAATGGTGGCTATATAAAGCTATTGTGGACTAAAATTCTTATCAAATCTCATGACATCAGATTTCTATTTGCCAATATAGCACCACTGAAACCGCTTTAACCACTTGCCTTTAGCTCCAACTCCTACTCCTAAACCTTGTTCTCTAACCTTAATGCTTAGAGGGACACTATAGTCTCCAAATGCAGTTATTCTGGTGAGTATATGTTTCTTGCAGGCTTTTTGCTGTAAGCCCTGCCTTTTCATTCATCTAGAAAAGGGCCATTTACTGTAAATATTTGAATTCTTCCTTTAAATTGGTTTACTCTCCATGTGAAAAGGCTTTTTCTCATCATATGCATTTTTATTTAACCAGTAAAGCATTGAGGCCATTTTGTTTTTAAATTAAAGTAGATCATATAATCTATTTCTTTATTTATTTTTCATAAAAAGCAAGTAAATTAGTTTGGCATGGCCTATTAGTCATAGATCCATGTTGGCTCGTACTAATGATTCTGTTGCATAAAGCAATTTCCTGTAAAGCATCTTTAAGCAGTTCTTCAAATAGATTTCCCAGCATGCATGTGAAGGATACGGGTTTGCAATTTCCAGGCTCAGGCTATGTTCCTTTTCTTAGTGTGGTTATCACATTCACTTCTCTCCAATCCAGTGACACATTTCCACATGAAAAAGAATCCATAAAAATGTAAAATAATAGTATGTCAATTTCTGGTTGAAGTGCCCAAAGTAACAGAGGACGAATCTCATCTATCTGGTCCAGGAGCTAAAGTGTAATTAATCGCTCTTGAATTTTGTGCTGTATCCGCCAAGAACGTGCTTTTGGCAAGGTTAATGATCTGTGTTCGTGTGCTCACCCATGGATTTCTAGTTGGGATATACTGAAAAATGTCAAAGAATATACACTCCTATCTAGCTTTGCTATGTAATGTTGCTGTAACTACATTTAACCAATTTTTGGTCCACCATTTTAAGACTGTATACTTTTTATTTTTTTCAATTTATAATTTTTATTGTAGGATAGCAGAAACATATAGAGGTAAAGAAGAGAACATACTGTCACATTTTAAGTGCAACATTAGAGTAATAAGAAGATAAGTAAATAAGTTTACAGCTGCAGGTTGCACATTTGTAAGGTAAATCATGGTGGACAACTAGCTATGATAATTAAGCTTTGGTACCACTGGATAGGTATAAAATAGCATAACGCTTTGTAATGCTTATAGAACAGATAATATATCTTCAGATAGGAGTCATCCGATACCGCAAGTGGGCCACAGCAGAAAGGCAGTCGCTATGTCAGGCACAACTTTGCTGCTTTCCCCTTTGCTTCGCTTTAACGGTTTCATAGACCGTATTCCACAATGTCACAGCTCCACACCTCCCAGAGCCCAGGCCTTAGTGGGAGTCTCTCCCTTATGTCCAAGGATTCACTCTCCAAACGACAGGATCATAGAGACCTCTGGATCATGTAGAGCCCTCCGGGAAGGTGAACAATGGATAGGATGTAGCTCCATGTGGGCCAACAGCCCAGAAGAAGAGCCATGAACTGAAATATTGGCTTGCGGCAGTGGTTCAGTGAAGGTAGTTGAGGTGAGAGGTCAGCTGTCCATACAGTGCCAGAACTCCTGGCAAAGTTTGTCAAATTTGGCCTCAAAATGTTCCTTCCATGTCAGGTCCTTCTGGATAGCTAGGCTTGCCATCTTGACCCTGCCACGCAGTATCCAGAACAGTTGAGAATAATGAGTGATTATTCCAATAGAGCAAAGTGAGTAGATTCCCCAGTTGGGACCAGAATATCTCCAACCCATTCAAGGGAAGGGTAATGGAGTTTCGCTTTAGTAAAGTTGTTATAAAATGTGCACCCCCGGTTGAGAAATCATCCGTCTCTTCTGATTTCCAGGTCGGCATTCTGTTAGGCCTCGATGTCGGAAAAGGTAAGTGCTTGACAGAGCAGTGTGGATAAAGCCAGTAAATTACAGTAAGCTGAAGTGTCAATCTGCTAGAGGTATGAAAGTTCATCCAGCCCAAAAAAATAATAATTTTAATAATAATGATTTTTTTATTTTTTATTTAAAGTATACATAATGTCCCCCCTCCCTTCTTACCTTTGTTTAGGGAGGAGGGGGGACATTTCTTGATCCCTAGTGGTCCGGTGGGGAATCCCTGGTGGTCCATGTGGTGACAGTGAACTCTAGCTCCGGTCTCCAGGGCTAGAGTTCACTCTCGCGAGATCCAGAGCGTTGCCGTGGCAACTCTCAGTGCTCGCGAGAGAAGGACCTGGAGGAGCTGCCGACTGAGCTCCCACGGTCCTCTCTCTCTCCCTCCTCTGCCGGCGGCCAGCAAACAGTGCCTGCGGACCGGAGAGGGAGATCTCTGATCTCCCCTCCGGTCCATGAAGGCACATTGCCGGGCTGGTACTTGGACAGCGCCAGCCCTGCATTAGCCGGCAGGGGAGAGGGAGAACCTCGGATTCTCGGGCAATTGCCCCGTTGCCCCCCCTGGATCCAAAATGCAATTCAAATACAGATTTAATCAAGATTCTGCTCATGTACCAAGTGCTGGAACTTTGGTAAAAGAACCTTATTTTCCTTAAAGACTTTTATTTTATTATTGAAGGAATTGCTTTGCCTATTGTTTATATTTGCATTGGGACTTGCATCATATTCATTTGCCTTTCTAAAATAAAAACCTTTTAATTCAGTGACTGTGTCCGTATAAAATCTCTGCATCCTGAGCCCATTCACCCTAAACCTGTGACATTACAACTGAGCCAGTCATGGAGCTCGCAGAGATTGCAGAAGCTTTAAATACTCTGACCTGTCAAGTGAATTCCCTGGGTCAGACGATTCAATATCTGCAAACCTGACAAATGCAGCTACAGTCACAGCTAATGGCATCACCTACCTATCCAGCTCATCTGACTCCACTTTCGGATGATGAACTTCATGCTCCTGAACCTCAGGTTCCCCGGCCTGAACAATTTGCAGGAGATCTAAATAAGTATGATGCCTTTATTATGTCTTGCGAATTACCATTTGTTTTAAAGCCACTGACTTATCACAATAACTTTATAAAAATAAGAACTGTAATCTCCCTCATGACAGGAGAACCCAGAACTTGTGCCCATAATCTCCTATGTAATCAAAGCCTTCTCCTAAACAATTGGGACTTCTTCAAAGCCTATTGATTCATTTTTACGAGGATTCAAACAAGACCTCCACTGCTAGGTCTTCATTATTGCTAGGTCTACATATTCGTTTGCCTTTCTAATATACAAACCTTTTTATTCAGTGACGGTGCCCGTATACATCTCTGCATACTGAGCCTATTCACCCTAAATCCGTGACACATACACTGTTATTTGTCTATTCTCTTGACAGGAAAGTAGACTCTTCTAATTTGGAGGAGGATACACCCCTCACATTGGGAGTAGGACAGCTCCTCACACACCTGCTGGCCTTGAAACCTTACAAACAGTGAACTCTTTGTTACAAAATAATTATACTGCTAAGCAGTTACAGTGCTGAGCATACACTTTGCCTATTAACCATTCCATTACCAGACAACAAGCTTATCAGACATATCAGTTGGATTACACTGGTTTTGCATTTTAGCATTACATAACTATAGATATATATAAGATTATGTAATCTTATCGTGAAGGCTTTTTTTTTTTTGCAATGATTTTAATTAAAAAAATGTTTCCATGTATTTTTAAATAAAATCCTTCACAATTAAAAGGGAAGGTTCATTGGTTATTTCAAGTGGAATCATTTTGTCCACCACCAAGAAATGTAAGGATAATATTAACATGAGCATTCCGTCTACAGGGTTTTACAAGTACCCTTTAACCCTAAAGGAATTTCGGTCAGCAGGTTATGGATCGCTGTCAACCCCTGGCATTTTCATAGACTATAAAAGCCATAATGCTCTGGTATTATTTTATACATAGCTGGCTTTTATCCTGTAAACCCTATTGTATACCTGCCGGGATCTGCTGAACCACTTATTACACACAAACTCAGCTTCCTCTCCAGTGGAAGAGAGAGCTGTTAGTTTCAGTTATGCATGCTCAAGCAGGTTTAACACTCTCACAGGACAAAGGAGGAAGTAATATTCTTCTGTTTATGCTAGTGAGCTGGGAAGGCTTATAGATGTGGCAATTGCATTCTAATGGCATTTTATGTGGGGTTGCTGTAGAAAGATAGTGAAGGGCTTATTACAGTAAATGGTAGTTTGAGGATGCAGTCCAACATTTACCCATGCCCCTCTTAGCCCACTCCTGTCCTACGGTTAGTTTTTAGAAAGAGAGTGGATATTAGGCTTTGGATTCTGCTTAAAGTGACTTTTTGGGTCGTTTGCATATTTTGTAAATACCCATAAGAGAAAACACCATGAGTTTAACCCAATGCAATAATTGAATATTTCTGTAATATTTGCATATAAGAGAGAATTCAGAGTGCAATGCTCATGTATTTCCATTTTTTATTTTATGACTTGTCAAACAAAAGTAAAGCAGTCCTCACTTTACATACTTGGCAAAACATTTTACAAGATGCACAATATTTGCCAAGGGGATTGATCCCTTTACATCAAAGACCCGATCTGCGCGTTCACTTACTGAGAGCACAGAACAATTTAATTGTTAATGGGTCATTTTTCTGCTCACTTGTTTGTATCCCTTTAAATAGCTAGGATCTTAGAAACCAATGTTTTGATAAACATAGTATCATTGTTTGCTCCTGTTATTCATTGTAGAGCCAGTACTAGACCCTGCTTTCATGAGTAAATTTACAAAGAGCTGAATAGCTGTGTGAGAACTAAAGTGGGGTTTATTCACTAAACATTGAATTGAAAACTGCATTTGTAAAATAAGGGTTAAAATAGAGTAAGAAACATTCACAAACGCTTCAATATTTCTAAATAAACTTATTAAACCCGAATTTGAAATAATAAAAGAATAATTAAAAAAAAAAAGATTCTTACGTTTAACATTATTTTTTGGGTGGAACTCCCCAAACATCACATCAGCCTTTAGCTTTGCCTAGACCGGGAAGAAGCTTGGCCAATCAGCAGCCTCCATTTCTGGTCTGTGGAGTGCGGGCTACTGGACATGTTAAATTCAGCCCTACATTAATTAAAGTATAGGCAGAGGGGCTGATTAGAAGGTTTCAAAGCTCTCTAAATGTAACCTTCTGCTAGGCTTGTGAGTTTATGGGACCTGCAGTTCAGATATCTCCTGGTCTACTTATGAAAGCTGTTATTTAAACTACATCTACCAGAAACTCTTTGCTGTTCTTTGTGATGGCATGTGCCAGTATGCTGTAGACCTCTAGAGGTTAGGAGAAAGAAGCAGAAAGGTAGTTGTATACAGGTAGAGAAACAAGCAATAAGAAAGCATTTTACAATGGGATAGGTGGGACAAAGGAGACCGGGTTAATAATAATATAATGATATGATAATACCGCAAACGTTTTGCTATTATTATTTTTTAGGCCAAATGCTTTAAACTGGAGTGTACCTTTTAAGGGGTATACTTATTTGAGTAATAATATTGAGTTGGAATCAATCATCACTTATTTATTTTTATATTTTCACCTATACACTTTTTTGGTCAAAATGTGCATTATTTAGAAAATAAACTTGAATGTTTTTAATAATCTGATTTGAACTTCAGAATTGGGTAGTGTTCATTAATATTTTCTACAATCTGATGAAATTGTTGCAAGCTTCTTTGCAAAATGTGTTGACAAGTCAATGGAGGAGCCAATAAGCCACAAAATGCTTTTCACAATTTTACTGCAAGTTTATCTTCTTCTACATCCCCCACTGCGCTCAATAGGGGTTTAGTTTAGTTTTGTGATCTGCTTGCATTTAGTGCATTTGCAGAGCACTCCAACACCAATTCGAGTCCTTGATTTTCATTACAACTAAAACTCTTGTTTTCAGTGAATCATCAACTTTATATTTGGATACAATAGGTCATTGCATGTCTATAAAAGAGCATGGAATCTATATTTTGTTTAGTTCCCTGTGAGATTACGTTTTTCTGCCTAACTTTTTATTTGGTGACTGAAAAACAACCGAGTCACGTTGCTTACAATTCACAGGGTATTTCACTAAAGTGTGAATTAAAAATTAAGGCAAAATCAGCAGAACAAAAAGCATAGCTGACAGAATTTTTCCAGGTCGGCTATTTTGACCTTAAATTTGAAATTCTCCTTGAGTCCACTTTGAATTCCCACTGTACTGAATAACCCCGTTAGTGTTTGTAAGCTAACACATGAGAATGTAAAATAAATTATGTTCGCATGATAAATAAATGTTGGAGACATTGTGCTGCCTGAGCGTGACAGGAGCTGTAATCTAAAAGTTAACGATTTACTTGCGCCCGTTTGCCTCATCTTGAAGAAAATAAATATCAATTTAAAACCAGATGGTTGTCCAATAGACATGAATTTCCCTCGTGGGTAGGTTCTCATTTCCCAGAAATACACCCACTCTTGTCACGCTGGAATGCGGAGATTGTCATTCATGTTCTTTCAGTCCTGCTTAGCTCCTGTTTTCAGTTGATAATTGTGTGGTTGGAAGCTTTGTTTAAATAATATCGTGACATCTGCAGAGTACCACTAGGCCGTAAGAATCGTTTACCTCAGCAATGTCACCATTATCCCCCTGGAACTGCAAGGGCTATATTAAGTTCTATCAGGGTTCTTACCACATTTTTGTCCTTGTAAGTCAAATATTTATACTATTTGCCATTACTTGTCTTCCACCCAGTGTACAGTGCAGAGCAATATTTTGACATTTTAATAAAATGTCGTGTACGTTTTAATGTACAATTAATGCATAATTCAGAATTTTTATCTGTGTAAATTTTACCTGTCTGCATCATTACAGTTCTAGACTGTATTTGTAGCAAATGTAAAAATGTTATTTTAAAACTTTAGTTTGAAATTTATACGTCTGCCACGTCTGTGGAGAATTGGAAAGTCAATTGCAAATTGTAGACTAGAAATCCCCCAACTTTGGCTCCCCCTCGTCCCCCCTCAAATTCACGTTTTTAATGAATATATTTTTTCGAAATACACGTCCACCTTCATATATCCAAGTATGCTTGCTTCTCAACCACACAGAGCTAGGTGCAGAGCATTGTGGGAGGACGCAGCTGTGTCTCACAGATCTGATAGTTACATAGGCTGAAAAGAGACATGCGTCAATCGAGTTCAGCCTTTCTCTGTTTTTGCCGTTCATCCAAAAGAAGGAGGGGAAAAAAAATGTTTTAAAGAGTTTTTTTTTCAATTTTACATATCTGATATCAGTTATTTTTACAATGTATTCACAATTCCCCTAATGTATTTAAATGACACCTTCCAATATGACCCTGTGCCCGCCCACAGATATAAATTATCCTCACTCTTCAAGGGATTCCCAGCTGTCAGAAATGCTTGGACACTTTCCAAAGGATAACATTGGGACACAGACAGAAATGTACCTCTGCCTGGGAATATAAGCAGATGATGTTTATACTCCAATTGAGAGTGTGTGATGACAAAATGTGCTATTAAATGCCCTCCTATCATTTTGTCTGCCTTATCTTGCTCACTTAACATACTTCAAATCATTCTGATGGAAAACATAAGATTGCTGCAGTATGCTCATTTGTGGATACAAGCAATTATTCTCTCACATGTGTGAATGTGTGTATAGATACAAAAAAAAATATGTTGTTCTGAGGAACGGTCCCGAGTGGAAGTGAAACGTTGATTGTTATGGAATATACTGAATAAAGAAGATTTTTGGGGGGGATACCTTGAAGTGCTTGAATAATTCAATATTGTGTGTGTGTGTGTGTGTGTGTGTATAGAGATAGAGGATACATAATGGACATCGAGACATGACTACCACTCCCCTAATACGCAATTTTTTAACCCTTTAAGGACACATGATGGAAATATTCCGTCATGATTCCCCTTTATTTCAGAAGTTGTGTCCATAAGGGGTTAAATTATGTATTTATTTATTAAATTACAACTAGGGTTTAGAGTTTTGCTAATCTTAAAGCAGCACCACAACATATATGCCATGGCCTACCCAAAGTTTATGGCAGATAGACTCTTGGGTAGAATCTGCTGCCATTATTATATCCTCTCCCCCATTACTGATATGCTAAGTGGGGGCCTAGTAAGAAAATGGTTCTGTTTCAGCATATCCGTGTCCCGCCAGACCATGCAATATGTATTATATTATATGGTGTGTCATCCCCCACTGTACAATACAGGACCTGAAAACGTGATCTCCCCATTAAATAACAGACAAATAATGCAATATATATATATATATATATATATATATATATATATATATATATATATATATATATATATATATATATAATATATGCTGTATGTGAAAGTAAGCACTTTGAGGATCTGATATAAAAGAAATTGATGTGCAGAGAATAGTAGGATTTATCAATGATCCAGTACGTATGTTGGACTTTTTATTTTCACGTCTTCCTGTTCTGTACAAATCTTTACAGTGTTTCAGGTACTATATCTCGTGCTCAAATTCAGGCATCTGGGCAATTAATACTGGTGTTGACTATATGCATTTAGTGGGTATGCATGTAGAGGAAAAAACAAAATACATAAAAGATTAATAATATTAATTGATCAGTGATTATCTAAATCAATAAACAGCTTGATTTCTCTGTGATTACCATCCATTTTGCATTAATTGTGTTATCTACTGCACAGCTTGCTGTTTTGACGACTACAGAAGTATCAGTGTTGCGTTGCAGGTGGGCTGGAGAGAGGTCGCCTTCCCGTAATCATGCTGACACTCTATTGTATGGGTTCATGGAAAGTAAGTGGGCAGCTGCTGGGATGGGAAAGTCCCTTGAGTCTTCACAAGGGAGAGGAAGGAATTAAACCCTATTGATTTGTTAATTCTCCACCAGCTGTACCTCTCTTTTGTTCAAAGACATCTCAGGGGAAAGTGTTGGATATGAAGCATTTCCTGGAAGACACTTGCTAGAAGTGCAGTTATATCTCTGTATGTTACAATTTGGAGATCAGGGTATTGTTATGTCTAAGAATGATTGAGAATAAAAAACATTTGCTCACATAGTTTTCTTTATTGTTTACGTTGTGTTTGACAACTGAAGGGGGGGAGGGGAGGGTTGGAACAGACTGTTCAATCTCTAGCTCACTCGTAGCAGGAATTGCAAATATATCTGGCGATAAAGGGTTTTTTGTTTTGTTTTATTTTGTATTGAGCACATTAATTGACCCTCTGTTCTACCAAAAAAGGTTACGGTATATAATGTATTTCACAAGTGTGGCCAAAGCTAATATAAAATTTTAGGCAAAAATAGTCCTGGTGGAAAATTCACCTGACTATGCATTATTTTGGCCCCAAATTTATCAGGTTGCAACCATTTTGTAATTTTTCTGACTTTTTTTTCAGTAAGCCAATAAAGTAAAATAAATTCTCAATAAAACACTTTTATAGAGACTAAACAAAGTATTAATTTTCTGGGTTTTGCAAATTACAACTTTGATTAAAAATACAAGCAAATTTCCATTGTCCTTAGTATATAATGAACCCTTTAAAGTTGCGGGGAGTCAAAATCCTAAATTTGGTGTGGCCAATGGGTTGATACCAATCATAAAAGCTTCCATAATAAACAGTGAAAGCCGTGGAAAGCCATAGCGAGCTCACATATTTCATGGCGTTTTACATTCATAATGTTAATGTTGTGTATCGTGGAATATAAGATGTTTTGTACATGCTAGTTGTGAGAAATAATTGTCCACAATTTTCCCAGAATGCCCAACTGCATATGCAAATGAGCACGGACAGGCATCATATATCGAATTTCATAGCAATGTTTAAAACACTGCCTTTTAAACCAAAACATGGGATCTCATCTAAAAGAACCAAAGAGAAACATGGATTGACTTTTCAGTTTCATCCTTTTGGGACTCAGTGTTGAATTTCATCATGTTCTGCTCATATCTTTTTTAATACAGTACTTGACAATAAGGACAACATATATGCAGTATGTCTTCTATCAAAGCAATAAAACTATTGTAGATGTAGCTTTAAAGTAAGATCAGTTAGCAGCGTGCTGTTTTGCATACTGTTTTTTCATAAATGAATTGTGATAATATCAAAGCATTTAACCAGAGCAGGTGGATTTATATTTTGCTTGTAAATATTGTTATTCGTCATAATTATGCCACTATTAATATTGTGTAGACTGCTGTATATGTAACAGTGTGTGGAGTATTCTAGGATAATATGTATTCTTGAACTTTCTGTGTGAACATGGAGATTATATTGATAGAGATCTAGTGTGTGAATGGTGATAATCTGATAATGTATTAGATATACCTTTGTGCTGATTGACTTTCAAGCTTGAGTTTTAACATCACAGGTTGTTGTCAAATCCGTGCTTACAATGTTGACTCAAGTGCCTGACTGTAGTGAATGGCATTTATCTGGTTCTGTCAGGCTACGGAATTGTGCACAGTGACATTTTGCGTAACAGTTCTGATGTGTTTGCAAACAAAGGTAATTGCACTGTCTGCATCTAAAAAGCAGTAATGTCAATGGGGTACTCTGGGCACAAAAGGTCCTACAGCCCATTGTAGTGGTTATGGGGCCAGCATGCCCAGAGTCCTGCCATCCCAATTCTGTGTCATATGATTATTGAGTGTCCCGTCTCGTGCCCGGGGTATGAACATATTTCAAACACTGGTCAGAATTGATTTTCCTAATGCGGAAGTGTAACTTCAACAGTTGCGATATGGCAAGTAAGGGGCTGGACTGCAGGCATTCAGGGAATCCTTCATTTGTGTCAAACTGCTTGTAATCATTTTAACACAGAAAGGGTTGGACTGTGTCATGGTTATACTGCTTGGAATGCCCCACTAATAGAGCTGGCAGGGCTGGACTTGAGCAGTGCAAGGTTTGATCCTTTGGTCTGCTGACGGTTTGATCATGTTATTTGCGGGTAGGCTGAACATGTTGCATCCATCTTGGTAAAATGGCGTCCAGTAATTTCCACATGCAGTAAATTCTGCATAATCATTTCTCATAAAGGTATTCCAAAGTAATTCTGAGACATGTCCAGCTGTCCGCTTTGGCTTGCATATCTCTATATTAGTAAATACTTATATACAAACCAAAGAGTTGGTCGGCTACCACATGTTAACATTTATCGACCCACTCTCTGAGGAACAATTAACTACACAGGTAGAAAAGGAAATGGTTCTTTGTTAGGCCAACACCCCACTTCACATAAGGATGGTGAGAACCACAAATAATGCTGTAGTCCATGCATATGATACAACACAATGCTTTCTAATCTTCCATTCCCAGACCTAAAACTGGTAGACTGTAATTTAAAAGAATACATTTCTTTAAAAATGTGTGCCTCAGCCAACTTTTTGATAAAAACTTTCTGAGTCATTCACTAAAGTGAGAATTGCAGGGAATTCTAAATAAATTTCAAGTTTAAGGTTAAAATGGCCGAACGGGAAAATTTCTCCCAGTCGGTTATTCTTTTGGCTACTTTGGCCTTCAATTTGAAATTCTATTTGAATGCCCTACAATTCTGATTTTAGTGACTAACTCTGATTATTGATAGCCAATCACATGATGTGTATGGTGCTCACTTGCTAATCAATAATTACTAATATAATAAACAGCAGAGACCCATTAATACACATTGTAATACCGGTGGAGTACCCCTTTGTTGATGCTATGCTTGACCGCTATGGGCATGGGGTACGTGGGAGAGACAGAAGACTTTCTTTCCTCTTTAACTCCCTCAAATGTCCAAGAGGCTCAGCATTAAGCTTTTCAAACCAGTGTTCCCCAGAGCAAATCTAGAGATTTAAGAACAAATCCAGGCATGTGCTGTTTATGGCAACGTAATCAAATAAAATCGGTATAGGTCTTCTAAGGAGAATGACAGATAAGGGCGCAAAATACAAAACCATTTGAAAAGAATACATTCAGCTGCATAGAATGTTATGTGAACTGAACAGTGTATTGATCTATAAAATATATTTTAGAATGCTTACAGTTATATTTAAAAGCAAATTGAATAATGAAAAATATGATGTGAATGTTTTCCATTAACATTGTGAGTACAATGGATGTATTGCTGCAGGCCGTTTCTTGGCTTTGGATACGTTAAAATGCAACTGTACACAAAGAATTTCTAAAGAAATAGATCTCACAATTGAGGGGCTGATATCAGTATGAGATCCTCAAATATCATACATTTGCTGTTCCTAGAAAATATTCACAGCCACACAAAGGCTTTAATCCCTTTAGGACCAAACTTCTGGAATAAAAGGGAATCATGACATGTCACACATGTCATGTGTCCTTAAGGGGTTAATCAGGTAAATACCCAACAAAAAATGCCTGTGATTTAAGGCGTGATTAGGGAAAAATGGCATGTGACCCAAATATTTATATAGTTTTTCCTAACTCCATTTAAAAACAAACTGGTGATAATACTATTTTTCTACACCTTTCCTTAGTAGGATGGGAAATATAATCATCTGGATGAAAGAATTCTTATACAATGCCAGCGTAGTCAGAGGAGATGTGCAGACCGCAGAAGCCATTTTGCTAATAAGGCAGACCTTTTTTTTTTCCTCTATGCAAAGCTTTATTTTTTAGTGCACATATTTCAGTGTTCTAGAGAATATCCTCTCCCACCTACAGTATTTTACATAATCTGCTTCGTCTATCGTTATGTGGATTTTATGGACTGAACCAATTTATCTGTATATTTTTAATAATCTTTTTCCAAGCAGCCTATTTTAATTATTTGTAGTTCTCTGAATCACACATTTCTCCTTATCAGATTTACTGTGGGAACTTATATAGCAATAGTAACATGGGTTAGTGAAATCCCTTTTTCCCAGCACTGCCATGGCTAAACCAAAGCTGCTTAGACTGGTTCTCTTAAGGATTATCAGTGCTTATGGGCTCAGAACATGCTCTCATAATAATGCTCTGGTCTGAAAGCCAGTGTATATTGAGTTGCAGATTTTGGCACTAAGGCACATGTTCGCGTTGATGGGTAGGAAGGCACTGTAATTACTCTATTTTATATGGTTTCAAGCAAAAAGAGAAACCTCCTAATAACAAAATTACTTTGGGTTGACCCCCTAGTCATCTATATGCAAAACCATACCTTGTAAGTGTCCCTATTAAGGAGGAACAGTCCCTATTTGGAGTCTAAATCCCTCTGTCTCTCATTTCTATCCCAATGTCCCTCTTTTCTAGGAGCTTCATATTGTTGGTGAGTTTGAGTGCATAACAGAGCACCACAGTAATAAAACTCACTGTAAATGAGCCTCTCTTTGTCATTATGAAATGATGGGCGGTATGAAATACTACCACCCGGTATGTAGAGCATCTTTGAGTACACTAGCAAATCCAAGGCAAGCAACAGACCTGCTTCCATTTAATTCCTAAGCAGAGTCAAATATACAGGTATATTCATTGTGTACACCCTTTGATGACGGAAAAACCATGTTTCCCTGCGTCCCAATTGTACCTATTTCTTTTTCGAAGGGAATGCCTCTATTTTGGGACAAAACCCCTCTATCCTAATGTCCCTCTTTTCTCGGAGCTCGATATTGTTGGGATGTGAAGTATAACAGAGTTATACCTAGCAATAACATTCACAGTAAAGTTTTTTTTTTTTAAACATTCTTTATTTAGATTTCTAAAGTACAAATTCTTTATGCAAAAAGAACATTGCATAAAAGGAAAACAAAACAAACATGATATACGATATACAGCGTATATGGGATAGTGGGATAGTTATACATTTGCAACTGTGACACATGTATTGTTAATTTCATGAGGTATAAGTATCACAAGTAAGTAGATATATTGAAACATTGGCAATAGGTTGATAATGCAATTAGATATAATAAAAATTAACACATTGAAGAAGTACCTAAGATATCCTGGTTGGATTTCCTCTGCTCTGTGTCCACCAACACGCTAGGTAATAGTACTCATCAGAGAAATTCAAATAGTAAATTTGTTGTAATACATTTTGTTCCGTCAAAAAAGGAACAAAAGAATGGGGGTGGGGGGAGAGAAAGCAATATATATATATATATATATATATATATATATATATATATAAACAAAAAACATAAAGGGTGTGGGTGTGGGTAGGGCTGGGGGACACAGTTCACAAAGAGGGAGAGGAAAGTGTGTGTTGGTTAAACAGTGTGTGCCAATGACTGTATCTGTCAGTGACTGTATAGCAGTGCATGTATCAATGAAGGCATGTGTCTGTCAGTCAAAAAAATGGCCTTGACACAAATTGGGGGGGGGGGGGGGGGAATTTAGATTTTGGGGGTGCCCAAATTTAGTAATGCCTAGGGCAGCACAAATCCAAAATACACCACTGATCATAATGGATGCGTTTAGGTAGGGATGGTTGTAATCTGTTAGCTAATATTTTGTTAAATAACTTATTATCTACATTTAGAAGGAAAATAAGTCTGTAGTGTTCTGGTTTTCAGTGTAATTTATTAGATTTCGGAAGGAGGCATATGTTTGCCTTGTAGCATTTCTGTCGGAAGCTTGCCTTGTAAAACAAAATTAAACAGTATATAAATATATTATTATTATTATTGCCATTTATATAGCGCCAACAGAATCCGTAGCGCTTTACAATATTATGAGAGGTGGATTTAACTATAAATAGGACAATTACAAGAAAAAACAGGAACGATAGGTTAAAGAGGACCCTGCTCAAACGAGCTTACAGTCTATAGTATATAAATATATACATACAATACCAAACGATTCTGCACTCCAGCTATCCCTTGAAGTATTGCCTGGTGCTCGGTTGCACAATGTATAGATTAATGAAACTTCATCTTCAACTTCTCAGGTTTTATTCCAACAGTCAACGTTTCAGTTCTTAATGAACTTTCTTCAGGACATAAAAATTTTTGGCGTGTGTGTGTGTGTGTTTGTTTGTTTTGAGAAATTTTTTAAAAGTATATGCCTGAAAAAACGTCCAGACATGGGCTTTTATTGGGTTTAGATGTTTTAATAGATTTCAGTATTTATTCCGAAGTGATTTCTTCCACAGCTGCCTCCAATTTGTTCAAAAACTCAAGTTATGTTGTATTGAAGATGGGTTGGGTCTGCTCTGAGATGTGGAGAGTGATCGTATAACTTTTGGAATTATGTGTGAAATACTTGAGCAATGCAATTAGGTAGCTTAGTAGTGTTATTAGATGCCATCTGCATTCTGCCGATTTGTCTATCTTGATTTTGCTTGCTTAATAGTCTCAGTAAGAGAGTATCAGCTTTGTTCGATTTCTCTAATTTGTTTGTCTCTGTCTGTGTATAGCTTTAGTGGTATCAACCCGCACTAGTGTTTGAAGGGACATGTTTAAGGCAGTCCAGTTCCGCAAGACTTATGGACTGCTGGACATGTGGCAGTCTAGTTCAGCTACCAGGTAATGTGGGTAAAGAGAAATCTCACAAGTCTCTGAGTTGGAGCCGGAATCCATGAGGCCATGTGAAGGCAGTAAAACATCTTCCGTGTGGATGCAAAACACGGATACCACTGACGGCGTGGATTCTCTAGGTTTTGCAAGCCTCCCACAACAGATATCTTGTCGGGTGTTTAGAGGGTTATGCACTGTAGAAAATCCTGTATAATTGTGAGTGGTAGTGTGCTAAGAATGCTGTTATAGCAGGGCACCAAACCTAAGCATTCATCTTGGGTCGAGGTCAAGCTCCCCCTCACGATAATGTGTTTTTAAACTGCTATAATTTTGTTTCAAAATCAGTATAAATAAGATACATAGTTCTTGTTCTAAATTGCATTTTAGTTGCATAATTTAGTAATAAGTAATTCAAAGAGATCCTATAGTGTTATGAATACAAATCTGTATTCCTAACACTAACACTGGTACCCCCTCACTTGCGCCCAGCCCCCTCCGCCTGGCACCTAGTGGGTTAAAAAAACCTTTAGTCACTTATCTGATATCCCTTGGCTTGGCACTGACCTTCTCCAACATTATCCGACGGAGGGTCTAATGTGCATGTGCGGGCAGCTCAATAGGCCCTCTCCATAGCATTGCTTCAATGCATTCCTTTTGGGGTTTTACGGATTCTGCACGTCCTCTTGCAGAGCGTGACGATGTCCAGTATTATTTAGGGGACCAAAAGTCTGTTGGCAAACAGGAAGTGCCTCTAGTGGCTGTCTGAGGCTGTCTTAGTCCTGGGACAGGGCCACTGCACCCAGACCAATGAGTCAATGAGATAATGTCCCTTTAAAATATCTCAGAAGAGCCTGCCCCTGACCACACTCACACTCACACTCATAAAGTTAAAGCATCCCATTTGACCTTCTGAAATGCTAGGAGGTTTCCTTGTAAGAAGAAGGTACAATATGGTTTTTCATATAAGCATCTGTTTACTAAACCAGAAATTATGAAAACTAGCAAGGGAAGTCCTATTTTTGGGCCAAAAAGGTCAGGTTTGAAAAACGATAATTTTTCATGTTTTGCTGTTTTGTCCTAGATTTTGCAATTCGTTTTCCACAAATCCTAGTTTAGTAAAAAAACCCTACTGGGCTTCTGTCATGTACTTGGATCAACCCATGGACCACCATGAAGGTCTGTGGTTGGCAAACCACAGTTTTTAGGGCCAGTTCCAGGAGTAAGCCTGTGGATCTTATAAAGAACATTCTATGTATTCATTTGTCTGCGAGCAACCTATTCAGAGTGTGTCTGTTTGAAGTGTGCTTTGGCTTGTTCTGCATGTCCTTAATGAACCCTTGCCTGATTGCTGCTGTTTTTCTTAGTTATTTAATGCTAATGAGTGCTGTGTTGGTTAAAAATGTTAGTTAAATGTTGCCACATTACACAGACACTGCAGATCTCCCTGGCAGCAGATTTTAAAATTAAAAATGTATGTAAAAGCACGCTAATCATAGCAGAACATGTTATTTATGTAAGCCAATTTAATTTTTATTGCTGGAAAAAAAAAATATATATTTTCCTGTTTAATTCTCTCTTTTCATGGGATGTCAGCCCATGGCTGGTGCATCCTATAGGCGACTTAGGCCCCCGGGCGGGCGCCATATTTAAGTGACCCGGTAGGAGGTTAGCGCACAGTGCTCCCTCCTACTGGGTCACTCAGTGTAGCGTGGCTGGGCGGCGAGGACCACGGTACAGAAGTTCTGTTTCCTGTACCTGGCCAGATTGAAAGGACGTACTCTCTCAGTGAGGAGTTATGCTGACAATTATGATGGGCCTAATCACAGAATCTTATTGACCAAAAACAGTCATACCTCCCAAGGGTCATGTATCTGATGGAGATGGTGCTGGTGGGAAACTCATAGGATGCAGCTATAAAAAAACACATGTCCTATGCTAATCTCTCTAATTTATGCTTTCATCTTTCAAGCTAATCCATACCCCCTAACAGCAGTGTCCAGTGAAGCAGGAAGTCAATGGGCTGGGTAAAAGGAAGTGCCACTGATGCGAATCACGTGACCAGAACTGCCAAAAGGGGCGAACATGCCCAATAAGGGGGCATGTCTGTCCAAAGAATTGGAAGGCCAGCCTGGCATGAATACATGCCAATCATACAGGCTTTCCAACTAAGGGCATACTATGCAGACAGCACCCTGAGCTTGAGATAAATGCATCAAATGATGCCCCTACTCCACGCTTTCGAAGGACTGTCCCCTTGCACTTACATGTCCACTTGTCTTCTTACCATCTTACTAGCAGGCAGTAGCTCCTAGTATATGGTCCGGGACAGAGAAAAGGTGTATGTAGTGAGTGTAGAAGAAAGTGGACATGCCACAGTGATAGAGAGACCAAAGTCTGCATTACCTTAACTAATTTTATTGTCAGCCAGTCCATACATGTTTTGTTCCCATACATCCCCCTTAAGCTTCCATATTTAAAGGGACACTATAGTCACCAGAACAACTTATTGTATTTGTTCTGGTGAGTAGAACCATTCCCTTCAGGCTTTTTGCAGTAAACACTGTCTTTTCAGAGAAAATGCATTGTTTACATTATAGCCTAGGGATAACTCCTCTGGTCTTTCCTTAGATGGTTGCTAGAGGTTCTTCCCGGAGCAGTGCTGCCTATTGTGCAGCACTGCCATTCAGTGTTTCCACCCTGTGCGTGCAGACACTGCACTTTCCTCATAGAGATGCATTGATTAAATTAATCTCTGAGGAGATGCGGATTTGGCCAGGGCTGTGTTTGACTTGTGCTGGCTCTGCCCCTCATCTGCCTCCTTGACAGTCTCAGCCAATCCTATGAGAAGCATTGTAATTGGCTCAGACTAAAACTTCTGATGATGTCAGCAGATATAGTCCATTCAGAGCCAGCAGCTGCAGACTTGAATGCAAGTAAGATTTTACTATATTTCAGAAGGCTAGATGGTGGTTTCAACATAATGGGGTCAGAAATACACCTTTCTTGGAAAGTAATGCTAGCCTTAATATAACTATGTATACATGACATAAGGAGTGTCATAAGAGAGAATTCTGTAAAATCACCAACAAACTACTTACAGTTTGATTCTGCTGAATAGATGGATTGCTCCCACTGTCTCCCTGTCTCTGTGTCCCTATGTCGCCCAGTCCTCTAGTCTCCCAGTATCTGTCTCCCCATTTCTCCCAGTGTCCCCATGTCCCAGTGTGTCCCCATGTCACTAGGATACATGGGGACACAATGAGACATGGGGACACAATGAGACATCGGGGCAATTGTGGATACAGACAGGGGGACACTGAGACACTAGAGACACTGAGAGACCTGAGGACACTAAAATACTAGGGACACTGGCTGGGAGACATGGGGACACTGGGAGACATGGGGACACTGTGTCCCTAGTGTCTTCGTGTCCAATATCTGTGTCTCCCAATGTCCCCATGTCTCACAGCGTCCCCATGCTTCCCAGTGTACCTAGGTCTCCCAGTGTCCCCTAGTGTCTCAGCGTCCCCATGTCTCCCTACTGCTTTCCCCCCATCCCCCACTTACATGAGTTGTAGTCTGTCTCTGCAGGCTGAGCTGCTGTCTGGACTCTGTGCTGTGTAGCTGCTTCTCCGCAGATTAGTGAGTAGAGAGTGGCAGGGATATGCTATAACTTCCTATCTATGCCTCTCCACACACAGTGACCCCTACTGGCCGGTGCTGGTATTACAGAGTAATCTCTATTCATACTGATAAAAAATATCTCCATTTGTATTGCCGGTATTACTTCAACACCGGCACGGCCAGGCAGCCTCAAATACCAGTCAGGTAGCAAACCTAAGAGTAGTGTGCCCCTATGTTAATCTGGCCCTGGACAAGGGTTACATGCATACTTTTCTTATCCATTTTAAATGGATTAATGCATGTAAAAACTAAAAACACTCTACTAATTTTAGCATCTTCCCTCCTTATAATTTACCTGTACTTTCCCTTTTATTTCCTGAGGATTGGAGAGGTGTGCAGGTGACTGCTGGAGGGGCCCCTGCCTGTGATTGACTGACTTTATTGCCAATCTGAGTTCTGCCAAGCTTGCCTGATGATCTCTGTAATGGCATACCCAGTAATGTTTCCCAACAGATTGCCCAATTCTTATATTTATTGTAATTTGTGGGGGCTTTAGCTGCTGATAGTTCATCACCAGACTATTGGTGGTTGCTGTGCAGGTGTGCTCCCTTTGCCAAGCGTAGGCGTTAATTTAATGCCTCAGAAATAAACATGTATAAATACTAATAATTTAATAGTGGCGAAAATTAAATTAGTTTTCATTCTAGCTTGGAATATTAAAACCACCAACTGGAAAATGCTAACAGTGATGGCTATAAATTACTAAAATGTTATCATAGACAAGATAAAAGCACTAACTGATATTTACCTGCTGTCACAGTCTTTGTAAACATGTCTAGACACTGCGGTGTAGCCATTGTGGGAGCAGGTGCCAGTACTAGTTAACTGCAGCTAAGAACTAGTTATGTGGAACAGTGTTGGTATAAACTAGTCTACCAGGGCAGATGGTTGAAAAAAGTTCTGTGATGACTTTAGGGTTGAAGGGAGATACATTAGATAAACTCCTTTATGGTTTATTGTTTTTCTGTCAAAATTTAGGATTGCATCAAGTTCCCTAGACTTCACAACCCAAAAGTCAGCAAAAATAGTTTGTCAGGAAGGATACATGGCTGTAGAAGGAAGTTTCTTTGCCCTTTCTGTTCCTCTGTTTACCAGCTGCTCAGGTGATCCGTTTTGTTTGTGTATACTAGGGGACACCTCCTAATTTATCAGCCGGATTCAGCTAATGCACACGCAGCGAGACGATAAATAGCAGTGCGTGCCAGAGGATTTTCCTGTGCTGTGTTGGCAACAAAGTCTTTATTTAAAACACTGCTGGAAATACATTTTAGCAATTAATTTTTTTTTCATTTTTTTAATTAATATTTTTGCAGAGTAATCTTTGTAGTAGATTGATCTGTCTTTACCAATGGAAGATCTGATCATTTTGTTTACGTGTAAAAAAATTTAATTTTGGAATTGTAGTGCTCAAAATCTGTGGTTTGCTGTGTCCAAAAGAAACGCAAACCCCTATTTCAGTTTTTATAAAAAAAAAAAACACAAAACAAAACTACTTTAAGTATTTAAAAATTATTAGCCTAAGGCACAGGCAGTTTTTAAAATTTCTATATTATGGTTTATATACAATTCTTGACAACAAGAAGATACTAGGAGGATATGTTAATGTTTCAAAATAAACTAATATTAAACAGACACTCTTGCATGCCTATAAGTATCCTGATCTAATCCTATTAAGTTTATCTGTGATAATATTTTTTATTAAAGAGACAGTCAAGTCACCATAACCACTAGCTCCTAGTTCCATCCTCCTGTTCTGTGTGGAAAAAAAGTTTGAGTGTTTTATGATACAAACCAAGGGTCCTTCGGGTAAACATGGCCTGCCTCCTCCGTTGCCAGTAAGCTAATATAGAAGTTATAGTTACGTATTCGTAATATCAGTTTCATCCTTATTTGGACAGCACCGATTGGCTAAGAGCATTCCAACACATTTGGCTATTTAGTGCCGTCCAAATAAATCAACACTATTATTGCCAAAAGTGGATTTTTGTTATTAGTAATACAGGGAGCGATGAGCCAGACTACAGGAGAATATAGTGTTTTGGATTGCGAATGTGCTAGAGACGCATATGGTACCTGCCAAAATTTAGAAGACTTTATCGATCAGATAACGATATCCGATAGTGATCAACTTGAAAGTTTTAAATTCAACTTGAGATTTGCTTTGAGTTTCAAACAATTCACACTTTATTGAATAACTCTGACGTTGCAAGGAGATATATGATGAGATATATGGTATGGGATGGGAGATATATGATAAGATGGAAGAAAAACTGGGAAATAAACTCTTATAGAATATGGGAAAATAGTCAGGAACTGGTCCAGGGAGAGTGTGTGAGATAAGCAGTAAAAATGATAGTTGTCAAAACTAGATGGAAATAAGTCTGAAAGACAGATGACACAGGAAAAATACTTTTATTTATATATTTTTGGGCCTCTGATCGTACCTTAATCTTAGATTCGGCACTCTGTAGAAAATAATTGTAACTCCTATGCATTATGCCATTGTAATAAATGGGTCACATTTGATTAGGTGTGTTTACGCTAATAGAGAATTATGGAGATCATATATTTGTACTTTTCTCCAGTCTTCTATGCAACAAGAAGGATAAACTAGCTAGCCAAAGACAGTTTGTCTCAATGTAGGATGACTCTGAGATATGGTTATAGTTGGCCTTCATCACTTTCATTGCACCTACCGGAAATTGTGTATGCATGTGACAGTAAATCGTTGGTTTATCGCTCCCAGTGGTTGATGACAAAATTATTCATTAATAATAAACAAAATTTAAAAACATTATTTTCTAAGAAACGCAATGATCTTTGGAATGCACCATTTTAAAATGTCACAGACATACAAGGTTTCCCTAGTTCAAATATTTTGATCTAAAATTTGTGAAATTATTTGGTCAGTTCTACATAATTACCAAGTAAGTAAAAAACTCATGTCAACTTAATAGAAGTCATTTCCTAGTGACTAAAACCCTTACAATTCCAACATCATTACTGTACGCCAAGTTCTGTGGCTTCTCTCTACACACAAGATACATGGAAAGTTGCTAGCTTTGTTTGTTAGCGAGGTGCACCATCATCATGACAACACGTGCTGTCCTTCACCACCCTCTGGTAGAAATCCCAACCTCTTCAAGCCGTGTAGAGTCAACTGAGTCACATGCTGTTTGTTCTGGCTGCCCTGCAAGCTGTTTGAGAGTACATTTATTTACATGATAACACCTGGTCACACTATAAATGCCAGCACACTCCTTGCAGCATATAGGTTAAAAATAAAACTTACACAAATACAAGAGCATTGCTGCAGACCTTATTATCTGCAAGCCAACTGTGTGTGTGTGTGTTTCTGTCTGTCTGTCTAATCTCTCTCCGTTGCACTATTTGCACATTTCCTTAACAGTCTCTGTGCCACAGGAGTGTGTGGGAACTGAGTATCTCTCAAACTGTACAGGTATTCCAGGAACTGTCTCTAGATTTATTTTATTGGCCTTTACCCTGATGTCTTTTTTTCACAAGGTGTGATTAATAAAAACAAAACCAATCACCTCCTTTAATGTGAAATTTTTATATGTTTTCCCCACTTTTCTTTCTGTTTTGATCTTTAACCCCTTAAGGACACGACATGTGTGACATGTCATGATTCCCTTTTATTCCAGAAGTTTGGTCCTTAAGGGGTTAAAGGGACACTATAGTCACCCAGAGCACTTCAGCTCATTGAAGTGGTCTGGGTGCCAGGTCCCTCTAGGGTTAACCCTGCCTGCTGTAAACATAGCAGTTTCAGAGATACTGCTATGTTTACATTTGGGGTTAAGCCAGCCTCTAGTGGTTGTCTTCCGGACAGCCACTAGACGCGCATCTGCGACGCTGCAGGCATTTAATGCCCCCACCATGCAGAGCCTCCATAGGAAAGCATTGAAAAATGCTTTCCTATGGACACTTTGAATGCGCACGCGGCACTGCCGCGCATGCGCCTTCCACTCTGCTGACGTCAGCCACGGGAGCTGGCGGGGGAGAAGAGGTAAGGGAGCCCGGCGGTGGAAGAAGGTGAATAACTGAAGGGGTTTTAACCCCTTCAGCACCATGGGAGGGGGACCCTGAGGGTGGGGGCACCCTCAGGGTACTATAGAGTCAGGAACAACGATTTGTTTTCCTGACACTATAGTGATCCTTTAAACAGGAATTGTCACTTGTGGGTCATTTTGCTTCCATAGTGGCACTCAAGGGGAGAGGAATGAGGTAGACCTGTTTTTTAAATACTTTTTTATTGGATGATGGAAATGTAACACTGGAGACATTCCTTTTTGGTTTGACCAGGAGATGGAGTTAGGGCACTTTTTTTGCCCCTATATAGTAGAAAAAATGTGCCTAATGATTTCTGTCTGCATTGTATGACCATTTTTTTCCTTTTCGCTATCAGCCGTGGTTTTGAGTACAGAATTTTGGAGCGGTTCAATGTATTTTTAAAAATGGGTTTGTGGGATTTATAATTCAGCACTTGGCAACAATTCTATGAATGGATGGATTTGATGGCTAAGCTGATATCAGTGACACTACTGCTGACATTTCCATTCATTCTTCTATGTTTGATTTTCCCAAGATTAATAGGAGTTACACTCCCAGACAGCAGCTGTTATTTGAATTGTGTCTAATAATTTATCCCTTGTCCCAATAATGATTTGATAGGAGAGGGGCTAGGCTAATTTAGACAAAGTGATTCTGCCTCCATAGCACCTCTCTCAGTATACGATTATTAAGAAGGGGCTAAATTAAGGAGTCCATTTTCAGGAATGTAACTCCCACTATTCTAATCCCTAAGATTAAAATAACTCTCATCCTAATTTTAAAAAGTCCTGGAATATAACAGATTGCTAATGGTGAATCACACATTAAGGGCAAATAATGCCATACCTGTGATGTAGACCAGGTGTAGGCAAACCTTGGCACTCCAGATGTTGTGGACTACATATTCCATGATGCTTTGCCAACATTATGACAATAAGAGCATTCTGGGAGCTGTAGTCCACAACATCTGGAGTGCTGAAGGTTGCCTACCACTCTCCTAGACATAATATTCTCATGGTTTATTATTATGTATTCAGAACCCTCCAGTGGCATTACTTTACCATAGACCCTGCTTCAGTATTATGTATCATATTTATAATATTTATGTGAGTGTATGCACACATTATATATACAAGCACAGATAGAACACATATTATAGCACCGATATAACACATATTCTAAAATCCAGAGAGTGTAGTTATTCGCTGTCTGTCTTAGCACTGCAGGACATGCCATTTAGATGGACTGCCTTTATAAAATTGTAATTCTTTAGAACATCTCTAATGGACTTCAAGTCAAATAAGTTTATTACACCCAAGGACAGTCAGTGTTAGGCAGCTGTCACCAGAGGTTCGGCTCTGACTTATTCACGCTCTGTTAATTTCTGCGCAGTGCATTCTACATAATTAAATGTGAGCAGTAGACCAGGCTCGGCTGACTCAGTGTTCTAAAGAAGATACCACATTCTTTATTATCAAATACTTTTTTATTTATTGATGGAGGCTTTCCTTAGCTGTTTAAGAGTATCATTGCCACACATGTTCTACTCAGTACATTCATTTATGTGAATAACTTCTACTTACACAATGCTTGTTTGTTTGGTTTTATTATTTTTACGTTACGGTAGGAATCATTTTTAAAAAATGTAAATCCTTACTTGCTTACCCCGTTATCTGCCTACTTGTACTTGTAAATAAGATTAGTTCTTGTTTCTTCTTCACCTTTATGTTTATTTACTATAATTAATATGTTATTAGATAACAGCATTGCGTGGAATCCTGTGATTTTAGTGTTACGCTTCACTAAGATCAGATGTTCTGGAGGGGGAGGGATGGGGGATAAAAGAGGTTATTTTTGTTTTGTTTGTTTTTTTCTCAAACATAGCTATGTCATACTGATGATCCCTAATGATACCTAATCATGTACCCTATTATTTTACCGATGATCTCTAATCATGTATCCTATGATTTTTTTTCTTTCTACAGGTTCATGTGTCCTACACCCCAGGACAACGTTGAGTTGAAGCAATTCTTTTAGAAGGTGGAGTCTTGGGGTTGGCTGCCCCATACACCCAAATGGTACCATGGCAAGTCCACATGAGCCTCTAAGTTGGTCCCCTTCCCCTAATTTCATTGTGGAATCTATACGAGATGATAAAGACTACATGGTGGCATTTGGTGACCATGCCACCAGCGTCCACAATCATCAACAAGATACTCATGATAAGTGTGATGAACTAGAGAATGCTAGCAGCCCAGTCACAGCAGCTGCCTTGACATCGATAAGTGAAGACTCACGAGATCAGTTTGAGAACAGTGTCCTGCAGCTAAGGGACCAGGATGAGGCTGAGAATGTCCCACCTCAGGGAAGTAGTCACTCAGGAGACGGAGGAAGCAACAGTGGGGCAGAAGATATCAGGATACATTTCAGCCGGTCTGGGAGTGGAAATGGAGGCTTCTTAGAGGGGCTTTTTGGTTGTTTAAGGCCTGTGTGGAATATCATAGGAAAAGCATATTCTACGGACTACAAACTACAGCAGCAAGGTGAGTAGGTGTTAGCTAGTGAGAAAGCGTCGGTGTAGACGCAAAATGCGTCCAGTTGTTTTTTTTCTGATCATTCAATGATATGCTAATTATGTTTGCATGTTTATCAGCTAAAAGTATGTGGCTTTCTTTTTGCCTTGTACTCACAAGTTTTGAGTGAAGATCACTTTTTTTTAATAGAGATCCCTCAAAGAGTGGTGTGTGTCAGATGAGTAGGGCTTATAATGTGATTGCAAGGTGATTATGATACAGTCACTTTTTACTGCCTCAGTAAACCTTGCCCACAGTGGGGTCACATTGTCTGCCATATGAGCACCCCTTAGCCCCTACACAGCTCTAACATGACTACACTAACCATTAATCTATACACTATCCTACAGGGCCGTCTTTAATAGTGATTGGACCCTGGGCAAGCATTTGCCTTGGCCCCCTGGACCCTGCTGCCCTCCCACTCCCTGGCATGCAATCATGCCTTACACTCCAACCCAGTGGCGGAACTAATGCAGAGAAGCCCTGGTACAAGAAAGTTGTTTGGGCCTCCCCCTCTAGCACAAGAGTGGCGAAAAGATACATCCCCATCTGTCATACAATTCCCACAATGCTATGCCAGCTGGGGATCTATACTTTGCTCATCCTTGTAGGGTTGTATTTGTGTGCAGTGTTTGTGCATTTGAATGTAAGCCTGTTTTTGTATAGAGTATATGTGTGAATGTAGAGGTGTATTTGTATGTACTATTACAATTGGAATGCAAAGGTGTACTTGTGTGTAGTGTTTGCGTTTGAATGCAGTGGTGTGTGTTTGTATGTATGGTTGACTTTTAAATGCAGGTGTGCAACTGTGAGTTGGTGTATGCATATCATTTTGGCATTTTAATACTGGGTTTTGTTTGTATGTAATATTTGCCTTCAGGGTTGTTATAGAATGTAGTGTTGTCTTCTAAACATTTGTGTATAGTATTGGTGTTTGGGTAAAGGGTGTGTTTTATATATAATTTTGAGTTTGAAATCAGGGGTGTGTTTGTCTGTAATGTTTGTGTTATCAGGGATGTGCTTGCATGTTGTTTTTGTTTGCTGGGATGTATACACATACACAGTTACATACACATCAACACACATATAAACATACTGACCCATGCACATACCTTGACACACAGATACACACACTGGCACATGCACACAAATTCTGATATGCACACTGGCACATAAACACTCAGATACACACCTACACAGTTACACACACATACACACAGATACACACACTCTGACATACATGTGATAATTTTTATGTTTGCAGCAGGGCAGGAGCAGAGAGTTGGAGGAGGCACAACGCTTGTAAATGCTGATGCTGCTGTGGCAAGGCAAGCTGGTACTGTTATATGTAATGCACAACAAAAAAAATAATTTAAATATAAAATACAAAAAAAATACACACCAATTATGTTTCTCATCCTCTCATCACCTGTGCTTAAATGCAACTGCAGCAATAATTAAACTAATCTAAACAGAAAAAAAGCAGTGAGTGGGGGCACATAGTAGAAACGCAGTGAGTTGGGGCACAGGGTAAAAAAAGCAGTGAGGGGGGAAGGCAGGAGCAGTGAGTGGGGGAAGGCAGGGCAGGGGCAGAGAGTGGGGGCACAGAGAAGAGAAGAAGTGGGTAAGGCAGGGCAGGGGCAGAGAGTGGGGGCACAGAGAAGATAAGCAGTACGTGGGGGCACAGAGAAGAGAAGAAGTAAGTGGGGAAGGCAGGGCAGGGGCATTAAGTGGGGGCACAGAGAAGATAAGAAGTAAGTGGGGGCACAGAGAAGATAAGAAGTAAGTGGGGGCACAGAGAAGATAAGCAGTAAGTGGGGGAAAGCAGGGCAGGGGCATTGAGTGGGGTGGTTTTTCTAAAAACTATCCTAGCTGCAGCCATTCACCCAGAAGGAAAGGATCAGGGACTGGATACACTTACCTTCAACTCAGCTTAGAGCTGGCTGAGGCTGATGGGAGTGGGAATGAGCAGTAGCTCATACTTGCCTCTCCCCCCCACCCCCATGCTGATACCTGCTGCTGCCTCCTTCCTCCCGCGGTGCTCTCTTCTGAAGCTGGGAGGAAGTGATCGGCTGTCACTTCCTCCCATCCAGCTAATACTACAGGGGCCCGGTCTGCTCTTAAAGGGCCATGGCACCCCACCGGGTGCCTGTTCAGAGACACCCATCGGTGGCCCTAAATGCATGGGCCACCTGATAGGCCCCTCCAAATTGTTGTGGGCCCACAGGGCAGCTGCTTTGGGCCCCCCAGGAGTAACTGGGCCCAGGGCAGCTACCCCGTTTGCCCTGTGTTAAAGACGGCCCTGCTACCCCAACACAAACACCTTAACCCTTGCCAAAAACTATCATGTAATATAAATTATACCTAACAAGGAAGTGTATGTTAGTGGTCAGTAATGCCGTTTTGAAATTGAACAAACATTTATGAACCACTCGACCTTTGGTCTTGTTATTATGAAGCAAGTTGCATCACTGACAGCGCCCCCAGGGCCCAATTACATCACAAATCCATGCCTCCCAATGTTGAGAGGTATGCTTCAGGGTTTTTCAATAAAGTGGGAATTGTTGGGAATTTAATGCAAATTTCAAATGTAAGACTAAAGCATAGTTGAACTGGAAGCAGAGAATTTTTACATTTCAGTTATTTTGGCCATAAAGGTACACTTTATTCACCAAAAGGTATATGTAGCGGAGAGCTGGTATTACACAGCCTATCTCCACTTTAGATCCCAGGGAGGTTCAGGAACAAGCAATATAAATCCATAGGGTAAAGTATCCAGCAGGCAAAATAACAAAGCAGTATCCCAACAGCAATCCCAATAACTGGACGACACACAGTATCAGGAGCAGAACTAAAGATTTATTCACACAGTGGCCTTCTAAAGCCTGCTCCCATGCAAGGGAGGGATTTCCATTAATTTGTACAGTAGCCAATCCTGCTCTGGTAACCTTCCACACATCTCCTTCCCTCAGCCTGCATAATAATCCCCTTATCCAGCACACCAATTCCCCCCGTTTCTGGATGTACCCCTAAACTTAGGGGTACCCCTTTAAATTATACATCCCCTGGTAGCCCTGATCTGGGTGAACAACATATCCAAAAATCACCCAGATCAGACTAGGGGTTTGGGAAATTTATGGAGGGAATAAAATGACCGACCGCACTGGAGTGAACAGCTGAATGGGGTTCCATGCGATGGGGCCCTGCGGTCGGTCCTGGAGTAAGGGAATAAACTGCACGAAAGCCTCTAGCTACAGAGACTATGGAGGGTTCGCCTGAATCCCCTCGTTCGGTTGTTTCTATCTACCGAACGAGGGGCCGTTCGGTAGTTTGGAACCGAACGGACCGGGCTTGTGGAGGTGCCAGCGGTGTTCGCCTAGTCGAGTGCCCGATTTGAGTTCCAGACACTCGACGGCAAAACACCGCTGTTCGGGAGTTTTAAAATGGCCGCCGCCACGTGTTCGTTTCCCGAATGACGGCCACCCCCGAGAACAAAGGACGGCTACTCAGCTTGTCAATTACCCGTTCGCAACAATGTTGCAACGGATAATTGAAGGCACACTTCACACAGAGGAGGTCTGACTGTTCGGTAGTTTCATTCGAACAAACTAAGGGAATGAAACTACCTAACATTCAGACAAATACAATACATTTAACACATATAACTTTGCTATTTTACACGAATGCTGTGACAAATACAATACATTTAACACATATAACTTTGCTATTTTACACGAATGCTGTTATATTCAAACACATGTAATTCTCAGGACAGCCCAGTGCCATCCACTACAGTATACTTTAGTCACCAATGAAAGCATTTTTTTTGGATAAATCATGCCGTCAGTAGCAGCAAAACCTTCTAGTGTCAAAATAGGAGAGAAGATTACACAAAGACAATCTCTGTAAACCGTTAATTGTACTGAATTGAAATTTAACGTGCAAAATTCAGGTTATATTAGCCAACTGTTCACGTTCCTGTGTTGGAAAATTTTTCTACATTTTGTAATTTAATTTCAAATTTATATTAAATTAATAGACATGTCATGGTGTTACCGGAGGAATAACAGGAACAAACCGCAGAAGCCACACATAGAGATATGGACACAAGTCTTCAGGAAGTAACAGGTCTTTTATTTACACACCGATCGGGTCTCAGATGAACTCCTGTTCCAAAAATATCTGAGAGGCAGAAAGCATGGTGCAGAGGCCTTTTGTTAGCAGCATATCCCCTCCCATACAGTATAACCCCTCCTATATTCCTCAGACCAATCAGCACACAGGATATTCAGGATCACCTTATATGGGCAGACCACATGGCATTTACAAAGGAATGTACTATCCACTTCCACACATGCTCAGTATACTGATGACTCATCCAACTGTTTGTTATAAGATACTAATTAGCATATGCCATGTGGAGATTTCGCCCTACTAAATTTTGACCATGCTGGAATCCCATCACAATGGTTGATTATTTATTTCCATACAAACCAACAACACATGGAGAGACACAATTGTATTAAATAGCTAGGTGCAAACCAAACAAACACTCCATCAAATGTTTCAAATATCCAAATATCCAAATATCTATATAATATAGAATGCACACTATAACAATCTCAAAAAACTAGCTTCATTATGTACAAAAAGTACCAAAGTAAAAACATACAAGAAAAATAAACACAATGAAAGAAGCAAGGGGAGGGAGGGGTTGGTAACGTGTGTTTCTGTCTTGTGGCTTGTAAGAATCGTTTTTGGTATTTTACCATTACATTATTGTATTTGCCCTTGCTTCTGTCATTGTGTTTATTTTTCTTGTATGTTTTTACTTTGGTACTTTTTGTACATAATGAAGCTAGTTTTTTTAGATTGTTATAGTGTGCATTCTATATTATATAGATATTTGATTATTTATTTCCTACCTGTTCTATGTTAAATGTTGTATATATTGTGTATTAATATTGTTTTTGTATTTTATTGTATCCTATTGCATCAATGCAATGTTTTGTGGACCCAGGACATGCTTGGAAACAAGAGAAATCTCAGTGTATCTTTCCTGGTAAAATATTTTATAAATTAATAAATAAATATTTACAAAACACCAGCTTGATAAAAAAAAAAAAAAAAGGAAAATGTTAAAAATCAAAATGATGTTAAAAATCAAAATCCTGGGATAATGCTGGTTTTTATTATTAATATTAATTTTAGCATTTCCCCTTTTAACGTTAAGACCTGCTGGGAGGATTCATGATTTATAGTGTTTATAATTAAGGCTTTCTTAATCAGCCACCGGACAGATGGTTAAAAATCCCCTCCCTCCCAATCTCCATTGTCTGCTGCGGGAGGTCTGACATTACAGTGTTTATTGTCTGTCAGTGAGTGAGCAGCGTGCGTGTCAGCCTCTGTCTGTGTCAGATGGTCATGTGCAGGGCAAGGCCAGTGGGGAAAGGTGGGTGTGTGGGACCAATGCAAACAACAGCTGATCATCATTTATTGCCAAAGCCATTCCTTTTCTTATAGTGTGTACTGTGGGAGTTGTGTAGAATATTACCAAGAGAATGATTAAAGCGGACCTGAAAACATTCTTTACAGAAATCAGTTTTAAAAATTATACCAACATATTAATTGTGTTTAAACCAAACAGTTGTAAGTTGATCTGTTATTGCCATTTCAGAACTGGTGGTTTGTTGGCGTGGAGGTGGCACCACAATTTTTTAAGTAGTAAAAGGTGTTTAAAATAAAATGCTGATCGTGTGTGATGTAAGCAGCCACTCAGAACTTGAGATTATAACAGATCAGCTGTTAAATTCCAACAAGAAAAATTAAAGTCTAATCTGTCTGATATTGAATGCAATCAGTGCCAAGAAGAATTTTTATTATCCACTTCGTCCGTCCTAGATGTTAGTGATAGGCCGAGAGAGCTTGGGACATATCTCAGTGTATCAGCGCTCACCACACAGGACAGAATTGTTATTGCAAAGTCGAATGCACTACCAATCGTTGCACAAAACCTTTTTTATCATTGTATTTTCATATTTCGTTTTGATACCTTATTTATAAATTAATTAAAAACATAGGAGTTAATTTTTGAACAACAGTATTGTGTTGCAGTAATACATGTTTTATATTGGATTGGTAGTGTGTCCTTTTTTTTGTTTTTCTCTTTTTTGAGAAGTGGTGCTGTTCATATTCTTCTTTGGATTGCTGACATAGAGCGGATTTAGTCTAATAGGATTGTGGAGGAAGACAGAAAATACATGTTTGTCTACTCAGTAGGTGGGAAGTTGAAAGCCAAAATCCTTATCCAGGAGTCTAATACTGGCCAAGCTTGTTAACAGATTCTGGCATTTTTTTTTTAATGATTAATGGACCTTTCTACATTTTACATCCAGTTTATTTCAAGTAATTATTAGTCCCCAGATTTTGTTAGGTTCAAGGTTTAGTGCTAGATGACATTACAGCTTTATTCTGGACTTCAGTCCCATCTGAATGATTCAATTGCTTGAATATAAATGGCCCAGTCAATACACATATTTGTAGAAATTAGAAACGACTTAGACATAATCTGGAGTTTGATTCATTTTTTGGGGCTGGAGAAAGAGGATCATCATGATTTAAATGGCTTCAGAAAATTTTCCTTGAATGTTAGTTTGGAGTGGGTTAAAAAACGTTACATACAGTGAGTTCAGAGAGTATTCAGACCACTTCATTTTTTTTTTCACGTTTTTATGCTTCGTCCTTATGCTACAATTGCCAAAATATCACATTGACATAAGTATTCAGACCCTTTACTCAGTACTTCATTGAAGCACCTTTGGTATCGATTACAGCCTCATGTCTTTTTGGGTCTGAAAAGGGTAAGCATCTGGTGTTTCCGACATTCATATCTGCAGATCCTCTCGTGCTTTGTTAGGTTGGGTGGGGACCATAGGTGGTCGCTTAAGAGATGTTAAATTGGTTTCAGTTCCGTGCTCTGGCAGGGCCACTCAAGAACATGTGTCCGTAAGCCACTCTCACATTATCTTGTGTTAGTGCTTAGGATCATTGTCCTGTTAGAAGGTGCACCTTTGCCTCATTTTGTGAGGTTCTGAACCAGGCTTCCATTAAATCATGAGAAAGGTTGCCTAAGAGGGTGAAAGAGTGAAGGGCGACCTGCCTTTCCTCTAACACTCCCCCTAGGTATACCCACAGTAGTGAAAATAACTCATAGGGTATGAATAAAGTTATTTTCTATAAGTTATTTTCACTACTGTGGGTATACCTAGGGGGAGTTTTAGAAGAAAGGCAGGTCACCCTTCACTCTTTCACCCTCTTAGGCAACCTTTCTCGTGTTTGTACTATTTAGGGTTTAGGACCCTTTATATCCACATAGTCCATTTATATGTTGACTTCGGGATCAAGCTTTGCTTGACCCCTAAGGCTTCATCTTTTCTTTATCTTCCATTAAATGATCTCTGTATTTTGCTATGTATAGCTTTCCCTCAACCCTGACCAGTCTCCCAGTTCCTGAAAACACATCTCAAATCACGATGCTACCACCACACTTCACTGTTGGTATGGTTTTGCACAAGTAATGAGTGGAGCCTGTTTTCATCAAAACATAATGCTTAGAATTGAGGAGCAATAAAAAAATGTTTTTTTGTTTTTTTTTAATTTTTATATATATCAAAAATCATTAAGCTTATTACATATTTTAAGGCAAGGTTGTGTATTTCATACGTGTTCATGTCTGTGTGATTCCTTCTCTGCGTATGGAAAATTGGCTGCCCTCCACCCATGCTGCCTTAACCTATATAAATATCTATGCAACTGTGCTAGCCTGTATGGAGTCCCTGCGTCTAACCTCTGTTTTGTATTCTACTTTAGACACCTGGGAAGTCCCATTTGAAGAGATTTCAGAGCTGCAGTGGCTGGGAAGTGGTGCTCAAGGTGCGGTTTTCCTTGGCAAGTTCCATGGGGAGGAAGTCGCCATCAAGAAAGTGAGGGAGCAGAAGGAAACAGACATAAAGCATCTGCGAAAGTTAAAGCATCCCAACGTCATTGCATTTAAGTATGTATCATTGCTGTGCACTGAATGGTTTCGCCTTGTTACAGTGTTACAAGATGGTTACTTGACTGTTCAATGATTGACAGCTCACACGTACTTCCAAACCTGCCTCAAGCATAGAGAAATGAATTGAGGGAACAATGGATGCTAATTTGTTGGTCCTAAATTATGTAAATTATAATTTTGAGTTAAATAATTTGCTTATTTGTCATGGGGCACACCAGTCCTCGATCTTTATGATATTTGATTGTGAAACCTATGACGTCACAGGTAGAGTACATGGATGCTGATGTGATCTTTTTAGGTTTAACTGCTCCAACAAAATCCTTCAAAGTTTTTCAATGCCATATTTAGGCACAAAGAGACAATTCCAAGCCTATTGGAAATTGTAGCTATATAGCCGAAAAGAGACATGCGTCTATCAAATTCAGCCTTTCTCACATTTATTTTGCTGTTGATCCAAAAGAAGGCAAAAAACACAGTTTGAAGCAAAAATTTTGCAACAGTCTAGGAAGAAAATTCCTTCTTGACCCCAGAATGGCATCCTCCTTGGATCAAACAGCTGTTACCCCACTAATTAATAATTATATCCCTGCATATTATATTTTTGCAAGCATTTATTAAATTGCTGTCTAAACATTTAATCCAGATCCAGCATCTCAGCAATCCATCCATCTCTCTCTTTTCTTGTATCCCTCCATCTTTGAGATGTCTATTCCTGTGATAAGTAAATATTGCAGTGGGCATGAAAGTGGATGATTCATAAGTGACATACTCCCACTACTAACTAAAATCAGAGAATGTGTAATAACGCTGAAACCTTTTACAATCCTGCAATAACATTCATTATTCCTTTATTGTTTCTACTGGTGGATATATTCTGAACGTTGTATCTTGTATCTAAAATCTAACAAAGAATTCTTGCAGAATCTTTTATGATGCACCAGTGGCATGCAGACTTTTCCTTTGAGAGCAGACCCCTTGAAACATTGGCTGCAGTGATCTACTCTTGCAAATAGAGCTTAGGGGACACATATGTTTTATAAAATATTTTGTGAGTGCTCCTGATTCTTTGCAAAATGTACATTACATGCCGTTACTAACTGAGCACTTACGAAATGATTGCTGTAAATGGAAAATTTACGGTGTCTGGGTTAAGATGAGCGTGTTGATCTTGTTTATAGTAATAAAGAATAATGCCCCCATTTCACAAACTAAGTTACACTGAATTGCACCTGGGCATAGAAAGCGATTCATGTGAGTGCCATGTAATGTACTTGAGTAGAAGCCTAAAGGAATCCAACAACTGGCAGAGAGGGTATGAACAGATTATTGGATCCTACGGTGTAGTGAAGATTGTGACAAAGCTGGAACCAGAATGTTTATATAACCAAACACCTCATTTTGTAGAACTTGTCCGTAGTGTCCGTAAGTATGACATTGTCTTTTTAATAGGCAAAGTGGGGGGAATTTTTTAAGACATGAACAAGTGGAATTGTGAGGCAATGGGGTGAGCAAGGAGCATCTTGAATATCAATAGTATGATTCTCAACAATTTCCACCCATTTTGCCTCTGATGACATGTGTTTGACCCCATATATTTGAGTAATGAGGCAGTTTTATTGATGAGTTAAATTAATCTGATCATCTTTATTGTAGTGATCCAATGGTCCGGTACCAGGCTTATCTATAAAACAATGGGAAGGAGGAGGCAGTTCCTGTGTAGAGCAATGATATGAGAAACCAGTTCCAACAATTATGTGTGTAAGAGCCAAAGGCCAGAAGTGTTTGGGCATAAATGTCTGGACGTTTTGTGGTCTATTCATCACCTGCTGTAGTAGGCACTTTGTAAGCCAATTCCTTAAAAGGGCATTAAAGGCATGCATGCACATTGACCAAGATGCCACAGCAGTTATGCTGGGATAGATACCTGCCTAACTCTATTTACCATGGCAGCTAGAACCATACCATGTTTTGTGTTGTGTGTTTGAAAGTCAGAAATGTCCTTTAATAGGTTTATTGCAGTGGGTTTTGAACTTGTAGGATCCACAGGTTACATGCAAAACTCTTCCTGCTTATGGTATGTGCTGTTAGTAGATCTCAAGCGTTAACCCTATCAGGTCCAGGATTTTGAGACACTCTTGTTATCATGACAATCCTTACAGGCTCTCAATGAGTTAACAATACATCACTAAGCAACTGCATGGTGAGCTGTACGCATGCAGTTATTACATGCCCATCTCTGTGATGTTGCTGTCTCTACAGCTAAACTCCCCTTAATGCTCTGCCTTTTTCTCTCTCTCTCTAGTCTCATACTATATCCTCCCTCTCTGAGCTTTTTTGTTCTCTCTTGCATGCCTGATTCTGGTCTCTCTCGCACATTTTTCCTCCCTCTTCCTGTTTCGTTTTTCCACTCATTCCACTCTCCCTCCTCTTGTTCTGTATGATTTGCACATGCGTCTTCAACAGTAAACAACAAATGACACGTATTTGGTTCATTTAAGGTGAGAGGTTGGAGAGTCAACCAAGTTATTTTAGTGAAAAAATGTACGGAGGTGTGTACTGCATCATCCCCAGCTCCATCTAACAAGCTCTGCAAAACTGTGCTACTTTTTTTATTGCAAACCTTATGAATTTTGTTGTCTTCCCCATTGAACATTGGCAAAAACAAATCTCTTAAAATGAAGAAAATAAAAACATAACATTTCCAAAATCAATCAGTGTCTGTACCCGCGGCAGTAGAATAGCGATACTCATTCTCTTTACCTGAACCAAAATATACCTTTTTGTATGCACCACTATCTGTCCTATGAAATGAAAGTATAAAAAGAAGATTACAGGCTGCCTGGTTTTATTTTAGGAATCCTTGAACTGCACAGTAGAACACAGCCGAGCTAGATGTCATCTAACTCCTTCACTGCCTTTTCTGCCAGAAGTAATGTGTATAAGATTTGTTTGCCTATCAAAGTGTAAGAGCATAAATTGAGGAGGGTTAAAAGTAATGGGTTTATGGCTGGCAACATAATTATTTTATAAGTTTTGGCAAACCATTCATTTCTTATGGATTGAATGTTGTAAGATCATTCAAAATATTTGTAGAATTTACATGTTTGAAATAGTAATGCAGATATTGAGAACCTGTGGCTTTGTGGATGTTCTTGTATATCAACCAATCCTGCTACAGATGCTACTGATGGGAGGAGTAGTCTAAAATGGCTGATGAGCCCCAGGATGGTTGTTTTTGCTCTAGAATACTCTGACCGCTTCCTCTTGTCCTGGAGAAAGCCTTCCTATTAAATAATAAATTATTTCTCTTTTACAGAGGTGTTTGCACACAGGCCCCCTGTTACTGCCTTATCATGGAGTATTGTGCACACGGACAACTCTATGAGGTGCTCAGGGCAGGACGAAAAGTAACCCCCCGGCTACTAGTGGACTGGTCAACTGGCATAGCTGGTGGCATGAACTACCTCCACCTGCACAAGATCATCCACAGGGACCTCAAATCACCCAAGTAAGTTCTACTTTAGCTGGTTCTACTCTGGAACATGATCTCACTGTACTCCAATGAAGTTCAGTCTCCATATTAGGTTGATCAGTAGCTTTTCAGCATCATGCCTGGATTCTTTGGTTTTTTGGAGGGTTATTTTAAGAGTACAATATGCACAAGGTCCTAGTTGACCATTTAAATACAGTAAGCTGCTTACATTAGCTTTCTCAGATTGATTCATTCAGTTTAATTTCTCCTCGTCAACATCCGTGTAAAACACACATCTCCACACCTGCCATGACATGATGTCAAATGCTTATTGCTCTTACATGATGGATTGCAAAGCCAGGCTTAAAAAGCATGCGGCACATTGGTATGAAATCCATTATGCCAGTTAGAAAAACAAGAGACTGTTTTGTGTTTAAAAGGAAAAATCTTCTAAGGTTCAAATAATGGGCTAGAGCCATACTTATATTGAGATTTTCACATTGTGTTTACCAAGATAGCCACCCACCCCTGGCCTTTAATGTCCATTTACACAGATGACACTCATTTTCTAGTAATATAATTTTTATTTTTAGGATATTACAGTACAGGGCGCAATGAGTTACATTTTTATATACATATTATGTAAGGTTATCATACTTCAAATTTGTATATTTGTTGATTGACTCCCCTCCCCTTTCCTACCCTACCCTTCTCTTCCTTAATTGTTTTTGTTTAAAAATTATATTGAAAACTGTTTAATAAAAATAATTTTAATAGAATATAATAAACAGTAATAACATGGATTTGCCACGCTTATATCTAAATGGCAAAATCATGTCATGTGGATTAATTATGCAAAGCACAATGCAGTTGCTGTAGAAATCACTATTATCGGTTGTAAGAAAGCTTAGTACAGTAACACAGATAGTTCCTGTTGCTATAGGTGCTGGAAAGAATACAACAATATAAATATATTTGTTCATTCTACAATAAGTTTTGGGGAACGGAGAGTGAATTTGCCAAATGTAGGCTTATATAGCTGGATAAATAGGTCGGCTTCATTGTAATGATCTTGATGCTACAAGGTTGGACCTAGGTTTGAACCAATGTATTGTCAATGTTTATAGATAATCTGTTTCAAATAAATATGTAGGTATTCGCCCACTACAGAAAATAGTAATGCTGGTCAGATACCCAATTTGAACTAGAACAAACTAGAATTCTAGATAGAAAAATAAACTAAAGTATATACAAATAAATTAGTGGAAGGTGAACATATTAGTTACTAGAACAAGTGTAATCTTAATAATGAGGTTCTGTTCAAAAGTTTTCAGAAACCTTCATCCAGTAGTACGTGCAAAACTAAGTTTTGCAATTCACATGTGCTGCGTAAATTGGAAACTCTATATTGTAGCAGGTTAAACATACGGACCCAAAGTATCAAACTGCGGTCTACCTCAGATCTCCAAGGGAAGCTGATTCAATGGCGTTCCGCGAGTCCTACAGGGTTATAAATAAGTATTAACTATGTTCTGTGTAATTTCAGCGTTACGCTGAATATGTTGGTCAAATTGTAGAAAGTCTAGAAAATTAGTCTATACCAGAAATGTGGATCCAGTACTAAATCATAATCTTATTAATCAGCATACCGATCTTGTTAGACGCTGCACCCCAATCCTGGTAGGAGGTAAATACTGTGTTACCGATCCCTGCTTCTAAGCGCTATGTAACTGAGTTGATCAGCATAAGTGAATAAATACCTAACCACTACAGCTAAAAAATATATATATGTTATTAGATGTCCCAAAGGATCACCGAAAAGGACAGAGCATCTGATTTGCCAACAATTAACTGTACTAGTGCTGTCAGAAGCTAAAGTGGTTAAGTCAACTCGAGATCTCGGAGCTATGGTAATAGCTGGTCTTGTACACAAAGCTTCAGGATCACGAGTTCCCCTGATGCGTGTGTTTCGCCCACGACTCATCAGAGTCTATATATGCTTATCCAGGAAGAATATTCCTATTTTTTGAGAATTAAATACATGTTTTACTATTACCAATAAAAGTTAAATTTTAAGGGCACTCACTCCTTTTCTCTTACTAATTTCTTAGTTAGAGGGTTAACCCCTTTAAGAGTTCCCTTTCAGCTTCCTCCTTTTTGTACTATTTTCTAATGCTATAAGGTGTTATAAAGCCCACTAGCCATTGACATGCTGGTCTTTGCGTTCTCCCTGCAGTGTACTGGTCACCCACACAGATACAGTGAAGATCTCAGACTTTGGCACATCCAAAGAGCTTAGTGATAAGAGTACCAAGATGTCTTTTGCGGGCACTGTGGCCTGGATGGCACCTGAAGTTATACGCAATGAACCTGTCTCTGAGAAAGTAGACATCTGGTGAGTCTTTATACACGTTATTGTATAAATGTCTGTTTAATTGAAATACACTGTATACTGCATCATATGTTACTTTACTGCATGTTCCATTCCTGCTTGTTATAAAGCACCTGCCATAGCATTTATTTTAACACAGTGTACAATTTCAGAGTGTAACCTAGGGGTGGTTAGCTGGTAGCTCTTTTACCAGCTGAGAGTTCCGAAAGCTGTTGTTCAATAATAGCTGGAGTTCTACCTCTTTGCGATACGTAGCCAATTGAGATTACTTTGGAGGCATAGCGATGATGTTGGATTCAATAAAGGAACACTGTTATACATTTTTATTATTATTTAATATAAAAGATTACATGCAATATATCCTGTTTGTGTTCATTTGCAATGTATGCACATACATTAATAGTTTTTATCAGTGTATTGAGGGTTCCCTTGCTCTGCGAAAGCAGTCAATCTTTAAAACCTCTTCAGTAACAAGTAGGTTCTACTTATGTGCCAACGCTAAAAGTACTTCAAAGAAATAAAGCTGGCATGTGGCATTTCTGGGACTATTTACCATAGAACACAAAAAAAATTTTTTGGCACTTTTTATCTAGAACACTACCTTTATTTGCCTTGATAAATGCCCGCCCCGTCCCCCTCCCCCACCATAATGTTTTAAATAATAATAACTGATTACATTTTTCCTTTAGGCTTTTTACAGGTATGACTATCTATCAATCTGAAAAGTGATGACACGTTCAACTATGCACTGTTAGCCAAATAGTATAAATGACAAATTCAAGAACAGTAAAAACATATAATAGCCATGAATGCTCTGCTTTGGGGAAAAAAAATGTTTACAAAGATCTCCACTGCTTTGGAATTGTAATCCTGGTAGAAAGCAAAGCATTGTTTGTTGACACTTTGTTGTACTTTACTGATACAATATGAATCAATTTTTATATTTACTGTTCTTCAGGTCCTTTGGTGTCTTGCTGTGGGAACTTCTAACTGGAGAGATTCCTTATAAGGATGTAGACTCCTCGGCCATAATTTGGGGTGTTGGCAGCAACAGCCTCCACCTACCTGTTCCATCAACCTGTCCCGATGGCTTCAAACTCCTCATGAAGCAGACATGGTAAGATGATCTGTTCTAGGGTGTCATTAAGTGTAAATGTACAATGTTTCTGGTGGTATGTAATTATTAGATGGTCCATACCATACCTCGTGTAGAATAGATTTAATATCACACACTGTTTTCATAGAGGTGGCTTTTCTTCACAGTTACTGTATGTGAACTCATATTCTATGAACAATACAGTTGTGTAAGAATCGTCTCCTGCTGCCTGCCAAGGATTGGGTTACCACTAAAAATTTATTTTGAAAGTAAATATTCAAATATTGCTAATGGAATGGTCTAAAAAATAATGGCAGCTAATGTCACTCATGGACATTTTGAATCAGAGAAGAACAATGGTTGCACCTTAACGATATCAGTGATAAACAGATATTTCACAGAATTGTTACTACATAACACAAAAAGTACAACCCCAAATATTGACGGAGAATTGAATCCACATCTTTGTAATAGAGTCTCAATAAAAATTGTACGCCGTGGTCTTCACCAAGCTAAAATTTGTGACACATCCACCATTTGGATATGGCTTGTATCCAGCACTAAAACATAAAGCTTCATAGCCAAGTATAGAAATCCAGATAGCAGGATAGTGGGTGAAACTTTCACTCTAGATTTTTTTTTTTTTAGATATTAATAGGTTTTCTTTTTAAGAAAATCAAAGGGTTCTTCCAGTGGGCATTATCTTTCTAGTGTCAGCTGTTAAATATCGTGGGGACACATATCAGACATTTGTTCATGAATGTCGAGAATATATGAAACGGATGGCAAATCCCATTTGCTACTGTGGTCAGTAAAGCAATCTAGGTTTTTATTCACTTCCCAAATTTCAAAAGTCAAGGATTAAATGAGTGGATCCAGTCAAAGAAGAACTCCCCATTATATTGTTTGCGCTGGTTAGGTACAGACTAATGTACCTAATGCAGTGTCCCATCCATCAATAAACCCTGAGAAGCATCCTGTCCATTACTAAACCCCCGAGCAGCATCCTATCCATCACTAAACCTGGAGGAATGCCTGTCCATCACTTAACCCCGAGCAGTGTCCTGTCCATCACTAAACCCCAAGCAGTGTTCAGTCCATCACTAAACCCCAAGCAGTGTCCTGTCCATCATTTAACCCCGAGCAGTGTCCTGTCCATCACTAAACCTGGAGGAATGCCTGTCCATCACTTAACCCAGAACAGTGTCCTGTTCATCACTAAACCCCAAGCAGTGTCCTGTCCATCACTTAACCCCAAGCAGTGTTCAGTCCATCACTTAACCCCGAGCAGTTACCCTGTCCATTACTAAACCCCGAGCAGTTACCCTGTCCATTACTAAACCCCGAGCAGTTACCCTGTCCATTACTAAACCCCGAGCAGTTACCCTGTCCATTACTAAACCCTGAGCAGTTACCCTGTCCATTACTAAACCCTGAGCAGTGTCCTGTCCATCACTAAAACTGAGCAGTGTATAAACAAATAAAGAGAGGATTACCGTACACTTATTACAATCCTGGTTCAACCAGACCTGGGGTGGCTACCCCTCCTGTGATAGTTGAACACAAATTGCAGTCCAGGCACTCAAGGATCAATTCAGCAGGTTTATTGGAACAAAGTGCAATGTTTCGATCCCACAAGGGATCTATCTCAAGACTGAGGAGCATCCTGTCCATCACTAAACTCTGAGTAGCGTTCTGTCTAATACTAAACCCCATGAAGCATTCCCTTCCATCACTAAGCCTCGAGCAGTGTCCTATCCATCACTAAACACTGAGCAGCGTCCTATCCATCACTAAACCCCGAGCAGCGCTCTGTCCATCACTAAACCCCGAGCAGCGCTCTGTCCATCAATAAGACCCGAGCAGCGCTCTGTCCATCAATAAGCCCCGAGCAGCGCTCTGTCCATCACTACACCCCGAGCAGCGCTCTGTCCATGACTACACCCCGAGCAGCGCTCTGTCCATGACTACACCCCGAGCAGCGCTCTGTCCATCACTACACCCCGAGCAGCGCTCTGTCCATCACTACACCCCGAGCAGCGCTCTGTCCATCACTACACCCCGAGCAGCGCTCTGTCCATCACTACACCCCGAGCAGCGCTCTGTCCATCACTACACCCCGAGCAGCGCTCTGTCCATCACTACACCCCGAGCAGCGCTCTGTCCATCACTACACCCCGAGCAGCGCTCTGTCCATCACTACACCCCGAGCAGCGCTCTGTCCATCACTACACCCCGAGCAGCGCTCTGTCCATCACTACACCCCGAGCAGTGCTCTGTCCATCACTACACCCCGAGCAGCCCTCTGTACATCACTAAGCCCCAAGCAGCATCCTGTCCATCACTAAACATTGAAGCCTGTCAGAAACGCTCAGGTGTCATTAAAATAGTTGGAATAAAGTTCCTCTTTATATTTATTTACTCTTACTATATGTAAGATAACTTTTTTTTTTTTTTTTGCCGATCCCACATTAATTTAATCTTTTATTTTTTTATTTTTTTTATTTCGTATGCAACATGTTAGCAGACATACAACAGATTTGAAAAGTGGGTGCATTGTTGCCTACACAGAGGCAGATGACGTCAAACAGACAAGAGTAAGGCTAATTACATATTTCGTAGTCGTTCCGACCTGGGTAATGATGGGCATTTCGTAACCTCTGATTGAGAGCAGTTTACCCACGCAGGGGTAGTTTTGTATACTTAGTAAATGGTTTGGGATGTGGGGTTGTGTCATCAGTAGTTTTACAGCAGTAGCCTACGCAGAGACTTATAACACATGGTCCCTGTGGTTGTTTTTTTTGAGGCCGGCATCTTGTTTTGTATTGTGCCTTTCTTAAGCAGATTGGGTATGTGATCTCATAGGGTGTAGCGACTATGGTGATATTGTTTTACGATATATTGCACAGTGGGTGCCATTGCATGTCTTCCGTAAGGAATTGGTTAGTCGATGTTAGGGTGCTATATAATGTATCTAGGTCAGATTTTGTTGCGGGATAAGGCGGTCCGTCCCCATTGGTTGCCTTGTATGAGCGTCTGTGTTCAGAACCCGTGCCGTGGCGCCCTTGTGTTATTTCTCTCGGTTTGAGGCTGTCTCCGGGTTGGGGTCAGTCGGGCTATCTGTATGTCTTTGTGTGGTTGTGGGGGATGTGTTCTTGTGCGTGTGTCGCTGGTGGTGTTGGTTTAGTAGTTTGGGGGCGATGGTTTATGGTCCCGATGGGTGGGGGACTCGTTTGGCGGGCTTCTATAGGTAGTGTCAGCTTCCCCTTATCTAGCGTGGTGCCCTGGTCCTAGAGTCCGGTCTCAGTCACCCCGGATCCCGGTCTCATCCTTCCATGTCCACGGTCGGGGTTCAGTGTTGGTTCAGGGCAGGTTCGTGTCTCGACCCATGGGACAATGTGCGCTTCGGGGGTGCGGGGGTGGCGTGTGGTTGTGTGGGGGGGGATCTTGGGTGTCCTCCCTCCTCCTCTCCGCTTGGGCGTGATGGTGTCTCTTGTGCCTTGTGAAGGTTAGGACCGTGGGGATGGGACGGGCGTTCTGTGTGGTATAGCATGGCCCTGTGGTGGTATGTCTGAGTTTGTTCTGTCTTAGTGTTTTGTGGGGGAGTATGTCATGTTCCTGGGGGGGGGGGGTTTGAGGTGGGGTCACCCCGCAGGACCGGAGCCCCCGCGCCCCACCGGCGCCCGTGATCCCCGTCGGCACAATCTGTTGCATGTGTTCCCATTGCAGTCTTCGGGTGTCGCTGCCTTGGTCCTCAGGTGCCCTGTCTCCAGGTGTGTGTGCCGTGGTCTCCTGGTCTGCGTGGTGTGTTGCCCTGTGATCCGTAGGCCCTCAACCGTCGTTGTCCATCCGTCGTGGGCGTGTTCCTGGGTTTTGTCTAGTGGTTAGCCATTGTAGCCAGTGGAACCATGTCTTCAGGTACGTCTGGGGTCTCCCTTTTGCAGTCAGGATCATTTCCTCTATAGTCCTTATGTCCTCTACCCTTGTTATCCAGTCAGTCAGGGTTGGTATTATGGATTTTTTCTAGAATGTTGGGATTAGGCTACGTGCCACATTCACTAGGTACGGGGTGATCATTTTTTTGTAGGCGGGGGGTTGTAGAGGAGTCAGGTGTAGTAGGTAGTTTTCTGGCGTGAGTTCTATGGCGTTGTCTGTGAGCGTTGTAACCACCTGGTGTATTTCATGCCAGAAGGGTTTAATCCGCGGGCATGTCCACCAGATGTGGTATAGCGTGCCCAGCTCAGTTCCGCATCTCCAACATTGTGGTGCGCTTGTGTCATACATAGTGGCCAGTTTCTCTGGTGTTCTTGGTATCTGGTGCTTATGGAGGTTTTGTGTGTCATCGTGAATGCTGTGGTCCATTGGTCTTGGGTCAGCGGATGCTCAAGGTCTCTTTCCCAGTATCTGGTGAAGTAGGGAAGTTGGGTGTCTCCCTGTGGTGAGTTTAGTAGTCGGTACAGGAGTGATATGGCGTGCGGCGTGGGGGCGTCTTGTGTACAGATGGCCTCAAACGTGGTCAGGGGTCTAGCAGCCGAGGGTAGGTTGGGGGTAAGATAACTTTTTAATGAAAAATTTAATAACATAAATATTTTAATTAACTAACATTTAATTTTGGCAACTGAAAAACTGTTTCAATGTTCTGGAAATGTTGAATATAAACATTAGACTTTGCATTGATGCTGCTGGTATAAGTGTATCAAAGTATTTAATGTGCTCATTCTTCTGTACAGGCAGAGCAAACCCCGTAACCGACCATCATTCAGACAGATTCTCATGCACCTGGATATCGCCTCTGCGGACGTCCTCGGAACTCCCCAGGAGACCTACTTTAAATCGCAGGTAGGAGTAGTGTCTGATCTGCCTACTCAGTTCATCAGTTTATCCACGAGTAAACCATCCATTTATCAAAAACAACACCTTTATAGAGTCTAATAATAAATGGCAAAAGCATCTTTCTTATTGCAAGTTTTATTCTAAATGTCCCATTATGTTCCTAGTTAAAGTTCAAGGAACCTGTTGGAGCAGAAATTGCATTATTCTTGCATTGTAAGCAAAATAATGTTACCCTAGTGAACAGCCATAGTTAGATAGTGCCATGATGCTGTTTGTTTACCAATTTGTGTCGTACACGTTTATTCCCGAGTGCATGTTGAACACTGACAGCCATCAGAAAGACACTCCTCCTCATTCCGAGCTCAGACTGTGAGTAAACTGTCAGCAGGCTACAGGTAAGGTGGGTGGATATTACGAGTGGCAATTACTTTGCTGTGAATGCTCCATTAATTTCCCAGTTGATTCAACACAGTGTTAAAGATAATGGAAGAGTGCAGCCACCCTCCATCTGATGAACATGACTCAGAGGTTTTTAGCTGAGCCCAAAAATAGCTAATTTCTTTCTGATAACGACTCAAATGGCCAAAGCATTTGTGAGCGTATTATGACCTGTATTGTATCGTCAGCTCCTCTAAGAGCCTTTAATGGCTTTTCTAATGTTAGAGTACTTCCGTTCTGTGCAGACTCCCACCTCCCTCCCATTCTCCTATCTGCCTTATTAAATCAATGCCTTAGATTATTTTTTGTTCTACACTTTCAGTATTTCCTTACATCAACATCCACTTTCCATTTACAGTCCTCCATGAATACAAAGGATCATAGTAATTTGCAGATTCTTTTAACCCTGACTGTAGCATAGAGTACTGATAAAGCTGTACTGTCTTACTTAAAATGTTACAGAGATGTTAGCAGGAAGAAACTATTCCAAATTGAGTACGTCAAAGTACTTGCTTTTTGTGTTTCCACAAAAGAGGATTTTTTTGTTGAAAGGGCCATATTTGTGAAGCAGAGGTCATTAGTGGTGTTACTTAAGAACTGTTGATTTAGGTTTTTACATTTTTTTAAAAAAATGTATGGGGTGGTCGAATAGAGCACTTTGGCTCTTGCTAAATATTATATTATAACATAGCAGACGGATATTTATTTTGTCACTGACATTATTGATGAAAGAATTGTTGAACCTTTTCTTACAATTGTGTAAAAAAAAATTTACATTTAAAAAAAGAAGCATTTGGAATGATGTTGACTTGTCAACCTCTTGTTTTGACTTCTATTCTTGAATAGGTGGTTCTTTATATTTTTGGTCTGTCATCCTATTCTTAGGCTGAGTGGAGGGAAGAGGTGAAAAAGCACTTTGAGAAGATAAAAAGTGAAGGAACCTGCATTCATCGCCTGGATGAGGAGCTAATCCGTAGGCGCAGAGAAGAACTGAGGTGGGTTCTTAATCCTTCTCATGTAGGATTAAAACATTTATTGTTCCTTGTAATGGTATAAGATCTACCCCAATATGATTTGAAATGGCAAAGATCACACCACATCAGTTACCTAATAAAATTGAGTAATATTCCAGGGCTAATGTAAGCCATTAATAGTTGTTGAGTAGACTGTTTATTTGTGAATTCTCCATTGATGATCTCATAACAATTAACCGAGTCTTAGGTATGTTTTTCCATTCTCTTAGTTCAACCTAAAATTTGCAGTTTTCTGCTCAAGTCATTACGATTCTCAGGTTTGTGAATAAACATGACGGTTTGTAACTGTAACTGTTGGGTGTTGTTAATTGGAATTCCATATAAAGATTACAGGATTTGAAGAACACAGCAGTCTTAAACATGATGGTGGAATCAGTGCCAGCTATATTTATCATCTTATCGTGATGCTTACTGAACTATGGATTTTTATTTTAATAAACTGTGTAAATGGTGTTCTCTTTTTCAGGCATGCACTGGATATCCGCGAGCATTATGAACGCAAACTGGAGAGAGCGAACAACTTGTACATGGAGCTCAGTGCTATCATGCTTCAGCTGGAGGTGCGGGAGAAGGAGCTGGTCAGGTATGTATGCTTATATAGATCTAGCCATCACTGGCGTCAAATCACAGAATCTGGTATTAAGTAGAAAAGACGAGGGAATAGCAAGTTTTAGGCCAAATAGATGAGCTTGAAAAATAGCTGAATGGGAAAGTTTCCAGTTTGGTTAGTTTTACCTAAGAGTTGTATTTTCCTTTTTAGTTCTCCTTGCTTCCCAGTTTAGTAAATAAGCACAATAATTCCACACATCTAGCTACTCGTCCAAAAAGTCAAGGAAGCAGCACAGCACACCAAGCAGACACTGTTCGGCTTATTCACTGAACTCCAAATGAAAGTCAAAATGGCAAAATTAAGGCATTAAGCATATCCCATAAACCAATGTCAAGAATGGGTTTACACAACATATAGTTGAGATGAGTGGGCATGTTGCTTAAGCTGATGGTAGTTGTAATAGCTGCAATAGCTTGGTCGTGGTTCGGAATCCCCATAGACAGCTGTGAACAAGCTAGTTAAAACTCCTATAACACTTATAATATGTGCCTGTCTACAGATCACACATCGTAAAAGTAGTTTGGATAGAGACAGTAAAAGATTCTTCAGTGACATCTATGAATGTGTGGATATATTTAAAGCTGTGGGGATATTTGGAAACTGCTGTAGCAATAGTCAGTAACGATCAGTGGTGTAGGTGATTAATACGTGTTTTTGGGCTTTCCTATACCAGACGTGAACAGGCAGTAGAGAAGAAATATCCGGGGACATATAAACGCCATCCTGTCCGACCCATTGTCCATCCCAATGCTGTTGAGAAACTTATCAAAAAGAAAGGTGCTTCCTCTAAGACCGTTTCACAGACAAAGAGGTAAGTTATGTCTCACTGCCCATACTGCAACAGTGACCATTTTTGTTCCTCTGTCTTGCAGTTATTAAGCTTCTAATTACTTATTGACATCTACCTGTTAACACCTTCTCAAGCATGGTGGGACTCGCTAAACTGCTTAATGTGCATCAATTGCAGTCTAACACTACTTTTTTCACTTACAGACCAGATCTCCTCAAGTCAGATGGCATTGCCAGTGTAGAGGGGACTGCACCAAGTGGATCACCCATTTCTGGAAGTCCCAAGATCACAGCAGGAGGGAAAAACCGGTACCGCAGCAAGCCACGTCACCGGAGAGGCAACAGTAAAGGAAGCCACAGTGACTTCCTAGCTATCCTGAAACAGCAGGATTCTCAGTCTCCTTCTCTTCCTTCCACTCATCATCATCCTCCTCCTTCTCCACTTTTTACTCCTAGCAGCACTCACAATGAACATACCCCACCCACACCATCCCGTCAACAAACTCTTAATGTGCATGGTCAGAACATCGCTTTATGTGCCAACAATCTACGCTACTTTGGCCCTGCAGCTGCACTAAGGAGCCCCCTGAGCAGTCATGCACAGCGGTGTATGTCTGGATCTAGCCCTGATCTCCTCTCCAGTACTCTGGAGGCAGACAGTCGTATTAGTTCTGTAAATGACTGGGAATATTGCCAACAAGATACTTATAAACCCTGCCCTGGCTGTGCTGAGGTGTCTGCTCATCAAAACTTGGACTCTGGAAATTGGGACAATTCTAGTATTGGGCGCATGGAGATGGGATTGGATGGAATTCCACCAGACTCTCCAAGGCACAACCACATGCAAGATCTACCTGAGACTCTGGAAGGCGATGGCGATCAGCTTACCAACATTAGGGCAACTCTGGGTGTGGTTGCACTGACAGCACCAACCCCTTCTGCACTGCCACGCAGGATACAAGCCCTGCGAAAGGTACTTAAAATGCATATCAAGTTCTGGTATCTACTATGTTATATAATTTAGGTACATTGTTGAGAAAAACACAACTTTCAATCTTTTCTAAAATACCCAAACCAGTTACTTAAAATATTAAAAACTCTAAATGGGCTTGTTATATAATTTCAGTGGCAATTTATTTTGTCTAAAAAAACCATAAATAAATTTGGCATATATAATTAATATGGACCCATCACAACCCAGGATTTGTAATATTATGTTTACTGATCCCCTTTTCTTGACAAACTATGTGTATGTAAGATACGTAAAAACACAATTTAAGGTGCCATGGGAACCACCTATTGTAAGTAGTCAAACTGATTTAGAATGATTTGATTTCTTACCTGAGGCCCGCCAGGCTTCCCCTAATGCAGGTAGCAGTAAAAACCAGAAACTCCTTTTAAGAGCTCTCCTAAGCTACGCCCTGCAGTGCAGGGATAGTTCTTTGACGTAACATAAAAAATATCTTCTTTTTCACAGGATGGTGATGAATCATCTGAAGAAGAGGAAGGAGAAGTGGACAGTGAGGTGGAGTTCCCTAGAAGACACAGGCCTTCCAGAGGCATGGTTACCTGCCAGTCGTATTCAACATTCAGTTCAGAAAATTTCTCTGTGTCGGATGGTGAAGAAGGAAACACCAGCGACCATTCCAACAGCCCAGATGATATGGCTGGATGCAACAAAGACCACTTGGGCGACAAGTTGGAGGACATGTTGTCCCAGACTCCAGAGATTCCCATTGAGATTTCCACGCAGTCTGATGGTCTTTCTGACAAAGAGTGTGCAGTGAGGCGAGTCAAGACTCAGATGTCTTTGGGAAAACTTTGCTCAGAGGAACGCAACTATGAGGTGAGTTCAGCATGACAGATGCCAATAAGATATCTTCAATTTCTAACCTTGTGTCTTCATCACAGGCATATATGGTTACAAAGAAAACAAAAAAAGCAAGGAACCCCAGAAGGGGAACCTGCTAAAATGTGTGTCTGGGGCAACCAGAATAGGGGGTAACCCTCACATATACTTGTGTAGATATAAAAACAGAGTGAAGACCCACAGGGTCAGAGTTAGGAAGCCCCTTGGTTAAGTTGTATGTATATAAAACGTAACTTTTAATAATGATTGTAAAAACATCCATACATTGAACCAAACATTAACAAACGGGGGGGCGGAGCCAACTGTGGAACAGAGAGGACACGTTTTCCCCGAGCCTGGCTCGCTTAAACAGCAAAATATACCGTGAACGGACATCTCCGAAGCCTAATCCCAACACCAGTGGGGGAGTTAAAGAGAATGGGACGGAAAAACAAAAAACCCAAGAGCGATCGGACCACGACAAGCCGAGATATTGGTGAATTCCTGAGGGGCGCCCAAAGAGCCGCATGGGACAAAATGGCGCTGGAGGGGGATGACTCCTCGTACTCCTCGGAAGCCAACCCGCTTGACATTGGAGAGGAGATACCACTCGATATAGCCATGAGACCCGCAGCCAAACATCCAGCCCTAGCTGAACCCGTAACAGCTGCCCAACTGAAAGACATGTTGGCTGAGCTTAGGGCGAATATAGCGGCAGATATGGCCTACTTCAAAACGGCCATTGAAAGCGCCACCTCCCGGATCACTCTCCTAGAGGCCACAACTAGTACCCAAGACTCCAGGCTAACCGTGTTGGAAAACCAGATTGCAGAACTGCAAACGCAACAGCTGACAACCACCGACAGAGTGGACGACATGGAGGACCAGAAAAGGCGCTACAACCTTAAAATCTGCGGCATCCCGGACTCGATAGGTCTAACTGACTTACCTCACTATGTCCGCTGACTGCTCAACACGTTGCTGCCACCCAAACAGGCCAAAGTGGTGAAACTAGACGGCCTATTTCACCTACCAAAACCGCCTACAGCGCCCACGACTGCCTCTGCCAACCTTATCATACGATTTCAATCAATGTCGGATAAAGCCCTGCTGCTCACAGCCACAAGGGGGAAGACCCCAATGCACTTCGAAGGCTCATCCCTAACGCTGTTCCATGATCTCACCCGCAACACCATCGCATGGCGAAGGTCACTGAGACCGCTGCTGAACATCCTTCAAGCACAGGAGATCCAGTACCGCTGGGGAATTCCTAAGCAGATTCTATTCACTCACATGAATGTTGCCTACAGGGCCCGGAGCTACACGGAACTTGAAGCTCACCTACATAAGATCGGCATCACGGGACCACAGAGAGAAGCCGGCTCAGGACTAGCACACATAGACCCCTCTGACATCAAAGAATTCACCCCCCGCATGGGGCGACGCCTAGGACAAGAGAGACTGACCTGAGGATTACTCTACGAGCAACCACCCTCAGCTCACTGGTTGAACGACCGGGCTCCTCCTAACACCACCACCGATGACCACTCGGACTTATAACCCTTAACACTGGTTTGAACTTTCTCTCTGTTCCCAAAACGCTTACGTTTATTTTTGTCTTAAATCTACGTTTTTGTTTTCTTTTGTTACTTTTTCACTGGTTGACTGTTTAATATAGCCCTCGCAACGCCTCACACACTTAGGCCAACACAGCCGACCTATGTTACAGGGGTACTCCCTCTGGCCTGAGGATACATAAACACGGACGAGACCTTTCTCCCCTCCCCCCCCCCTCCGGGCCTCGACACCCTAGAGAGTTGCAGCCTGAGACTTACAACCGATACCGGAGAGGTAACCCCAAACAGGGATACACGAGACCCAATGACGCGACAGCACATACACACCCTGGGGACAACACTGGATGTATCCACTCATAAATTGTTTTACTTCACTCACCATACTTTTCTTACCCTCGACTCGACTCACCTGCCTAACATATACTTTCCTACAAGCCTAGCCGACATGTGTGACGTCTTCTGGCCAACCCTTCTGATCAGCCACATACCGTACACGACAATAGCGGACAGATGTCACCATATGGGCTGGGACTACCCTATAATTGATGTATTCTATGTATACCACGCCTTTAACCGAAAAATAACAGTGCAGCATACATAACCATCTCTGCTTGCCAATTGTCTATGATGGAAATGTATATGTTTATACCACTGCAATTTGTATACTCCCTGCTGCACTGTCAAAAATAAAGAATTAAAAAAAAAAAAAAAACATTAACAAACAAATAAAAGATGGTTTGAAAAAATAGGGAGACCAGAAGAAAAATAAATAATAGAAAATAAAAGGGGGCACAATAATGCCTTTAAAGGAGATAGCTTCTAATTCTAAGGTCACATAAGTGAATCTCATGTACAATGAAGAAATCCCCCTGCTCTTCTCATATCCTGCTTATATAATGTGATCTATTGACGCTGCTACTACTCGGAACACTCTGGGTGAATACACTGCTCGATGATAGCAAAAAAACGATACATATTGACAATGTATCATAAAATGGAAGGTGTCAGCACACCTGGGGAATAAAAATACAAAGTATCCCCTGGTGTGAAACCATAAGATGAAGAGCCAAAAAAAAAACCCCAACAAAAAGCCTTGCAACAAACACTAGTGGGATATACAGCCACCACCCCCTTGAGTTTCCTAAATACTTGTCCCAGTGAGAAAGCTAAGAATACCCTAGCCGAGCAGCAAAAAACCCTCTCTAAAACTTCGTATAGCAAGTGATGAGAAGAGTCAAAATGGTCTCCCTGCCTACTGCCTAACACGTGTTTCGGCGCTATAGAACGCGCCTTCTTCCGAGGCTTAGCAAACCTCTATCTGTACAAAAGGCTGTTTAAATAGCCGCGTAACGCCAATGAAAAAGAGGGGGCGTGTGCTTACTGTTCGGGCCAAAAAACTAGGTCCGAACAGGCCACGCCCCCAAATGTGCGTAGCGGCAGTTGATTAGATAGCATCATACACTTGTGGACACCCATGAAAGAGAGGGGGCGTGTGCTTACTGTTCGCACAAAGAGCTAAGTCCGAACAGCCCCCAGCCCCCTGGTGTTGCGTGGCAACGATTGATTGAATGACAACCTAGACTTGTGAATGAGCAAGTCCATGTGTCTCCTCATCGGAGGAACAAGCATTCATAGTAAAAATGTGTTCAAAAAGTTGATATTTTGTTAACATCTCCTCATGTATCATGAAGCATTAATACAGTAGTGATAAACACTTCATCATGTCCCCTAACAGTATATCGGGAGGGCACCTGTTAAGGACCCCCAGATAATAAAATATAAAGTGTAACATTTGCCCATATGTTCTTATCTGGGCAAAGTGGCCCAGGTAAAAATGTGGGCGCAAAAATCAATAGAAATAGGTGCATCAAGCCTAAAATAACTGAAATTCATTTATTTAAACGGCCTCATGATTACACTTCTGTGATGAACATAATATCTATCTGTATGCCAGACTCAACTAGTTGGTGGCATTCAGCATTCAAAAAGGTGGATAAAATCATATGGACTCTCAGAAATGATAGTGGTGAGTCCTATTGGGGATCACTGGTGTTAGATTTAATGTGTGCAATCTATTGGAATTGTCACTAAAGGTTAGCGCCATGTTTAATTCACTTGATTTACATATAAACCAAGGGATAAACAATACCAATGATCATGACCCTGAAAGGACCTAATAAGCCACCACAGAAATATTTGGGAGAGAAAAAACCTTTTACAAATTAATATGTTAACCACATAACACAAATATGCACAAATTTAGATGGATCAAGCGATTAATTCTAGTTCACAGCCTCTGTATATCAGAAAAACTAATAATAAAAAATAAATGAATGAAAAAATATATATATAATCTCTATACATGCAACAAAACAAAGTACAGTTACTCCTAGGTACTCTCATTTGTCAATAAAGGGAGTTTAAAGGTAAAACCCTCATTTAGTCCATAGGGGGCCAAAGTTTTGAACCTGTATATCCAATAACATTCCCTTTTGAGGAGGGTAGGATCAAGATCACCTCCTCTACGTCCCAAAAGAACCTTCTCAATCCCTGCAAACCTCAAACCACTTGGGTCCCCTTGGTGGCGGTTCTTTAGATGTCTTGCCACCGAGGTATCCTTAAGATTTCTAACAGAGTGTACATGTTCCATTACCCTCCTTTTGAGAGGACGAATGGTTTTACCAACGTATTTTAATCCACATGTACACACCATAAGGTATACGATGCCCTTAGAGTTGCAATTAAAAAATTGCTTCACACTTAGCACCATTTTATCACACATTTTAGCAGGTTCCCCTTCTGGGGTTCCTTGCTTTTTTTGTTTTCTTTATATACAGGGTTTTAATACCTTCGTGTGTCATTAGCTATACTCCAAGTACTCTACAATATGGCCAATTTTTTGAACCAATTAAAAAAATCCAAACCAACGGTGCTTGGATGCCGAAAAGGTGTTCACAGATAAGGAAAGCACCTTTCTCTCCCAAGAGACCAGTATTGATTCTAAATTTAGACATGTTTCCAATGTCTGTAAACAGCAAATACGACTGTGCTGGGAAATCTCATCCCTGCAAAATTACATGAGTAAATCTATGATACCTAGGGGTCTCAGGATACAGATTATGCCCAATATACAAATGGAAGATCCCATTCTTCTGAAAGAATGGGAGGAGGCAGCTAATGCATGTTCCCGTACTTTTATGGACATTATATGTCACTTTGAGAGTCAAAGATTAGTGGAGATTAATGAGAAAGTGAAGGAGGCAGTTGAGGCCATTCATTTATTTTTTATTATTAGTTTTTCTGATACACAGAGGCTGTGAACTAGAATTAATCGCTTGATCCATCTAAATTTGTGTATATTTGTTATATGGTTAACATATTAATGCACCTATTTCTATTGATTTTTGCGCCCACATTTTTACCTGGGCCACTTTGCCCAGATAAGAACATATGGGCAAATGTTACACTTTATATTTTATTATCTGGGGGTCCTTAACAGGTGCCCTCCCGATATACTGTTAGGGGACATGATGAAGTGTTTATCACTACTGTATTAATGCTTCATGATACATGAGGAGATGTTAACAAAATATCAACTTTTTGAACACATTTTTACTATGAATGCTTGTTCCTCCGGGAGACACATGGACTTGCTCATTCACAAGTCTAGGTTGTCATTCAATCAATCGTTGCCACGCAACACCAGGGGGCTGGGGGCTGTTCGGACTTAGCTCTTTGTGCGAACAGTAAGCACACGCCCCCTCTCTTTCATGGGTGTCCACAAGTGTATGATGCTATCTAATCAACTGCCGCTACGCACATTTGGGGGCGTGGCCTGTTCGGACCTAGTTTTTTGGCCCGAACAGTAAGCACACGCCCCCTCTTTTTCATTGGCGTTACGCGGCTATTTAAACAGCCTTTTGTACAGATAGAGGTTTGCTAAGCCTCGGAAGAAGGCGCGTTCTATAGCGCCGAAACACGTGTTAGGCAGTAGGCAGGGAGACCATTTTGACTCTTCTCATCACTTGCTATACGAAGTTTTAGAGAGGGTTTTTTGCTGCTCGGCTAGGGTATTCTTAGCTTTCTCACTGGGACAAGTATTTAGGAAACTCAAGGGGGTGGTGGCTGTATATCCCACTAGTGTTCGCTGCAAGGCTTTTTGTTGGGGTTTTTTTTTGGCTCTTCATCTTATGGTTTCACACCAGGGGATACTTTGTATTTTTATTCTCCAGGTGTGCTGACACCTTCCATTTTATGATACATTGTCAATATGTATCGTTTTTTTGCTATTATCGAGCATTGTATTCACCCAGAGTGTTCCAAGTAGTAGCAGCGTCAATAGATCACATTATATAAGCAGGATATGAGAAGAGCAGGGGGATTTCTTCATTGTACATGAGATTCACTTATGTGACCTTAGAATTAGAAGCTATCTCCTTTAAAGGCATTATTGTGCCCCCTTTTATTTTCTATTTTCTATTATTTATTTTTCCTTCTGGTCTCCCTATTTTTTCAAACCATCTTTTATTTGTTTGTTAATGTTTGGTTCAATGTATGGATGTTTTTACAATCATTTATTAAAAGTTACGTTTTATATACATACAACTTAACCAAGGGGCTTCCTAACTCTGACCCTGTGGGTCTTCACTCTGTTTTTATATATGGTTACAAACCTACAACTTGTTCAATTAAATAGTTATATGGGAAAACTATGGAATACATACAGCCTCCTGGGCTATTCTATTAACAAGAATTCTTATAGCTATGTAGCTATTACTGGGATCCTTTTCATATTAAGCTAATATTTTCTTCTTCATTTTTAGAACGGTGGAAACTTTCCGGAGTCAGACTGTGATACATCAGATGGGGAGTGCTCTGATGCAACTGTAAGAACCAATCATCCTGGCAACTCCACCAACTGGTAACAAAAACACCAGTCGGCCAGGATCAGTATTCCGTTCCCCCTTCATATGGCGCTGACCCGATTTCCCCTTTAAGCCCTGTATAGTCCGTCATCTTTATATTTAACCCTTCCGATGCTATACAAAGGACAGCAATGCACTGCAAAACAATACATTGTTGGTCCTTAACTCCCTTCCCTCCATGCCCAGGAATAGGGTTAACTGATATTATGTTTGCAATAAAGAGGGCCCAAAGACTCATGGGAATATCCTCCCAAAACGAACAAGCTTCTTAAAGGAAGCATTTTAAAGAATGGCAGGGATAAATATTTTCACTAAAAAAAAAAGATCTAGGTACTGTAAAAATTCCATATTTATTATTACTTTTATTTGTGTTTGGTCCCTTTTTACTGGTGAAAAGTACAGACTTAAATTAAAGCACTAACAGGATGGATCAAGGAAAAAAGATGGCGATGGACTCACAGATATATGAACGTTTTTGCTGCTGTTATTTTAGGGACCAAATAGTAATTTAAAAAAAAAAATTATGATTTTTAAAATAGGCTTTCTGTATGTTGATATTGAAAGAGGAGTTTATTTCACAGAAAAGCGTTTGAAAACAGGAACTTGTAGAACATTTGTGTGGATACACGGTATGACCACTTCTTTCTACAGTGTTCTCATCTCATCTTAGAAGTGGAAGGCCACTGCAAAGTGAAATGAAGGAATGTTGCACAAAGAATGGTATTGAACTTGTGGTGAATAACAAAATTGTATTATTTTGTAGTCTAACAACAAAAAAGATCAACTGAATTGTGTCAGAGATTTACCATGGCAATGTTTATGTAATTTCTTTTTTTTTTTAAAACAAGATAGTTTGATGATGCTAAAGATCATCAATGGCCATGTGTGTTTGAAAAACAAAAACACACATTAGCCCTAAGCTCCCTAAAGATCAATGGCAATTGGCTTTAGCTTTTGAAATCTCTGCTCTGTCCTTAGAATAAACCTTAGAACGGGAAGAAGGTGGCCAGTAAACTGAGCAAAATTTTTTGGAAAGCTTTTAAAGACTTTGTTTGAAGACTCCAGACACCAGCACTTGTAAACATGTCCCATGATGTGTATTTATGTTTTTGTTTTTCGTGGCTACAGACCGGACTTGAGGAAGTCGAATGTTGACTCACCTTCCCACTCAGGAGCAATCCCAGCCATATATATTTTTGTGTAATAATTGTGACGTTTCCCTTCTTTTCAAATACAACCCATTGCCCCTGTTGTCCATGTGAGCAGACTAAAATGCCCTTTTATCCGGTACTGTAACCTACTTAAAGCACACAATGTAAAGGAGAACGCCGTAAATTAAATTGAGAGTGTACTCTCATGTTATACAAGGGAAACTTAACTTTCCCTTTGTATGCTTATGGCATTAGAGATGACCTCAAGGTCAGAATTCAGGTATTTGGAGTAATAGGCTCATTCCAGAGATACTCTATGGGGTAGTTCTATACATCTAACTCTTTCGTTTCAGGGTATGGTCCTTTCTTTCATGGGAGTTGTTAAATGTATCTCACTCAGTGAGATTACAATTTTAAACATATAATGTAGGATTGTACCAAGGTGAATGCCATTGGTAAAAGCTAGGAATAATGGTGTGATAAAGAACATATCTGTCTTCAGCCTTTCCTTCACATATTGTGAACTGCATGTCAATTAACTTAAACTGGGGATCCCTTTACCAAAACATAAGACTATGTCAAACTGGCATGCAGGGAATAGTGTCTCATATTGGCTAATGGAAAAATTATTATGGTTATCTATTTCAGGATTAATGATGGTTTACATCCACATATCAGTCTAATCCTTAGAGCAGTGGAGGCTGGTTACATTTCAAGTTGGTGGGGCGTCAGACTGGACATATGGTTTTATTCCACCTCTAAATGTTTTAAAGCTTGAATAGGAATATGTATATATGACTCTATTACCTCCAAAATATGTGGATGATCCCATATATAGGGAATAAACCATACAGACATTTTTCTGTTAATTCATTATAAAAGTTGGCAATTTTGAGGCTTAATTCATATTACAAGTGTAATACAGACTTTAGCCACAAGATGTCACCAAAGGATTACCGGGGAGGAGCTGGGAGGGGAGGAGAATGCAGACACATACTTCAAGCATCCAACTACACCAGGGGAAGTGGAGTTCTGACAACCCCGCCCTCTGATGCAAACAGCCAATCAGATCCCAGTAGGAAGGTCTGCCTACTAAGGGCTGTTTTTGTCTTGCATATTTGCCGCCTTAATGAGCTCCATTAGGAAACCATAGGTGCTGCCAGGCAGCCAATGATAGTGGAGTAAAGCACTTTCCCTGGAGGTTCCCTGTTGCCTAACAATCTGATTAGGTTTTTATTTATTTTTTTTTAAACTCTACCTAGCAACAACAGAGGGCAATGACAATGGGAACTGCAGCACTAATATTTAAAGGAACAGAACACATTTTTATCACACAGGCATATATCCGAGGTGTAAGTTTACCCCCAAAAAGTTAAAAACCCAACAGAAAACCCCCCAGTTGGGTTATTGTTTTTTTGTTTTTTTTTAAATTTAAAGAAAAACTGGTGCGGTGCTGCCCCTATGGATGAGCCTCCACTGCCTTAGAGATCTTACTCTGCCATGAAATGTCCTACACAAACAGATTTAATGCGTATACTGTTAAATGGTATTTAGAGATGATCTTGTGAGAATGCCATTGATTATCAGGTTAAAGGAACACTCCAAGAACCATAGCTACTACAGCATGCTATAGTGGTTATGGTGCTAGGAGAGTACAAATACCCCCATTGTAACTAGTCAACTTGTTTTAAAATAGTTTGACTTCTTACCTGGGTTCCGCCAAGAGCTGCTTTCCCCTAATTCACTGTAGTTGGAAGCTCTCTTCACTGAGCTAAGATGGGGTGGTACAGGGTTTAACTAATTGGCCAAGATCTGTCAGCTGATACTCTGTCAATGAGCTATCCCTGAACTGCAGGGCTTGACTCAAGAGAGCTAGTGGAAGCTCATTTTACTGCCATCCATTTTTTTTACTGTCTCCTTTTACTGGGAGGCCCAGTGGATGTCAGGTAAGAAATCAAATTGTTCTAAATCAATCTGACTACTTACAGTGGTGGTCTCCAGGGCATTTCTGACACCATGACCATTACATAACACTGTAGTGGTTATGGTGCTCCGAGTGTCCCTTTAAATTCTTTTTGATGGCCGAGAAGTTAAACAGTAGTGCTTTCCTTAAATATTAAAAACTGGAGTGCGTTAAACCATAAACGGTCATTTTATAAAAGGGCCAATACTGGTTACACTAGTCCAGGAGTGGCCAAAAGGTAGATCCCAAGCAGTTGTCAAAGCATTCTGGTATTAATAGGGCGACTTCTCCATTAGCCAATCTGAATTCACCATAGAATGGACCACTCTTACATTTAGTTTGTATTTTTATGTATATTACTTGTGTGTTTTTACTTGTGTTTTCAGTTGTGTATTTTGTATGACAAGTAATTTATTTCCCTGAAAACCTCAGTCCAGATTCAATTAGAATGACATTTAATCATGGGGGCTATGGCAAAGAATTGCTTTGTCCAGTATATAGTGTCTATTAAATGACTGTGAATCTGGCACATCTTTTTTTGAAAATGTTTACACATTTCTGTGAATTTAACCTGTCTGCTGCTGGGAGGAACACGGCATTGGTCAAATTTTTCTTCTATCACATTGTTAGCATGCAATTAGATCATCTAATTTTCTAGAACAAACACAAATATCCAGACAGAAACCCGTTATTCGTAAGGATTCAAATGTAATTTACATTGAAATTTTCTTTGCAATGGGACGTAAGCAAATCAGCAGCTATTTCATTGATCTTATTACCCAACTCACAGGTACTTTCATTATTAACTTCAGAAGATTGAAAAGGCTGAATTGAACCCCATTCATAAGATTTGAACTGACTCTATAGTTATGAGATAGAGGGACACAAAAAAACCCAATTAGTTTAAAAAGCTAAACCTGAAAAGTTGAACAGACATTCCAGACCCATAAAGCACTTTAGCTTGCTGAAATGCTGTAGGTGTGAAGTGTGTGTCCTTTTAAAAAAAGGTTTTTAGAAAAAGTGCAGATTTCGATTCGATGAGTAAGGGTTTTTTTTTTTTTACCCTTTCAATGCCGGGGGAGGGGCATCGAATTCCTTTAATGCATTGTACCATACATTCTGTAACCACCCCTTTCTCACCCCGGCCTTCAGACACACCAAAAAGGGTAGATCTTGGTACTTTGTTTAGTTTATTCAGTAAACTGGGAGTTGTGATGTGTTTTGAACATATGAAACCTTAACATAAACTTTACAGTTCACATCAGCTTTCTCCAACTCAATGTAAACCCTTTACATATAATACCATTTCATCATATGGCTGGTATACGTTATCTCCCTGCCATACCTTTCCAGTAGTAAACAGGTTAGACCTTGACGTAACCCTATTATAAGGTGGGCTGCACTATCCTACCAAGTAGAAAATGGGTTAAACCTTGTGTAGCACCTTAGGACGAATGAAGGGAAATGTCTTCTTGTTAGGGGAAACAGTATTGTCTGAAATTTAAATTATTTGATTATTTTTTTGTTTGTTTTGTTCTTGTAGCAGGACTACATCGTGATTTTAAGTTATGACTCATTCTAATTATTATTTCTGTAATAATTTGATTTCTGTAGATCGGAATGTTATGTTCTGTTTACTGTTGGCACAATGATTCCTTTATTCAGAAGGTGAACAAAACGATTTTGTGATGAATTTATGATGCAATTAATGAGGTGAATTTAAGGCTTATATATTTGTTTAGGAGATAACTTTGATATTCCACAGCCACATTCTCATTTCTGCTTCCTATGCTATACGCCATGCAGCAGTTGTTCTGACAATGCTCTGAAAAGTTCTTCATTTTAGGTCCATAGCATGGTTAGACTGCCACTGCGTCAGTATTCCAGTTCATTGCAGCTGCTTATGTAATGATGTTGTTTATATAATAAATCAATAAACGTTAATATCTCCTGGCAATCCTATTGATTAATAGGAATACTGAGATTCTCCTGTAACTTACGTCCGTCATTGGACACCATTAAAGAGACACACTAGCAGGTAGGGATACTGACCCAGAAATCTGATGGAAATTCCAAATATACAAATTAGAATGTGATGCACTTTGCAGAGCAAGCATATATCAATAATATTATACTGAATCTAACTAAAATGATATACAAATATAAAAATATAGGAAGGAATAACCATGTAAAACAAGCTGTGGAACTTTTAAAATGTTGACACTTATTTCATTGCAAACTCTGTTAAAGAGAGTCTCATGCTTCTCCCACTAGTTCAAAGGAGACTACATAAATATCCTTTATTTGCATATTTTATCAATTAATGTACCTGATTGACTTCTGCAAAGTGCCCTAAGCACCATCTCCGTAATGCAGGGATGAAGCCACGAATGAAGTCTGTGAGATGGAGGAACACACCTGGTTTCACCACAATAAATTCACTTAACAGTAAGTTGTGGTGAGTTGGCAGTCACTTGCAGAGCGTAAGGCCAAAATAGCAGAGTTGGGAAAAATATTTATATTGCACTAAACTCTGTCACCCAGTTGCTGGCTCCTCTCCGCTCAGTGTTTCTCTAACCATTGCTGCATGGCTGCTTTCTACTCATCTATCAATTGTAAAAAAAAAAAAAATTCTGCGTTCACATGTCTCCTATCTTTTAATTTTTTTATTTGTGAAAGTATGCTCATATCTGGCAATAACCAACCAATCCAAACCTAGCCCTGCTGTTCATCCCACATTCATTCTTGTACTGTGACGCTCAGTCTGTCTCTGTTTGTCCTGCATCCATAATTGCTAATGTGCTGAAAATCTGAAATGTGCACAACTGCTGTATTAGATGTTTATAGACTGTAGGCACTAGTATGAAGAATTTGTACCGAATGAAGTAGGGCCAGCAGCATGTTTGTTAAGAAGTATGTTTAATTAAAGCGATGGATACGCAACTTGTGACATTTCATCTGCTGTAATCTACAGCAATTATAACTAAGCATGATGGGAGTTGGAACCCAGCAAATAAAACTGCAATGCTGAAGGTTGCATATCCCTGATATAGTTTGAGGACTCTTTCAGGGCCAGAACAACCTGCATCACAACTCTGAAAATGAATTGTAGGCCAATTTCTGGCACTGAAAGAGTGTGTCTTAAAGCAACACACTTCGTCATTTTTATGATACCTAATGTGAATCCTCCAAATTTAACAAAATCTCATACAATGTATTTTCTATCAATGTTATGTTTTCCCCAACTCCTTAAGGTCCCTGTTTCTCTGTTCTGGTACGAGCCTGACCTTTACTGTGTTTGTATGGGAAAGGGAAATCAGAATGAATATCAAAGCAAACAAATGCATGGAATTAAAAGCCAGTGTACCTTATAACGTTGTACGATTATTTTTTATTCTTTATTTTTACTCAATATATACTTTCAGAAGAATATTTCTTATTCAGATTGTTATCATTGGGCTGTTGATGGTTTTAAATAAACAAGGAATTCACAGTTTCCCATTTCTGGTTGTGAAGTAGGTTAAATAGCATTAGATCATTTCAGATCCGATAAAAGTCATAGGACTTAACTTAAATTTTTTACCTACATACTGGTACATAGTCTTCTTTGTTTAACTTGCTAATTGGAAGGTGACACGATTCCTAGCAATGGTTGCTCAATATTGTCCACCCAAAACATGTTGGCTTTCGACTAAACAAGGAAGTCCCAGAACACATCCACAGTGTTATTTATTTACTAAATTTAGAATTACAAGTAAATTCTATGTGAATTTCAAATTTAAGGACAGAGTAGCTGAACTAAAAACATAGCTGACTTATATTTTGACCTTAAAGGAACACTACAGTCACAAAAACAAATGTAACTTAATGAAGTAGTTTTGGTGTATAAATTATGGCCCTGAAGTCTCACTGCTCAATTCTCTGTCATTTAGGAGTTAGATCTCACAGTTTGTGCAGCCCTGGTCACACCTACTTGTATGTGCCTTCCTAAACACTTCCTGTAAAGAGTAATTGCAGTTTACACTTCCTTTATTGAAATTTATGTATGTTTAAGAATTTGTTTTTATCTCTTGCTCTGTTAATAGCTTGCTACACCCTGCAGGAGACTCCTGTATGTAATTAAAGCTCAAGAGAAATTTTTTTTTAAATTAAGTTATGTCTGATTGCCTGCGTCAGTCACAGCTAGGGGAGGTGCTAGGGCCGCATAAACAGAAACAAAAGTTTAACTCTTAAATGGCAGATAATTGAGCAGAGAGACTTCAGAGGCATATTCTATACACCAAAACTGCTTAAGTAATCTAAAGTTGTTTCGGTGACTATAGTATCCCCTTAAATAAAAATGTATTTTGTATTCACCTTGGATTCTCTATCTAGCGAATAACTCGTATAATATGCATTGACTTATGGAATCCTATTAAAAACACATCTAGACACTGAACACGCAGCCAGTTGATGGGTCTGATTTGGATTTCATGTGTTAAGTACTACAGTTTACCATGAATTATCTTTATAGCCGAGAAAGCTCAGCATATGTTTCAGAACTAAAAGTCTTAGGATGCTTTGCCATCAGTCTCATTGGACTGCAATAAAATGAATTCTAATAGAATACACGTCTGCTCTGTCAGCTCTTTTTTTCTATATGAATTTAATATTTTACATTGTGAAATGGACACAGTCCAAGAAAATGCAAAATAGGTCACCTATAAAATCTGCTTATTAAGTGCTTGTGCTCTTTTAGGTATTGCATAACTAGAAAGCTCTCTCAAACTATAGGATGTTCTGTTCAAATTGTATGCAATATATCAATGACTCCTATCACAGATGGTATATAATCATCCCTACTGTAGGATCTCTATATATTGAAACGTCCTCCATGATTTAAAATAGTGGGCTTAAAACTCACACTTGACTAGCATGGTGTGTCTCAACATTCCACGTATAGAATGTGCGGATCTGCTTCCCAAACTCACACACAATTCTACTTGGAAGATGATTTTCATACCTGATAAATACCAATTTGTTATATATAGGGGTAAGTAAACATAATAACAAATTCCTAGGAAATTATAATTCCCTATTACCAAGGAAGAATATACATCTCCAAATTACTTCCACCTCCCCTCCCCCTATACATTCAGCATCTCTTACAATTACATTAAAACATAAATGACAACAAACTTTACATTTGCAATGTGGTTGGCATAATGTACAAATCTAATATTACCAATAAAAGAAGCACTATGTTATCTTTCCACGACAGTCACAACAAGCTTCTTAACCCCTTGATTGGGAGTCTAATTTGGGTCGCTATGCTTCACTGAGTTCCCATTGATTGGAACAGGTACATCATATTCTTTAAAGCACAGGCAACCATCCACAATAAATTGTTTATTTTAGCAGCTTTTCCTTCCGTTGTACATGGTGTGGAGACACCTCTAACACTGGAAGAATTTAAAGAAACATAAAAGTACCATAACCACTACAGCAATATGTAGTTCTTGGTGTCCGCAGTGCACTGGGACCCTACCTATTGTAGATACTACCATTTTAGATTGGTTTGATATCTTATTTGGGGTCTGCCAGGCACTGCTGCCCACCTCCACCACTAACGCCAGAGAGCCTGAAGCTTCTAAGCAGGAACTGCTCTTAGGTCTCCTGAGCTAAACCATGCAGTGGTAGGCCTTAGCTCATTGTATGAGTGTGGTCAGTTGATCGCAGTCAGCAATTATGAGCATTGCAGATTTGTATAGTGGTTATGGTGCTGTGAGATTCAAAATACGATTTTTCAGGGACAGCTGCTCAGCATCATAAACAAAGTAACAGTAGTTTTGTGATATATAAGAAAGCATTTATTATACATGTGTGTACAGCATGATGAACAGAACAATAGATACAATAAAAATGACGTACAATAATTGGCTATTAAAATATATAAAAAAAATAAATTATTTACTTAAAGGGACACTATAGTCACCAGAACCGCTACAGCTTAATGTAGTGGTTGTGGTGTTTATAGCCTGTCACTGCAGGCTTTTTAATGTTCAGAGAAAATGCAGGGTTTACATTGCTGCCATGGAACACCTCTAGTGGCAGTCACGCAGACGGCTACTAGACGTGCTTCCTGTCTCAGTGCGCTGCATGGAGATGCTGACTGTCCCCCATATAGATACATTGATTCAATGCATCTCTATTAGGAGATGCTGATTGGCGCAGTGTTTCGCTGTGCATCTGCAATAGCCTCCTAATACTTTCCTACAATCTCAACCATGGAAGCAGGGCCAGCCGCAGCATAATCGGAGCAGTGAGGAAGAAAAGGTGAGTGAACTCACCTTTCCACTGCAATCTGAGGGGAGTCGGGGTCACCACTCCATTTAATTTTTATTTTTTTTAAACACCATGCAGTGCTAAGGTTTGGTGAATCCCTTTTCAATTGTAATGAGAAATCATTGGCACTGAAGGGGTTAACGGGCTCTAGTTTTGTGTTACGACTGATGGGAGGATATTCTAATTGCTCTAAGAAAACCTGAGAGAGTTGCATGAGAGATTGATCACTTTTAGGTATAGCACAAACCTTCACTTCTATTGTATTGCAATGAATTACCCATTATCAGTGATTTTACAGTCAGAGGGAGCAGAATGGAGAAAGATCCCTGTGTGTTCCATGTTCCAAGAAATCCTTCTGCTCTAAGCAATTGGACAGAGTCTTTGGTGACTGACTCACAGAATATATGAATCCTATAGCTTCAAACTGGGTAATGAAGTTTTAAATTCCTTTCTTTACAATAGTCCACCTTTCTAAAAATGTGCCACTGATCAATGGTGCAGGTAGGAACTCGAACACTTGCCTGAATTGGTCATTCTTATGATTTGAGCAGTCATTATTCTGAATAGTCCAACAGAAGACCCATAAAGAGTAAAACAGCACAGATATCCACATTGGCGGTCTATCAATTATCACATGGCACCCAGCATTGCAAGTGGATGTACACACCCTGCATTAGCTATAAAACCAGAAAACTCTGAATGTTTTATTAAATATCTCACCCATACAGACATATAATATTACAATACAATGTAGGTTCTAAACGGAACGACCACTACAAAAACAGGCCCATTAGCAGCATCCATACAAAGAATAAACAAAGAGTCATTATTATACATTCCAGAATATGATATATTGTTTGGAGGTTTACGAAAGAGCCTGTTCAGCTTCGTGTTTTGAAAAGATCTGGAAACGTTTTAAAAAATAAATCGTGCTTGCAACGTGATACTGTATTTTAGAACTCCCTATACAGCAGTCACACAGACAAAGCATGGTTGTTAGGGAGTTTTAGTTACATTGACTTTGAATAGAAATACAGGTTATTACTCTAGAAACAAAAGCAAATGTTAAGCACGCTGCTGCACCAGTATAAAACAAGTAGGTCTCTTTGCAGATATTTACCATTTTACACAGACAAGGTTCTTCTAGAGCAGGGGTGTGAAACCTTTGGCGTTTCAGATGTTACGGGATACATCTCCCATGATGCTTGCCAGCATTATTACTAAGAGAATTATGGGAGATTTAGTCTGAGACTTCTGGAGTGCCAAATATTGCCTACCCCTGTTCCAGAGGATCAGGATGGGTAGGGGTGATTATTTCAGAGGATCAGGATGTGTAGGTGTGATTATTCCAGAGGATCAGGATAGGTATGTGTGATTATGATGGCAAAGCCGGCCTGTTGCTGGTGAGACACTGATAACTTCCAACACTGGAAAGTATACAATTGGAAGAGGATGGTACAGGACAGTGTGAGGCATTCTGGTGACCAAAACTGTGTCAGTGGTGTCATGCCGAAGCTGGAATTGCCCTCCCACCCAGCTAACTGGAGCTGCTGTTGCACAGAGGTTTGTGGAAGCATTCTTGTAGGATTGTAAGAGTTGGGTGAACTGGGTGAGCTAATTCAGTGACACATAACTGTACTTTGGGGAGTCTTTTAGTGTACCTTGTAGAGGGACCCAAGAAGGGAAAAAAAAGAAGAGGCGTGGGGAGCAATGTTCCAAATCAAGCAGGCATAAGGAATTTTAAAAAAAGTCTCACTGTTTCTGTAAGAATTGGTTGATTTTAAGAATTGGTAAAGAGCAGATTGTGAAAAGCCTCACTATGGAAGCAACGTGTGACTTTGGAACTGCCAGTGTGCTTAACAGTGAAGCAGGAAGACAGCAGAAAAAAATACAATGTTAACCATTCTCCATTTCACATAAGTGCATGGCTTTTAAAAAATTGAGTTTGGGAAGAAAAGCAAAAAAAATATCCGGAGAACACAGAAAACATGGAAAAGCCTGTCTCAATGAGGAGATCACATATTGCTCTTGAAGCAAGGCTAACAATCTATTAGAATGGTAAAAAAAAATTGACTTTTGAGATTTTCCTGAATAAGTCATGCTGCACCTTTTTTCAATATACCCCATAAAAGAAGTAATTGCCGTTTTTGGTTTTACTAACATTCCGCTCTTGCTGGGAAACATCTTAAATTGTGATTTGTACAGAAATAAAGTCCTGCTTAATTCTGATAGGCAGGGATGATCAGTTTGAAAAAAAAAAATGCATGTAAAATTCCAGGCAATTACTCGCTATTTAAAAATAGTATAACATATTTTTTAAAATCCCTTTATAAGAGGCAGATATAAATGTTTTGAAATGTCTTACAACACACTGGATATTTCTAGTTTCAGACATTATTTAAGGGATCTGCGAACAAGCAGACTAAAGATGGCTAAATAGTAACTGCACCCCATTTATTAGTTTCATTTTTGGGGGTAATGGTTGTAGTTAGTACTTTGATAGTGCTTGTAGTTTGGGAGGTAAGCCAAGATGTAACCGAGGAAACTTGCAGAAGCCAGACACAGAGAGATGGATGCAGGTTTTCAGGAAGTAAGAGGTCTTTATTAACATACCGATCGGGTCTCCGATGAACTAACGTTCCAAAAGAGGTCTGAGGGCCGAACACATGGAGTACATGCTTTTTATAGAACTATAACTCCTCCCATTAATAGCTCCACTTGTCCCCCCTCCCGTCTTACCTTTGCTGAGGGAGACATTGCTTTCTTCCAGTCGCTGGTGGTTCCAGTGGTGAGAATGAACTCTACCCTGCAGTTCAGGGTAGAGTTCACTCTCGCGAGAAGGCCATGGTAACGCTCCGTGCTCACGAGAGGAGAACCCGGGGGAGCAATGTGCCTGTGGGCCGGGGAGGGAGATCACTGATCTCCCATCCGGTCCATAAAGGCACATACAGCAGGGCTGGCGCTTGGATAGTGCCAGCCCTGCATGAGCCGGCAGGGGAGAGCATCGGCCTCACTATTTTCTCAGTGGGTGGGGGGGAGGGCAATTGCCCCGTTGCCCCCCCCCTGGATCCGCCACTGAGTGGATGTCCAAGCAAATTCACCCAAAGGTCAGATCGAGCAATGTTCAGAGAATGTCATGGTCTTATGCAGGTCTTATGCAGACTTTTGCCATGGTTAACGTTTGGTTCTTTATTGGTAACTTTAGACATGGTTAAGTAACAGGAAAACCTATAAGTGAGATTATAGGTGATAGGAAATAGAACCTAAATTATAGGCAATAGATAGGAGAACCTTTAAGCAAAATGATAATCAATAGGTAGAAGGAGAACCTATAAGTGAAATCATAGGCAAGAGATAGGAAAAATAACAGAAAGAGTTTAGGCAATAAGCTCCAGACAGGTTATTAACAGGATATAATTTGATAGTAAGAAAACCTATAGATGAAAATATAGGTTATATAGAGAGTCAAGAAAAACAGAATAGTAAGGACAAGTAAAATAGACGTTTAGAGAATCAGTCACCTTGTTTAGAAGGAGCACGGATCATGCAGGTAAATTATTTTTTGCAACATTGATTAGTAGCGTAGTTCAGGTAGGTATTATGCAGGCTGGTAATATAAAGCAGGTTGTTAGTATAGATCAGGTTTGTAGCGTAGTACAGTTTGGTAACAAAGCAGGTTGGTTGTGTAGATCAGGTTGGTGTAAAGAAGCTTGGTAGTGTAGATCAGGTTGGTATTCAACAGGCTGGTAACAAAGTAGGTAAGTTTATAGGAGTCAGGAACAGAAGTCTTTCAGGTAGACCATCAACTTCATTGTAAGGGTCCAGTATTGAGCTGGGTGAGGCCTTTTGTATAAGTAATCAGCCCAGGCAGGTGAGGTAGAGTGAAGAAAAGTTCAGTCCTAGTGGTTACGGAGGCCACAAGGGGTGGAAAGTTGGAATTGTTGTAATGAAACAGATAAAAGAAACATAATTTTGGTTGTCAGGATTAGATTCTGACAGAGAAATTGCAAAAAACAAAAAAAGAGTTAATTCACAGACTCTACAGGCATCCGTTAGCATGCTAAATGTTAAAGTTCGTGACAGTACAATTAGAAAAAGACTGAACAAGTATGGTTTGTTTGAAAGGGTTGCAAAGAGAAAGACTCTTCTCTACAATAAGAACATTATAGCCAGGGACGTATTAGCCGCGAGCAAACAAGGCATTTGCCTTGGGCGGCATTTTTCAGGGGGCGGCAAAAAACGCCGCCCCAAATGCCCAGGACAAATGCCTTGTTAGCCTTGCGGCTAACTAACATGCCGGGCGGGCGGGCGGTGCTGGCTGATGGGCGGGCGGACGGCTGGCGAGGGAGCTCTTCCTCTGAGCGGTCTGCTCAGCTCCCTCGCGCGCCGCAGAGTTAGGCTGGGAGCCGGGATATGATGTCATCAACCCGGCTCCCAGCCCCACTCTGCGGCGCACGAGGGAGCTGAACAGTCAGCTCAGGGGGAAGTGCTCCCTCGCCAGCCACCCACCCAGCAGCCAGCCCATCAGCCCGACCGGCAGCCACTGGACCACCAGGGAGATAATGAACCCCTTCCCCCCCCAGCATTCCCTAAGGTAAGGAGGCTGGGAGGGGGGAGTTAAATAAAAAAAAAGTGTTAATGTGTCTGACTGTGTGTGTCTGTCTGTGTGTGTGTTTGTGTCTGACTGTGTGTGTGTCTGAGTGTTTGTGTCTGACTGTGTATGTGTGTCTGACTGTGTGTGTGTGTGTCTGACTGTGTGTGTGTCTGACTGTGTGTGTGTGTGTGTGTGTGTGTGTGTATTTAGAAGGTGGGCGGGGGGAGGGAGGCGCCTGAGTTTTGTCCTGCCTAGGGCAGCACAAAACCAGGATACACCACTGATTATAGCACTGGTTAAGTTTGCAAAGTTGCATCTGAACAAACCACAAAACATCTGAAACCATGTTCTTTGGACAGACAAGACCAAAGTGCAGATGTTTGGACATAATGTACAGCCCCACGTTTGGCGAAAACCAAACACAGCATATCAGCAAACTCATCATGCCAAATGTCAAGCATCGTGGTGTAGGGGGTGATGATCTCTGCTTGTTTTGCAGCCACAGGACCTGAGATGCGTGCAGTCATTGAGATAACTATGATCTCCTCTGTATACCAAAGCAATTCTAGAGTAAAATGTGAGGCCATCTGTCAGACAGCTAAAGCTTGGCCAAAATTGGGTCATGCAACAGGACAATGATCCCAAGCTCATCTACAACAGAATGGCTGAAAAATTAAAGAATCAAGGTATTGCAACAACCCAGTCAATGTTCAGACCTCAAGCCTAATGAAATGCTGTGGCGGAACGAGAGCTGTGCATAAACGAATGCCAGCAAACCTTAATGAACTGAAGTAAAGAATGTTGTAAAGAAGAGTGGGCCAAAATTCCTCCACAATTATGTGAGAGACTGATAAAGTCATACAGAAAACTATTACGCCAAGTTATTGTTGCTAAAGACAATGAATCCTAAGGTGTACTTAGCTTTTCACACATGGCGCTTAATTTGAGTTTCAAAAATCATGACACAGTGTGTTGTTCATCTGAGGTTGTATTTACTGTATGACTGTATGTAAAGGACCACACACTTTTGCTGGAAAAGATAGTGATTGTTGGATCAACATGTCAAACAATTTATACAAAAAGAATTATATTTATAATATATATGTATATATTTTTTAGGGCAGCATATGATCATTGACTAATTAACTCCTTTACTTTGGAGCAATGATCAGATACATAATAAATCACTCAGAAGGGTTACAATTCTCTTACTGCAATAGACGGACTGAATGAATGGAGAATATCATATCGATTTCAAAATTAAGAAGTGTAATAAGATGTGTTTAGAGCTTGGGTCCTCAAACTCTGGCCCCCCAGATGTTGCTGAACTACAACTCCCATGATTCCTTGAATTACATAGATAGCCAGAGAATCATGGGAGTTGTAGTTCATCAACATCTGGGGGGTCGGAGTTTGGGGACCCATGGTTTAAAGCTTGCTCTGTGTCTCACCTCCTGTTTGTGAAAATGTTTTACATGATCCTTTATATGGCACAGCAACATCAAGGTCACTAAACGCACCAATTACAAATATATTAGCAATATAAACTTTACCACAAACAAAATTGTGGATACTTCCCAAACACCACAGAAAAAGACTTCTTAAAAAGTTCACAAGGAATTGATTTAAGACTGTTCATTTCAAAGTCAATTCAAAGGGTCTGACATTATTTGCTTTTTTGCAGAGCAAAATGGATCCCCCAATTGACTTGGCATTGCACATTTAAATATGTTTACTTGATTAAAGACCAGTTAAAGGCTTTTAAAGAAAGGGTACATAGGAGCCTTCATGTGGACTTCTTCCCGTTCACCAGATTATCGTTTTTTTCCAGTCCCATACTCTGATGTGTGAGCCTCTTTACCATGGTGCCTGGTATAAGTGCAGCCAGTGCAATTGCCAGCAATGTTCTAGAGACTTGACCTTTGAGAGAATGGAGCCTGTCTGGACGCAGATGAAGTTGTAAGGCAGGAGACCTGTGGTCATAATATATTCAACAATTAATCTCAGGAACATCAATGGAAAAAATAAACTGAAGCAGTTGGAAATTAAAAATCTGATTATGGTTCCATCAGGTCAGGTCCAGTCTTATACATTGTGTTTTGTAAGTTTTGCAATAGTTATTCTTCTTTGATTTTGCACTCACGCGGGATGCAGTGACGTCATGTATGTGATTACGCATGACGTCCCGGATGTTTCAAGAGACCGCAAACACAGGGAGCGTCACGTTGATGGGGTAGACGGACGCCCCCCTCTTTTGTCTATTTAAACCTATGTTTTTATGGTTGTTATACCAGGGCCTTCGAAGGGACATTGAGGTCTTGAGCGCGCAGCCCAACATCCACCTGCACCACAGCCGGACTACAACTACTACCGGACTCCAGCTATCACCCAGAGCTCATTCAGTGACTATTTCCAGCATCCATTCCATATGGATTTTCTTTATTGCACAGGACTAATTTTCCAAACTGAAGATGGGTGAGATCCAACCTTTTTGATTATCTTTCCCTCCCTTTGTGGAATTTTTTGTTTATTTTTTCTACTAACATCTATATGGAATAGTTATATCCATTCTGATCAGTGGACTCAAAATACAGACATCGGGACATATTTTTGTACATTTTTTTGTTTCTTTTTTCACTTTCTTCTATTTTTTCCTTTTTTTAACTAGCCTATGTATTTACACATATTCTTATGAATTAGAGGGTGGATCCACCGGTGTCATTGACAGTGATTTCTATCAACTATGCATGAATTATTGAATTACTTTTTATTAATTAATTTAAACTTGGTGTAAAGTATGTGTTCAGCTGGTTATCTACATCATGAACTATAGGTGTGGCTCAGGTGATTGATGTACATAGTTACTCTGTGTGTTGTTGGTTTCAATATACCTATTTTTGCATCATTTAGAGTGCGGTATTTCTTTCGATTGATTATATATTTTTGGAGGTTAAAACATAAGGGTGACCTCAATACCTGCACCTACTCACGTGCAGAGTGCCAACATCATCTATTTTTATGTCAAACACTTTATATATAATATAAATATATATTTTTTTGTATAAATATAATTTTTAAGGCAGCACATGATCATTGACTAATTAACTCATCTACTTTGGAGCGATGATCAGATACATAGTTATCACTCAGAAGGGTTACATTTCTCTTACCGCAATATGCAAGATAAGGAGATGGACTGAATGGAGAATATCATATTGATTTGTGAAAATGTTTTACATGGTCCTTTATATGGCACAGCAACATCAAGGTCATTAAACGCACCGATTACAAATACATTAGAAATATAAACTTTACCACAAACAAAATTGTGGATTCTTCCCAAACACCATAGAAAAAGACTTCTTAAAAAGTTCACATGGAATTGATTTAAGACTGTTCATGTCAAGGTCAATTTAAAGGGTCTGATATTATTTACTCTTTGCAGAGCAAAATGGATCCCCCAACCGACTTGGCTTTGCACATTAAAATATGTGTTCACTTTATTAGAGACCCGTTAAAGGCTTTTAAAGAAAGGGTACATAGCCTTCATGTGGACTTCTTCCCGTTCACCAGGTTATCGTTTTTTTCCAGTCCCATACTCTGATGTGTGAGTCTCTTTACGATGGTGCCTGGAATTAGCGCAGCCAGTGCAATTGCCAGCAATTTCAGCAATGTTCCCCAGGAGAACATATCATCTAGAGACTTGACCTTTGAGAGAATGGAGCCTGTCTGGACACAGATGAAGTTGTAAGGCAGGAGACCTGTGGTCATAATATATTCAACAATTAATCTCAGGAACATCAATGGAAAAATTAAACTGAAGCAGCAGGAAATTAAAAATCTGATTATGGTGCCGTCAGGTCACACAATGAGCATCATAACTAGACATTTCCCCAAATTTCCACTAGTTGCATACTTAGAACGTATACACGATCAGATGTCCTGGGATAGGACTACATTAAACAACACTATATCCAGCCTGTACTATGACTGTGACATGAGAACATCCTTTAATAAACTATGAAAAACATTTATGTAAGCATTGTGACACTTTTGATATAATTTAATTTGCTTGTATGGAGATTGACAACCTCAAACATCTTAACCTAATATGTAGATAATTAAAAACAATCAGCCTCAACATATTAAGGAAACACTCCAAACCCCTAGAGCACTTCAGATTGCTGCTTGTTAACCAAAATACCTTCTCCTACTCTCTAGTTCCTAACTTTTCTCTAACCCCTCCTCACACTGTTATCTAGCCCCCTATAAAGTGACTTCTGCGATTAGTTATAGAAAAGTAATCTGACCTGGAGAATAGATTGTAACAAAAAAAGTCTGTAATCAATTTGACTCTGACCAAATTGTCTTATTTAATCAGTATAAACAGGTGCATTTTTCAGCATTCACATGCCCACTATCTCTGTGGGGCAAATACCACTTTGGTTTCCGTTCCTCACCAGGTAAAATAATCCTCTGATTAAACAGCACTTTCAGGGGACAGTGGCAGACAAGAGCTGCTTACTCCCAAATAGTGATGTCCCGAACTGTTCGCCGAACGGTTCGCCGCGGACTCATCATTGAGTAAACTTTGACCCTGTACCTCACAGTCAGCAGACACATTCCAGCCAATCAGCAGCAGACCCTCCCTCCCAGTCACTCCCACCTCCTGGACAGCTCATTAAGAATGCAGCTTCACAATGGATGCTGTCCAGGAGGTGGGAGGGTCTGGGAGGGAGGGTCTGCTGCTGATTGGCTGGAATGTGTCTGCTGACTGTGAGGTACAGGGTCAAAGTTTACTCGATGTGTCCGCGGCGAACCATTCGCGGCGAACCGTTCGGGACATCACTACTCCTAAACACTGAGACACATGCTCATAAAAATCATAAAGGCTAAATATTAAAGTGTAAAGTTATGTGTTTACCTATAAGGACAGACATAAAGAACTGCCCCACTGGGATGTTCAGTATTGGAGATGTCAAGTTCAGAAACCAGTTGGGTGTCATGGGAAACAAACGCAGGAAGAGAAGGAAGAAAAACAGGCTGCTGCGGTTTTCTTCAACCTGCCGAGAACAGAGGTAGATTCAGGGTTATGTGTATCCGTGGGGAGGCAATCCATACAAACTCTGTGTATATCCAAGACAATTCTTCCTTGCAGATTGGTGCAGCTGTACATCTATGGGATTTATATAGTTCACAAGCAAAATAAAACCAAAGGCCATAAGTGTGCAACATTTAGATTAAACCAGAATAAAACTGAAATGGAACGGAGTCTCCATTCTGTGTGTACTTTACAACTGGTAAGACTAATGGGAAGTGGAAGGTATATTTAATAGGATATCAACAATTCAGCTATGTTGTTTCCTACATATCAAGAAATCTCACAATTGTTTGGAAATTGGACGTGTTCTTTAATTGTGTGTATACCTATCACTTTTGTAGTAAGATCTTTCCAAATAACCTTGAAAATGATTACACTTTTTAATATTAGATAGGGAATATGCACATAGAACTACAGAGCATGAAAATGTTTTTAAATGATTTATCTGAGGAGGTGGGTTGGAATTATGTATTTACCTTTGATTGCAGCAAGGAGACTTTTTCAGGGAAGTAGAGCACAACGATCTGTTTGCCAAATGCACGAGAGAGAAGATAACAGAATGTGGCTCCTAGGGAGGTTAGTAAACAGCAAAGGAACAGGCCAAGCCACGGCCCAAACAGCGCTCCACCCAACAGGTTCTGTGGAGGGATAAAATAAAAACAATAATGGACTACAACAGAAATATTGCAAAAGCTAATTTAAATGGCCAGTAAATCTCACCAGATCAACTAGTTGCACACAGAGCAATGTATATTATTGTAAAAGAACACTCCAAGCATCATTAGCAATACAGCCCACTATAGTGGTTATGGTGCCAGGAGTAGCCTGTATAAAGGACAGTAGTCAACCATTTTTACAAAGCTTTTAGAAACTTCAAAAATTATATAAACATAAACCACAGATTAAGAAACATTGACAAGAGAGGACAAAATCCAAGGCATGTCCATTCTCTCACTTCCAATCTTGAATATGTACTTTAAGGATGTTTAATAAATTTTGTATTTTAATCTTGTTGCAGCACACATTTTATATAAGTACATCCTACGGGTTGATTTACAAACTATTCCCGCTTTCAGGCTTTTTTTTTTTTTTAATATACAAGGTTTTTCACTAAAGTGAGAATTCAAAGTGAATTTTACATTTATGACATACAGAATTTTTTCCAGTTAAGCTACTTTGACCCTAAATTTGAAATCCATTTTGAATTCTCAATTTGTTCAATAATCATATTTGTATTTTCTTCCCTCATTTCCCAGGGATAAAACAAACAAACAAACAAAAAAAAAACATTTGCCAAATTTATGCCACCATTTCAAGATCATAAAATAACTTGTTTATTTCAGTGTCTAGGGCATCATTATTTGAATATTGGCAATTCCAATACATTCAGATTAATTTGCTGATCCAATATACTCCCGTGGAATCCAGCTCGAAAATAGCAGAAAGCATTCGGCCTCAATGTATTGAATTTAGGGGGTTTATGAATGCAGTAGTATACGGACAACCTAAGAGAACTGATCTGACATAAGATAGCATGGAAGATAGTGCATGGAGCAGAGAACAATGAACAGGAGTGTTTGATCAGATAATGAGAACAATAAGAGAAAGGACTAGGACTCATTCCCCATTGTTTCCATATAACACACATGATAGGTGAGATGGCTGGACCAAACAAACCCAATATAAGTGAAAGGCAACTGAGAGAATGAAAGAAGGCGAACAAGACCTGCCAGGCACCTGCGCCATCTGCCGGATGAATTAAGGAAATGGGAAGATCTTAAGTAAGCTGCCATACAGTAGTAAGTTTCATCCCCAGTGTATCACGAGGTGTCTGAGTCTGAATGCCAGCTGCTCAGTCTATTGGGATTCACTTTATAATTACAATGGATGGAGCATGTATTTGATGGAACAAGATAAGTCCCTGTTTGTGTCACAGTTGCAGAGTGTCACGTAGCTCTTTTAAATCAACAGTGTCCTCCATATAACTCTCCCACCAACCGTGCTCGAATCCTCCTTTATCATCATAATAAAAATAAAAAAAACAGTTGAAACCACTGATTCATTGATTGAACAAATTGATCATTGATTTAACAGGCAAGTATGAGACAGAAAGCTGTGATTACTGATCTGCAGGTGAGGATGCGGAAGACAGTCAACAGCTATTATTGATCTGACATGATATAATGCATCAGAAAGCAGACGGCCTGAGATTATTGATCGGTCAGGATATGATGCAGTAGAAAGAGGATACTCTGAGAGTACTGAGCTCACATTAGATTGTGACAGTGATATATGCCAGAAGAAAGCATAGGAAAAGTAGGGGACACACAAAAGAACATGTCCATAGATTAAGGATAGGAAGAGGAACGTTTAGGAGTTGCCCCTTCTCATAGCTCCCCTGTAAAACTATTGAGAAAGGTGATGACTGACACAGACCAAAATATATATATTTATATTTATTTAAGGCTGTCATGTGGGAAGTTCTTAATCACTCTGTCATGCAGCCATCAATTTCAGTGTGTCAGGAGGTGGCTGCCAACTTTGCCAGGATTGACTTTACGGCAACAGTGAATGCTACATTTAAAAAAAAAAAAAAAGAATGATTGTCACTGTTCATACCCAAATTAGCAAAATCTCCACGTGCCCGTTTCCACAATTTGATGCTCCATTCCTCTTCTGTGTTTCTATTGCCTTTCCAATATCAATTCGCAATTCTATTTATAATCCCCAAAAGAACCATTTAAACTGACCATTTATCATCCTTACTGCCATGTGTCAAAACACATAATGCAAAGAACAAGCGGGAATTCCATATTCCTTTGTATTCCCTTCTTCAATATTATTTCTATAAGCTTTTCTTCTCTTACAAGGAACAGATTTTAGTGTGCTCTGCTACTAGGTCTGAAATTTTAAAATGCTTTGATTGATATCATTTGATAGTTTTAGGATGCGGAATCAACTCTTTATTTTATATTAGGGGTTGATTACTGAAACATATCACAGCTGACTATAAAACAATTTATTTAAATTGTCTGCTGATGATGATGTCATTGACTTAACAGGCAATGATACGACTGAAAGAAGGCCACCTCAAATTACTGATCTGGTAGGATATAATGCAGCAGACAGAGGACGTCCCAAGCTTATTGATCTGGCAGGATATAATGCAACACAAAGCGGATGGCCCGCTATTATTGATCTTACAGGTTGCAAAGCTGCAGACAGTGTATGGCCTGAGAATATTTATTGGACAGGACACGATGCAGAAGAAATGGTGTGAGATTATTGGGCTGACAGACGAGGACAATACTTTCGCCCTGAGCAATGGGCAGAGAACAACAATGAAAAAATAAAAAAAATACAACAATTTGACCAGAGCGTAAGGACAGGAAGAAGATGGTCTAGAACAGTGATGGCTAACCTTGACACCATAAATTGTTTCCTGGACTACATTTCCCATGATGCTCAGCTAGCTTTTAGATTCTAAAAGCTAGCTGAGCATCATGGGAAATGTAGTCCAGAAACTATTTATGGTGTCAAGGTTAGCCATCACTGGTCTAAAATAAAGTTAGGAAACGTTCGGCACTCCAGATGTCGAGGACTGCTTCTCCAATAATGCTTTTACAGGGATAATGCTGGCAAAGCATCATGGGAGATCTACTCCTGGTCTAGGTTTTGCTCACCTTCCTATTCACATGCAAGACCATCGAGAGTAGTGATAGCGGTCTGTAACCAATACATTAGATATGAACGTGAAACAGGTATCAACAGAAAAAAAAAAAAAAAAGAAAAAAAAAAAGAGGGTGTAATATGTAACCATGTAGTGCCTGATGGACTGTGAAAGTAAATAGCATATATACACACTGCTAGCACCAATTCAAATCTAGTATCTCATGAGCTGGCTCCAACAGAATGCCAGCTATCTGCTTTGCCACAATCAACATTGAGGTTACAAGGGATGCTGCATTTATCTGACACTGTGTGTTACCCAGGTGGCAGTGTACACACCTGTCCACATGCCAGGTACCTAGACTGAAGCTTCACTTGTTATTTTCCAATATCACTTTTCATCTCCTCTGCAAACCTCCAATAGAACCAGCATTTTTTTTTTTTAAATGTTTTGCTTCCCTTGGGTATTATTGTTATTAAGAATACATGGAGTTTTGTGTAAAAGTTCCTATTGAATTTCCTGTTCTATTTTATTTCTTCAAGCTAAGGACTGTATAATTAGCTCTCTGTTGGCAGGTCCCGAGACAATGTGTGTGTGTTTCTCTTATCAGATGTGTACTCTCCAAGAGATTTATTTCAAACATTCACCAATGAACTTGTGAAATCTCACACTCCTATGCACTACCTGTCTTCTATTAACTCTTTCTGTGACATCGTTCAGAAGAGGCTTCTAATGCTGATGCAATCTATTCCCAGTATCTTTTACAGGCACTCCTTGACAGCTTGCAATAGACCCTATCAGTGTGTCTCGTAAGCTGCACATGCCTGAGTGTACAGATCTGTAAACACTTACACCGAGAGACATATTTGTTTCTCTTACAGCCTTCAACTGTACAAGTGCCTGGCTTGTAACTATCATAACTTTTAGTAAAAAGTGATTAAATGATTTCAATATTTATCCATTATGTCAGATGTTATTCATCTATATTGCACATATCATTAGGTTTCGCTACTAACTTAGGACTCCGTTTTCAGTCGTGCCTTTAGGGGTTTAGCCAACTCTATGAAGAGGCATAACTCTTCCATGATATTCTACAATTCCAAGAGAAATCATTACTTGTTTTAGTGTCTTGTATTGGCAGTTTTGTGACTGAGTGGATATCGTTTCAACTTACATCCTTTATAGTGACACAGCAAGTTGTAATTCCTCTAATTCTTCAAAGGGTAAACTGATACAGTTAAGATAGAACTCTCTGATGAAATATATACAATTACGTGGACATTCATTAAAGTGAGAATTTTTGGGAGCTCAAAGAGAATTTCAAATTTAAGACCAGAATAGCCAATCTAGAGAAATTCTGCAAGATAGATGCGCTTTTAGTAGGCTACTTTGGCCTGGTCTCTGATGAAGCATCAGTTAAAGCCCGAAACGCCAACTAGTGGTATATGTTTCTGCCTGCGTGTCCCAGTCATAATGTGAAATTAGAATAAAGGCTCGTTTTATTTGTATCCATGTGGATTGAGGCATTTTTCCTTTGTTTGGAGGATATTCCCCAGTCAAACAATGAAATTAACTTTAGTAAATAATTCTGTTTGATTCTATTGACATAAATTATGATACATATGAAAGTTTGAATTGCTTAGTTTCTAAACAATAGTATGGAGGCCTTCCTGTTGGGTTGGATTGAAGTTTACTTCATCTCGTGGGTGTTAGAAGTATTATCGGATCTCTATTTCTAAAGTGTCTAAGCTGTGTCTATTTATCATACCATCTGTTACGTTCTTTCTGTTCAATTTAAACAAAGTTGGATATGCAGTTAGGCTAACTATTTTCAGCCTTCCTCTAAATAAATTTTACTTTAAAAAAAAAATAAAAATATTATTTATTCATAAATACTATTTTACCAGTGTACAGATACATAAAGGTCAGTCTATAAAAATGTATATTCCAGTCACAGAAAAGTTTACACTAAAAGTCAACTACATGATTGTTGCTTATAATAATGATTTTTATATAATAATTAAATGTATATTTAGTTTTTTCTTTAATGAAAAAGGTTTATGTACTTACTAGGAAGCTGGAGCCTGGAATGGCAAAGCTTTGCTTGTAGAGGTACGCACTACAGAACAAAAGCATCACATATGTTTGATGTTCTCTCTTGTAGTCCAGCAAAAAGTCAGCCAGCTCTCGTAATTCATCCAAATCTGAAGGAAACACCAGGGACCTTAAAAAGCAAGACACATTACATAAAAAAAGCAAAATATGTAATAACTTTAGAAACAAAAGAAAGTAATCTGCTCAAAATGATGCCATAAAAACACCTCCCACCTACTACAAAGATCTATGTCGCTCATTGCTTGTAGCAAAGATTACATGAACAGCTTTAACTTTGGTTCATTTTACTTAAATGAGAATCATGAAAAAAGTACAATTATAAGTGTCCCAAAATATGGAACTTTTTTTTATTTTTTTTATTTGAAGAGGTTTTTATTTGAAATCGTGCAGGGAACCACTACGTAATTTAATGGCATCTATGCATTTTCTTCTCACTGACCTGGATTCCGATTAGCTAAATAGGAGGTTCTGAGAACTTCTGACATCAGAAGATTTTTTTGTACTATTACATAGCACTGTCAGGAAACACGACGCTAGTGGCTGTCACACTGAAAGCCACCAGAGGCATTTCCCTCCTTAACACAAGCTGAAGAACTCTATATCCAGCATGATGACGCTGAGGAAGAGCTGGATTCCACAAAACTTAGCATGCAACGGAGCAACGCAGATCCATAATGATTCTGTATGAGAAATATTTTACAGCAGGACTTGAAAAATCCCAGACGTCAGGTCTCCATGGCGACTAGGAATTATAAAATATGAAATTTAATGTATCTAGCTAATTTTGCAAGTTTGGTATATTTCATTCAAGTATAGTAGCATAAACAACTTAATGAGATGAGGGCCCAACAACCAATATGAAAATTCTCGAAAATAGTCAAAAACAAAGTCAAAGTGCATTAATCATACATATAAAACACACACTTTATGGTCATCGTAAACACCAATTGGCTAATAAACAGACTAGACCCATCTTGTCCACTTGTGAATTTGCCTCTCATTACTCCAATATCTGATTTCACACACATTTGCTCCTTCTAAACTTAGCACAGGAATACGCCATTTGATATTGTCTGTACAGCATTCAAGCCGCTGGTTAAACACGCAATATGATACAGTTATTTTAAGGAAATTATCTCTCATACCATTAAATCTTTTTTTTTTTTTTAAAGTCTGTTTGTATAATTTTCTAATGATTTTACATTAAACAATGAGTGGCCTGTACTCCAAAAATGATCTTCACTATGTATTTGCAATAGTTGCTAGAGAGTTCAGTACAGTTGTAATTCTACCATCTAAATTGGAAATTATTTATAAATTTGGCTGATTTCGACCTAAAATTTTAAACTTTGATTGGCTAATAGTTCACACTTCTGTCAATAACCTTGTTGGACTTTGGCATTAGTGATTGTGAAAGCTCAAGCAGCAATTCTCCTGCCACAGCCTTGTATTCATTGAAATGTACCTTTCAGAGTAGAATTCTCTTCCAAATTAAGGGGATAGTGGTATTTTAGAAAGGGGTGGGGGGAGTTGTTTAACCCCTTAAGGACACATGACATGTTTGACGTGACATGTCATGATTCCCTTTTATTCCAGAAGTTTGGTCCTTAAGGGGTTAAAGCATCACTTCTAATTACAATGAATGGGTATATTAGACAATGTTACATGCTAAACCAATAATGACTTCCCAGCTCCTTTGGGTTCTCTGTTTCCAAAATGCCAGGAGCAGATTGTGCAGACTTTATTCTCCCCCCACCTACACCTATTTAGCTGCCATGGATATATCCGGGGAAATACAGATTGTGCGTTTATTAATTTAGACTGGTGGTGTTTTATTGATCTGAGCTATGTCCTTATATCCAGTCAGAGCTAGAATGTATTGTAAGCTCCTACCTCTCCACTTCTTGCCCTCTGCCGGGTCGCAGGTTGGTGCTAAGTACGTACAGGTAGAAAGTAGCGCAGCCAAACACCACGAAGAAACCTGCCAGGGAGCGCATGGCGGCTTCACTGAACAGACAGGTACGGAATAGCAACCGGAACCAAAGCACGCAGGCTGCAGTACCCAGGGGGATGGAGAGAAGTGAAGGACCGGAAGTACAAAGAGCGGAATGGTTGTATGAGCGTGAACTGTAACCATAGTAACACTGTGCTTCCTATGGTACCAGCGCGATCATTTTAGGGTTATTCACTAAAATACAACATCAAACGAGTTAAAATCCGAATGACACAAAGCTAAAATAGCTGAATTACAAATAAAAAATATTCAACAGTTATAGAAACAGCTTTGCAAATTATTGGAACACCCCCAGAGGCGAAAATAGAAACCACGGGCCCTTCACCCCCCGCCCCACACACACACACAGCCGACAAAAATGATACACATGCAGAAACACACAGACATACAAATACACAAACATACACATGTAGACACACATATATACAAACACACGCAGACACAAACACAAAGAGAAACATACATTCAGACACACGCGCAGACATACAGATACACACAGACAGAGACACATACATTCAGACACACACATACATACAGATACACACAGACAGAGACACATACATTCAGACACACAGGCCGAAACACATACATTCAAACTCACACACATACATACAGATACACACAGACAGAGACACATACATTCAGACACACATACATACAGATACACACAGACAGAGACACATACATTCAGACACACATACATGCAGATACACACAGACAGAGACACATACATTCAGACACACATACATACAGATACACACAGACAGAGACACACATTCAGACACACACATACAGATACACACAGACAGAGACACATACATTCAGACAAACACACATACATACAGATACACACAGACAGAGACACATACATTCAGACACACACAGACATACATATACACAGAGACAGAGACACACATTCAGACACACATACATACAGATACACACAGAGACACATACATTCAGACACACACAGACATACAGATACACACAGACAGAGACACATACATTCAGACACACAGAAATACAGATACACACAGACAGAGACACAAACATTCAGACACACACACAGACATACAGATACACACAGACAGAGACACAAACATTCAGACACACACACAGACATACAGATACACACAGACAGAGACACATACATTCAGACACACATACATAGAGATACACACAGACAGAGACACATACATTCAGACACACATACATACAGATACACACAGACAGAGACACATACATTCAGACACACATACATACAGATACACACAGACAGAGACACATACATTCAGACACACATACATACAGATACACACAGACAGACACACATACATACAGATACACACAGACAGAGACACATACATATAGATACACACAGACAGAGACACATTCATTCAGACACACATACATACAGATACACACAGACAGAGACACATACATTCAGACACACATACATAGAGATACACACAGACAGAGACACATACATTCAGACACACATACATACAGATACACACAGACAGAGACACATACATTCAGACACACATACATACAGATACATACAGACAGAGACACATACATTCAGACACACAGACATACAGATACACAGAGACAGAGACACACATTCAGACACACATACATACAGATACACACAGACAGAGACACATACATTCAGACACACACACACAGACATACAGATACACACAGACAGAGACACAAACATTCAGACACACATACATTCAGACACACACACATACATACAGATACACACAGACAGAGACACATAAATTCAGACACACACATACATACAAATACACAAACATACACATGTAGACACACATATATACAAACACACGCAGACACATACAAACACACAGAGAAACATACATTCAGACACACACAGACATACAGATACACACAGACAGAGACACACATTCAGACACAGATACACACAAACAGAGACACACATTCAGACACACATACATACAGATACACACAGACAGAGACACATACATTCAGACAAACACACATACATACAGATACACACAGACAGAGACACATACATTCAGACACACACACATACATACAGATACACAGAGACACACATTCAGACACACACACATACATACAGATACACACAGACAGACACATACATTCAGACACACACACAGGCAAAATGTCACCCTCCTTTTTCCTACCTCTTAGGTGCCAGAGGGTGACTTTCCCTGGGGCCCGGTTGCTCATGCTGATGGGAGTTAGAGTTCCCACTCTGACTCCCTCCTCTCTTCCTCCCATGCGGCTGTCTCTGTTTGCTGGCAGGAAGTGACCGGGGCAGTCCCTTCCTCCCAGCCTCTGATGTCATGACAGGGGCCCGGTTGCACTGTTAAAACGCCACAGCGCTGACCGGGCCCCCTGGAAATTAATTTCCATTGGGTGGCCCTAACAGCATGGGCCACCCATTGGGCCCCTTAACACATGGCCGGGGGCCGCAACACATGGCATCCGGTCGCAGGGGTCTACAGGGCGGCCTGGCCCCCTGGAATGACGGGCCTGGTCTCAGCTGTGACCGTAGTAGTTCCGCCATTGAACAGTCCCATATCTCCAAACATTGCACTCTTGAACTGGACAGGTGGGCGGAGTCGTAAGGGGGCGTTTTAATTCTCAGGATGAGAATATCATTTTGCCTCTTTATAAATCACTGGTAAGACCACATCTTGAATATGCTGTGCAATTTTGGACACCTGTTCTAAAGAAGGATATTATGGCACTAGACAAAGTGCAGAGGCGGGCTACAAAATTAATAAAAGGAATGGAACATTTCAGCTATGAAGAAAGGTTAACAAATTTAAACCTCTTTAGTTTAGAAAAACATTGCCTCAGAGGGGATATGATAACATTATACAAATTTATCCGGGGCCAATACAAACCATTGTGTGGAAATTTATTCACAAACCGGACTTTACATAGGACACAAGGTCATGCATTTAGACTGGAAGAAAGAAGATTTCGTCTAAGGCAAAGAAATTTTTTTTTACCATAAGAACAATAAGGATGTGGAATTCTCTGCCTGAAGAAGTGGTTTTATCAGAGTCCACACAGATGTTCAAACAGCAACTAGATGCATACTTGCAAAAATAGAATATCCAAGGATATAATTTTTCAAAGTAGAGTAATAGTTTCTTGATCCAAGGATTAATCTGACTGCCATTCTGGGGTCAAGAAGGAATTTTTTTCCTAGTTTGTTGCAAAATTGGAAGTGCTTCAAACTGGTTATTTTTTGCCTTCTTTTGGATCAACAGCAAAAAACAAATGTGAGGAAGGCGGAACTTGATGGATGCAAGTCTCTTTTCAGCTATGTAACTATATAACTATGTTTCCAGTGATGTAAAACACTTAGCTTGCGATGCCCAAAATGGGCGTGACCAATCCAAAGATAAAGATAAATTACCTGGATGTTGGACAAAAGTAACATCAGAGACTACCTGAATGTACCTTTCCTGGTTAAACACTTTGTTATTATTCTAATAGAGTAGACATGCGCAGTGGCGTAGCTAGGGGGGGGGGGGATTGAGGGCCGATCCGCCCAAGGAAGCATTTTATTGGGGGTGGCACTTGAGCCTGTGGGCCAGCACCTCCGTCTGGTGCTCTGTCAGAAATAATGACCCGTCAGAAATCTCGACAAAACGTCATGTCTGGTGCAGGGACATCATGTCTGCATCGGACATGATGTGGGTCAAGATTTCTGAATTGCAGCCTCTCTGCCCCACTGCAGTCTCAGCCCCCCAATCACAGCCCATACACCCCACTACAGTCCCCTCCCCCCCAATTGCAGCCCCAAACTCCCCTACTACAGCCCCTATCCTTCCCATTACATCATCTATCCCTCCCACTACAGCCTTTATTTCCTCCACTTGCAGCCCAAATCCAGGACTACAGGTCCGAACACCCCTTTCCACTATCGACCCTAATTCCCCTTTTGCACACCATTCCCTGATTACAGTCCTTACCTCCCACTACAGTCCCATATCCTCCCAACTACAGCCCCTCTCCCCCAATTGCAGCCCATATTCCCCACACTACAGCCCCTTTCCCCAATTGCAGCAATCCACCTACTTAAGCCCCTAACCCTCCTAATACAGCCCTTATCACCGACTACATTTCCTAACCCCCCATTTATAACTCATACCCCACACTAAAGCCCCTGTCCCTCCATTAGAGTCCCTTACTCCTCAATTACAGCCTCTATCACCCCACTACAGCCAACTATCGGTGCCCCTCCCGAGATTAGGATCTAGATTCGCCCCTGCCACATCAGCTACTCCTGGGATCTGGAGAAACTGAGTGACAGACAGACATAGTGAGAGAATGACATAGTGCGCTTCTTGATTTTTCAAAGAGAGACCAATCAGGATGAATACTCTGTCACTCTCACTACGTGTGTAAAGTCCTCCTACCAAGTAGCTTGTGAAGCTGCCTCCCTGAAATGAGTTTTGGCATGTTGGGATGTCTGCTGATGCTTTGCTACGTCTACACCGGACATGGCGTGGGTCGAGATAGGAACGGCAAACTCGGGCAAGAACTCTAGTTACACCACTGGACATGCATCTAGGAAATACAAGGGGGTGCAAAGGACCACCACTGATGTCTTTTGTATCTACCAGCACTTCATCAGAGACTAGGCACAAAACACATTAGTGGGGATCTTCTGTTGCCCTTGTATGTTCTACCGCCATGTCTCTTAGAATAAAGGTAATCTATGCTTATCTTTAAAGCAAGCTGTTTTTGGCTTCTGTATAGAGGAGATCCAGTGTTCTGCCATTTTTCTTGACCTGCCCACTCACCTCTCTATAAATATATATATATATATATATATATATATATATATATAAACATTGATTTCCCGATTTTTTAATATATTAATATTTTGATTCAGCACTTACAATATAAAAATAGGTAAATCAATGTTTATTAAAAGTACTTAAATCGGCAGGAGGTTTGTGTTTGTGCATGAAATTGCGGTGAAACAGCTGATTCTGTGTCACCAGAAGTGACGCGGCGCAGACTTCTGATGTGTCCAGAAAAATAGCAAAACACTGGTAATACAGTTAATTTTAGGTATTTAGTATATCATTGGCACTACACAAAATGGATGGTACTGCCAAGAAACGAGCAGGGCTGCCCATTGGCATGAACTCATGCCAGGTTAACTGACAGACTTCCTGCCCCAATCAGGGCACGCCAATTAGGGCACGCCATGTAGACAGGGCAACTGAATTTCAGCATGGTTCTAATGCATAAAACACAGCGTTTGCATTGTGCTAAACGAGGGTCAGTTCCCTGGTGTCCCAAGATATGGGACACTAGGGAACAAAATGTGGACCTGCTGAGACAGTTGAGGGACATGCATTGCATTACTATCTAATTGTAAGACAAATTACAGTTGTGCTTTACATTTTTATTTCTACATAGTGGCACCAGTTGTTCTTTTTATTTATTTTTTGTTCACTAGTGCCTTTAATTATAGGAAATAATTTTAGATTTAGGTTCCTATGCACGTTTGCACCCTGCAACAAATTTACATGTTTTAGAACTGCTTCCTTCTTTCAACAACACTTTCTTTGTAGCTCATAACAAATTGGTAGAAGAACCCATTTCTGAATAGTCCAGCCATATTATTCCAAGCTTTGCAAAAATAGATCACAAAAAAAAAACATTTATTTTTATGAATATGAAAATAGTAAAAACATTTAAAAAAAAAAGTATTTATTTTTTGCTTTAAATATAATTATGTCCGAAAATGTATTGAGCTTTAAATATAATTAAATATATTGATCTTATGTTTTCTTGATGTAATCAAGTAAAAAATCTCTAATTGCTGTGTGGATAGTTATACAGACATCTAAACCAGTTTCCTGCAAAGCCTTTATTCCAAAGTTCCACTGGAAGTCACGCCTATCGAGCTGCTGATTGGCTATAAGAGCAGGCAGGGTTGTGACAGTGAATGTCATGGCTTCTGTTACTAAATGATTACCTTTAGAGCTAGTTAAAGCCCACAGACCTTTACACCTGGGTAGAAGCAAGTAAAATATGGCTGCTACACGACGTCTGTCTCACTCAGTGGCCGTGATCACAATCAACCACCCTCCTGTCAATGCATTAAGGTAACCAGTGGGATCACTCACATTGCCCCTTCAATGGTTGCTACATTCTGTTTCCTGATACTGGCAGCATAAACTTTTATGCATGGGAAAATTGTCTGATCAGCTGTATATCCTGATTACTAAATAATATAAATGTGCAAAGTAATCCCTGTTTTCATTTCACAGTTATTAACAGATTGCCTGATTTCTTGTTTTATTGACAGATTTTCTTGTAATGCAAATTGCCTATTATGAGTATTGTAGGAAAGCAGATGAAATTAATATTAATAAGGGATAGAGTGTGGTCACGGCAGTGCCATAATTACAAAAATAATTTACAATTTATGCAAAACTGCCGTGGTTCAATCAGTACTAGAATTCTACCTCAAAACAGTAGAAAAAGCACAATGTGCAAACTAGTTAATATGGGCCACTTGTGAAACCCTTAAAATTTTACATCTGGCCCCATAACAACTTCATCAAAATGGCGCTTCCTTACCATTAGGGGCTAAACCAATTATGAACGGTTTAACCCCAATGTCTGTGCTCTATCATCGTATTGTTCTACCTACCTGTCATTTTGCTCTCTGGATTTCTTCAGAAAGCAAGGATCTGGCAGGGGCGCTGCTTATTGCCTACCAGCGGTCAGCTGGTACTTCAGATTTTGTTGCCTATATCTCCTATAATGCTTTTACAGCCATAATGCTGGTAAAGCATCAGTGAAGATGTAGTCCACAAAGTCTGAAGTGCCGGTGGTTGCCTACTCTATGCCCATTAGTAGCTCCCCAGTCATAAAAAAAAAAGTATATTTTGTTCCTTTTTGATTTCAGGTATGTAGTGATGACACTTGTAGCTCTGGTGTTCCCGCTTCCTTTGGGCATCACCAGTGGCGCATTTCGTGTCACTGACCCCTCTACCACACCCGCCCCTGTCCCTCTTGATGGGATATCTGTATGTGCAGCATTTAAAAATAAAAAAGCAGAATTGGTCAGGGTGTCTGGAGTAACCCTTCAACTAACCTTCAAATTGTGTGTGTTTTTTACTGTTTTCGTGATATTAATATTAAACTGAGTTAACAGCCCCCCCAGCAGATTGTGAAAAATTATCAACTCTTTCACAATCTTCTGGGGGGGCCGTTAACAAATTAAAACTTAAAATCCATACAAACCACTTGGATATTTGCCAAGCATTGTGGCACTGGTATTCCTGGTGTGAAAATGTTTATTTATTTTTTTATTTTATTTTTTTAGTCATTTGACGCCGAACAGGATTTTAATGTTTAATTAACTAATCATGTTTTCTCCTAGCATCAAATTATGCAGTTTTGCTAAGAAAAACATACGGTGCTAGTGTTGAGATCACTTGTAAACCAAAAACTGAATTGTAATGTTTAGGTAAATAATGTCAATTTGCAAACATTCTCCAAATATGCTCCAAGTAGGGATCGACCGATTATCAGGTTTACCGATATTATCGGCCGATATTCGGTATTTTCGGCCAATATAGATACCGATATTGACGATAATACCTCCTAGGACCGCCGGGCCCATTACAAGCCCGGCGGTCCTGGGGGGGGCGCAGGAAGCTGTTACTTACCTTCCCAAAGCTCCCTTCAGCTCCCTGTGTAAATCTTGCGAGTCCCGCAGCCACAGAGCGTTGCCACTGGTTACCATGGCAACGCTCCGCGCGGCACTAAGGGCCGCAGGATTTACAGAGGGAGCTGAAGGGAGCTGCTGGGAAGGCAAGTAACAGCTTCCTGTGGGCCCCCACAATACTTAACAAGCCATCCCCCATTTTACACAAATTACATCTCTATACACACACTGCATTTTATTTATATATATATATATATATATATATATATATATATATATATATATATATATATACACACACACACTGCATTATGTTCACACTACACAAACACTCTGCATTCACTATGCACACTACAAAAACTCTCTGCAATCGCTATACACACACACACTCTGCATTCACTATATATGCACAAATACTCACTGCATTCACTATACACACTACACAAACACACACTCTGCATTCACTATACACACTACACAAACACACACTCTGCATTCACTATATATATATATATACACACTACACAAATACACTCACTGCAATCGCTATACACACTACACAAACACACACACTCTGCATTCACTATATATATATCCTACACAAACACACTCTGCATTCACTATATATACATCCTACACAAACACACTCTGCATTCACTATATATACATCCTACACAAACACACTCTGCATTCATTATATACACACTACACAAATACACACTGCATCCACTACACACACATTACACAAACACACAGCTCCCCTGTCTAAACACACTTCATCCACTACATGTGGCATGTATATTTTGTGCATTTACCTTTAGAATTAATTTATTTTTTCAAAATGTTAATGTACAGAATATCGGCAAGTTATCGGCTATTGGCCTGAAAGTTCACAGATTATCGGTATCTGCTCTAAAAAATAAATATCGGTCGATCCCCAGCTCCAAGTTTGCTAAAGGTTTTTTTTTTACCATAAAATGCTAATTTCACTACAATTCCGTGTTTAGTGAGTAAACTTCAGAGGTGTCGTTTTTTTCGAAAGGCTTAAAGGTCTATGCTAACAATTGACATTTAACATGTATGACCATATCCCTTTTACGTTTATTAAAATACCGTAAGTATAAATACCATATATACCAATATGTCTTTATCTAGCAGGGTAAATACTTTTATCTGAATGAAGATAAAACTGCTTAGTCCAGCCTCAGGCAATAATCTCAGCCAGCATTTCCAAGCAAAGTGCGTGCTCCCCACTGAGTGTCAAGTAATTGGCAGAACTCTTGTGGAGAAACACCAGGGATCTGACAATGTTCCTTTATATTTGTTGCCACAGATACATTTACCACATACAATGTGCTGGACTGCTCGATATGTTGAAGGCAGCCATACTCTGGCTATTATACATTTTTAGTCATGACTTTATGAACTGGGCTGTGTGCAGTCACCTGGCCACATGCCACCCAGCCATGCATATCTTGTGGCCATTCTTTGTGTTCTCTCATGAGCTGGAGAGAGAAGGTGAAAGATGTCCTCTTTGTACTCACAACATATGGATTCTCCATGGTGGTATTACCGGTGTCATCACCAATAATATCACTAGGTCTAATTCTCTATAAATGCTGTGTACACCTAACCTATTCCTAAGGAGAACTCTACTTATGACCTCCAATGATGTAGGTGAGGTCCAGGTGTCAAACAGTAGATGGTTCTTAACTGTGCCCATTGGAGTGGCCTTGTGGTGCTAATGCTTCACAAAGGAATTACGTCTGTTTGGAACTATAAGTAACATGCATTACAGAGTAACTCTGTAATTGACACAGAGTTAAGTCTTAATTGTGAAGTGGAGCTCTTGTATACAAACCGTGTACTGTGGGACACACAAAAAATTCAACTTATCTGCAAAAAATATTTATTGTGTATTCACAGTTTTAAACAGTAAAACTGTGTGTGTGTGTGTGTGTGTGTGTATATGTATATATGTGTGTGTGTGTGTATATATATATATATATATATATATATATATATATATATATATATATATATATATATATATAAACCTGGATGTGACGAATCGGCACATAACATAGAAGTAATTACACAAACTGGAGGCTTGAAGCGCAGGGCATCTCCGTTGCCATGGAGATTGCCCGCGAAAAATTGGAGCCAAAACACCTGATTCTTCAAGCAAGTACGGTATTTAAAGCAGGAAACAAGTCCACAGAACTTACAAAGAATCATTCCAGCTGAGGAAGCCTTTGGCAAAACGCGTCCTGGAGCAACAGTGAGCAAACAGATTTTTGGACTGTATGCCGAATAAGTGATTAATTTGAAAATTATTTTGAAAGTTTTTATACTGTTATTAAATTATTTTTTTTAGCAATAAAATATATATTTTTATATCACTTACGGCACCATATACATTTTTTCCTGCTTATACAAAGAAGGAATGTGGTCCTTAAACCACATATGCGAACTGAAGTGAGCCCTCATTGGCTCTGGGTTTGTGAGTACACATTCACTTTCTAATAATATATTTATTACCAAAACGATATATCACACTATATACCTTCCCTCTACATCCATTATCTAGGATACTACCTTGTGGACAATTTGGATATAAAGGAGGGAGAGGGTCGCCTTAACGGACCCTAAGGCGCAAGAACTTGAGCTAAGTGTTTTTTAGCTCATGGAAGTGTAAGTTGGCATTTGATTTTCATATATATCACCTTTTATTATACAGTTTGCTCTGTTATGTGTGTGTGTGTGTGTGTGTGTGTGTATATATATATATGTGTGTGTGTGTGTGTATATATATATATATATATATATATATATATATATTCTCTATCTCTCCATCCTAGTGTAGCTTAACCCCTTAAGGACACACGACATGTGTGACATGTCATGATTACCTTTTATTCCAGAAGTTTGGTCCTTAAGAGGTTAAAGAGTGATGAAACTCAGTAAGCTGGATAAAAAGGCAGATTGATGAAACTGAGTGAACCGTGTGCATTTGCTTTTAATAAAGCTGACTTTTTTTACTTTGTCAAGTTGGTGATTTGTATGGAGAATCCGGATACCCATAGAGTCGGTGTTGACCAACCCACACGCTGCAAGCTATTTGAACCATGCAATGTAGGCTCTGATCTATGAGTTATTTAGTTATTTTATATGGTCAATTAATTTGATGTGCAATATTACACTATGAGAATATTCTCTTTCGTTGGATTGTGATACGCTCCATTGAAGAATAACTTTGGATAATACACCTAATATTGAGGGGAATGACCGCGGAAATGGCTGTTACAGTTAGAGCCAATTTATTACCTCGAATAAATGTGAGTGGTTTTATTTAAAAAATATATATGTAAATGCTACACTATGATGGATATACAGCAAAGAAATATAAATTCACCTGTGTGCAGATAGAAAACACACTTAGTGGGTATTAAGTGAAAAAACACATAAATTACCCTTAATTAATTGTATTGTAGATGAAAGGATTCCTCTTATATCCTCAAGACAATAATAACAAAGTGCCAAAAAAATGGCTATCTACAATACAAAAACAATAAAGACGGACATAGCGCAATAATGTTGCAAAATAGAAATTATAAATATAACTTGTTGCACTCACAAAAGCAGTTTGATTGAAGGCACATCAGATACAATGATGTATGAACCTCAGGACTTGTGGAACATCAATATCATGCATAGGAGGAAAAAAAATATATAATAGTGCAGAGTATCCAAGTAAAAAATGACACACTTTATTAATAGATACACTTACAAAATAGAAGTGGCAAATAGGCACATCAAGCTCTGATGGAAAAAACACACGAATCCCAGTCAGGGTCCAGTGGAGCAGGAAAGCCAAATAAACAATAAAATCAAGAATAAATAAATAAAAAATATATAAAATACTTTAAACAATAAAGGACATAAGCCCAATATATAGAATACTCTAAGCAGTAAAGGACATCAGCCCTACGCGTTTCGTTCAAAAATGAACTTCCTCAGGGGCATCTAACAGAATATTGTCCATAAGCATGCATACACTATGATGGTTGCATATATGTTTTATTTTTATCATTGCACTAGTGCTGATCCAATATCATCTGCTGCTGAAGAAAATCATTGATTTAAATGTTTTTTAAAGACTGCTATGTTTTTTTCTTATAATTAAGATACATGTGGCATTATTGGTATCATTTGTATTTCCTAATATTTACATAAAAGTTTTTTTTTTTTTTTATACTTATTTGCTAATTTGTATCATAAGATGCTCTCATGAGTAATAACAGTTCACCTGGATTGCGTTACTAACTCCCTATAAAATTAGGAGAACTTGTTCGTATGCAGGATAGTCTTGATAAAGTCCTAAATGGACAAAATGCGTAGACGTCTATTTTGTATACTGCCTATATATGCCAAAAGCACAACATTTTCTGGTGCACTCAGGACAGAGCATCACAAAACATTGTATGTTCTCATCAATTAATTGTCACGAAGACCATTGCATGCAGTGTTATTTATAATTTGGATATGATTTTAGTATACAGCGGATGTTCCAATTCAAGAGGAGTGATATCGACTCTCTCCGCTCCCAGTAAACCACAGGGGGTCTATTACGTCAACGTATCCGAAATTTGGAATCAGTGGGCTGTAAGACTGTTAAACCTGCCCTTAGACCGCGATCTATCACCTACATAATAACACAGCTTTTTAAATACAGACTAGTCTCTTTATTATATCATATAATCCTGTGACTAGACGTAATATTGTCCAGATTACCTTACTTTATTTTGTTTTATTATTTAATGTGGTGTATTTCATACTGTTTATTTTTTTTAAAATGCATACATGTTTTTTCCATGAATATAATGGTAATACCACCCCTCCATTATTTAGTTGGTTTTATGGGAATAAATAAGAAATCATTTTTGACGATAAGTATGAAAGTTTAGTGTGTAAAGTACACAGGTGGTATACCAGTACTCCACTTTATGCTTGTTTTATTAAAGGGACACTATAGGCACCAAAACCATTTTAGCTTCATAAAATATATGAAAATATATATATATATATATATATAATTATAGATAATGCCCCTGTACTCTCAATGTTCAGTTCTTACCATTTAGATGTTAAATCACTTTGTTTATACAACCCTAGTTACATCTCACTGCATATGACTTACACAACGTTCCTTGTATAAACTCTTAAAGATAGACGTAATGTTTAAACTTCCTTTATTGCACATTCAGATTAATTTTGAATTTATTTTTTTGCACTTTTAATAGCCTTCTAGATTCTGCAGGAGCCTCTTGTGTATGGTTAAAGTTCAATTTACAGAGCATGACATAAAAACTTCTTAAGTAAGTTAACATCTGACTGAAAAATTAAACCATTTTTTTTTTCATGCAGGTCGTATAGGTTAAAGCCAGGGGAGTTGTGACTAGAGCTACATAAACATAAACAAAAGTGATGTAACGCCTAAATGGCAGAGAATTGAGCGGTGAGACTGCAGGGGCGTAAACTATACACTCAAACTGTTTAAGCTAAAGTTATTTTGATGCATATAGTATCTTTTAAGTAATTTGGTTTTGAGAAGAGCACTATAAATGTGGTAGCAGCTATTTACTTAATGTTAATTTATTTTACTGTAGGAGTGGTATTTGTTATATACATGTAATAGTTAATTTGGATGATATAAGTGCTAGGGCACAATACATTTTTTATTTTTATTTTTTTATTTTTTTTTATTTACAGAGTTAAGTATGACTGTTATGTTACTGTAACGTCCATGGTTCTTTAACATTCATTTTTTTTTTTATTTTTTTTTTGTCTTAGTCACTCTCTCCGTCGCTCAATAGCGAAAGAATTTGGAGATGCCAGTAAGGATTCCTCAATAGAGGCTATTGTTCTCTGCGGGGCCAATGGCAATTTCTGTGCAGGTACAATTTATTCTTTATCCTCATTTCTTTCTACAATATTATGTTTTTGCATCGTAGCCACATGTCTCTGTTATTTTCCACAGGTGCAGATATCAAGGAGTTTGGCTCTTCAACTTTGGACTCTGTCTCTTTAAATAATATAAATGATGCCGTTGAACGATGCCAGAAGCCTGTGGTAGCTGCCATCGAAGGGGTGGCTCTTGGTGGTGGGCTGGAGCTAGCACTGTCTTGTCACTACCGTGTGGCAAATGTACAGGTATCCTCAAACCAAAACCCTGTTATTTGTAATATACACCATTCATTTAAAATATTTGTTCTAATGCTCATACATAAACATATAACTTTGGCAGATAGGCCCCGCCCCCATGAAGCTGTATTTAAAAAAAATAAAAATAAATAAATGTAAACAACTGTTCTGTTAGATGTAAATTTGTTCTAGCGTAGCATGTGCAGTACTTATTTTTACACTAGCACCCTTGGCTGAAACACCTGCAAATAGGTATGTTGAGCTTACAAATGCAATGGAACCCACTGCAGTAGGGTATGGAAGGTATTTAGTATGTAGATCTGATGAGTCTAGAATGGTGTGGTGAGACCTAGTCCTGGTGTGTACAGATTAATCCTGGGTAGTGGATGTGGTGTGTAAAGAAGAATCCTGGTTGGTGGATGTGATGTGTAAAGAGGAATCCTGGGTGGTGGATCTGGTGTGTAAAGAGGAATCCTGGGTGGTGGTGTAAAAAGGAATCCTGCGTGGTGGATCTGGTTGTAAAAAGGAATCTTGGGCGGTGGTTGATCTAGTATCTGAAGATCTTTGGTGGTCAGACCTTCCATGAACGTTTGTCTTTACCTATGCATCAGAAGATACATGTACAGTGAAAATGTTTCTATTAAGTAGATTTTACAGCTGTAAAATAGGATATATAAATTAGATGTTCAAAACACTACATTCTATAAAAGAACTCATGATTGTGATAATATAGGGCTACTGCTAAAACCCCTGGCCATGCTGTTAGATTCTTGTCCCAGCAAGACACATGTGTGTCTACCTTTCCCCTGATTTATCATACAATATTGAGCTGAACAGTTTTTACAGTCCAACCTTTATAGTCTATATAAAGAGTAATAAACAGAAGGCTACAGTTGTGGCAGATTCCAATTCAGGCTATAACTACCAACTAATTTTTGGTACAGTTTATTAAATCAGATTTAAAAAAAACAAAACATTTTATCTGTTGCTTTTTTTTAGTGCCCTAACCATAATTTTTGGTTCTCTTTATACCCACTTTAAGATACCTTCTGTGATGAAATATGAGTAAAAATAAATAGAAAATGAGTGGAGCAGAGGCCTTCATTATGAAAGTAAACCAATTTTGAGGTTTATAGTAGTCTCGTCAAGAATAGGAAACCTTGTGAGGGTCATAACTAAGGATTGTTAAAAAAGCAAATGAGATACACTGTGGTATACTCACATGTGTAGTTTCAATTGACAACAAAAAATTTAGAATCTGTTCTTGTTACAGGCCCGTGTAGGTCTACCTGAGGTACTTATCGGCATTCTTCCAGCAGCTGGAGGTACCCAGCGCCTGCCTCGATTAATAGGTATTCCTGCTGCTTTGGATATGATCGTTCGAGGTATGTACTAAGTTTGAAATCGTTCGATTTGGTGACCAGCTTATTCCGAAGAACAAAGCTTTGAACATGTAGTATTTTTTTTTTTTTTTTTAAATTATGTATAGGAATTGCTTACAAAAATACATTTTGTTATTGCTACAATGTAGAGAGACAATGTATGGATTATTCTTTATATACAGGGAGTGCAGAATTATTAGGCAAGTTGTATTTTTGAGGATTAATTTTATTATTGAACAACAACCATGTTCTCAATGAACCCAAAAAACTCAGTAATATCAAAGCTGAATATTTTTGGAAGTAGTTTTTAGTTTGTTTTTAGTTTTAGCTATGTTAGGGGGATATCTGTGTGTGCAGGTGACTATTACTGTGCATAATTATTAGGCAACTTAACAAAAAACAAATATATACCCATTTCAATTATTTATTATTGCCAGTGAAACCAATATAACATCTCAACATTCACAAATATACATTTCTGACATTCAAAACAAAACAAAAACAAATCAGTGACCAATATAGCCACCTTTCTTTGCAAGGACACTCAAAAGCCTGCCATCCATGGATTCTGTCAGTGTTTTGATCTGTTCACCATCAACATTGCGTGCAGCAGCAACCACAGCCTCCCAGACACTGTTCAGAGTGGTGTACTGTTTTCCCTCCTTGTAAATCTCACATTTGATGATGGACCACAGGTTCTCAATGGGGTTAAGATCAGGTGAACAAGGAGGCCATGTCATTAGATTTTCTTCTTTTATACCCTTTCTTGCCAGCCACGCTGTGGAGTACTTGGACGCGTGTGATGGAGCATTGTCCTGCATGAAAATCATGTTTTCTTGAAGGATGCAGACTTCTTCCTGTACCACTGCTTGAAGAAGGTGTCTTCCAGGAACTGGCAGTAGGACTGGGAGTTGAGCTTGACTCGATCCTCAACCCGAAAAGGCCCCACAAGCTCATCTTTGATGATACCAGCCCAAACCAGTACTCCACCTCCACCTTGCTGGCGTCTGAGTCGGACTGGAGCTCTCTGCCCTTTACCAATCCAGCCACGGGCCCATCCATCTGGCCCATCAAGACTCACTCATTTCATCAGTCCATAAAACCTTAGAAAAATCAGTCTTGAGATATTTCTTGGCCCAGTCTTGGCGTTTCAGCTTGTGTGTCTTGTTCAGTGGTGGTCGTCTTTCAGCCTTTCTTACCTTAGCCATGTCTCTGAGTATTGCACACCTTGTGCTTTTGGGCACTCCAGTGATGTTGCAGCTCTGAAATATGGCCAAACTGGTGGCAAGTGGCATCGTGGCAGCTGCACGCTTGACTTTTCTCAGTTCATGGGCAGTTATTTTGCGCCTTGGTTTTTCCACACGCTTCTTGCGACCCTATTGACTATTTTGAATGAAACGCTTGATTGTTCGATGATCACGCTTCAGAAGCTTTGCAATTTTAAGAGTGCTGCATCCCTCTGCAAGATATCTCACTATTTTTGACTTTTCTGAGCCTGTCAAGTCCTTCTTTTGACCCATTTTGCCAAAGGAAAGGAAGTTGCCTAATAATTATACACACCTGATATAGGGTGTTGATGTCATTAGACCACACCCCTTCTCATTACAGAGATGCACATAACCTAATATGCTTAATTGGTAGTAGGCTTTCGAGCCTATACAGCTTGGAGTAAGACAACATGCATAAAGAGGATGATGTGGTCAAAATACTCATTTGCCTAATAATTCTGCACTCCCTGTAGAAAGAAGCTCTGTATTGGTCAGAAAGCTGAATTCCCAACCAGCTTTAAAATATAATCTATAACCAATAATGTACAAGCAGGAGGCCAGAAAAGTGAATACAAATCTGCTTCTTTTTTATTTTTATTAAAAAATTGTGTCATTTGTGTTTTCAACAATTAATTTCTTCACTGCCTTAATAATTGTATGTTTGTGTGTTTTTTGACATACAAGACTTACTGTTTGCATCTGTTTTGCCTTGTATGAGACTATGCCATTCATAAGAGCTGATGGGAAACAACAAGATGAAGTTTATCAGTATACCATGTGTTCCCTTTTCTGAAGGCATAATTAAGATAACATAGTTTCTACTTTCTTCTTTTGATTGCGTTCTAATACCAATAAAATGTCAATGCAGTATGTACACCATGTTAAATCTGTAAATGTACATGTGTATAGACTGGGAGGGTGAGTGTGTTTTACATTTATCTCAAGACCAACATGGGTGGCATGTTCAGCACTCTAGAGCAGTGTTCTGCAACATTTTAGCACCTGAGGCCCGTCGAAAAGAGGAGAAATACTTTGCAGACCGACGTCAACCATAAATATAAACCAATGTTGTGTATGAGGGGTGCAGTTTGTGTTTGTGTGTGTGTGGGGGGGGGCAGTGTGTGTGTGTGTGTCTGTGTATGGGGGCAGTGTGTGGGCGTTTAGGGGAGAATGATTGTGGGGTTGGAGGGTAGATTAAAAATGTGTATATATTGTTTTAATTAAAAATAAATAAATTATAAAATAATTTTGATATCCCTCCTCCCTGCTTACCTTTGCCTGGGAGGGGGAACAGTACAAATCCCTGGTGGTCTGTGGGGAAGCCTTGGTGGTCCAGGTGGCAAGAGTGAACTCTAGCAGCCCCAGGACCTGATAGAGTTCACTCCCAGGAGATTGGAGTGTTGCCGTGGTAACGGCGGCAACGTTCCGAGCTCGTGAGAGGAGAACCCAGCAGAGCTGTAGGTTAGAGCTCCCCCGGGTCCTCCCCTGCCAGCATTTCAGTGCTAGCGGGCCGGAAGGGAAGATCTCTGATCTCCCCTCCAGTCCTGCAGAGCCGGCAGGGGGGAGGGATGCATGGTTCCCGGTGCTATGATCATAAGGTCATGGCACCGGGGAAATATGTTGCAGCAATTTATTGCCGGTCTGCAAAAGCTTTCACCCGATGTATAGGGTAAAAGCTTTCGCTGACTGGCAAATTCTTGCGGACAAGTGATTGAAAACCACTGCTCTAGAGTATATAGATAATTCCAATGTACTCACAAGAAGTGTAAGTTATTTTGTGATGAATTACAAATCACATAAAGATCAGTGATTCACTATAATGTGTGGTGGGTAAATGGGGTTAGTAGTGTGAAAGCTGGACATAACCATTTTTATAGTATAGAAGAACATGAATATTTGATGAGAAAAATAACTATAGGCCTTAGAATTGTCCTCTCTTAAAGGAATTATCCCGGCTGACTCCAGTTCCCATAACAACTTCATCTCAATGGCCCTGGGGGGACAACTTTAAGGTCAAAGCATTTGAATGCAGTTTAGCAGTTTTACCCAAAACGTATGAGTATATACACGCTCACCTGCCACCATAACTGTCCCTGCCAGTGTGATCATATCAGTGCTTTGATAATCAGTGTATTCTTACATAATAGACCTTCCTGGTTAAAAAATAAATGTGTAGGTCGGGGTTTTACCTGCAATATGCATTTGATATAAGAACTCCATATCTCCATAACTGCTTGCTATAATTTTACACTTCCACGTGTTTTTCATTTGGGTTCATACGTGTGATTTTTATCTGCAGGGAGACATGTTCCTGCGACTGAAGCCCTGCAGCTGGGAGTTGTGGATGAAGTGGTAAAAGCCAACACCATCGATGCAGCCATACAGTTGGCCAGGAAAGTTCTAGGTGAGAAATACAATCATCACTAGTGTTTCTATACTGAGAACTAATGAGGATTAACCCTTGAATTCAGATATTGAGAACTAATGAGGATTGTAATCCCCTAAAGATAGGAGGAAAAACCAGCCCCACAGGGAGCACCTCTAGTTAAAATACAATATAGGGTAATAAACTTTATTGAGAAAAGCACATACTATACAAAAAAGGTGCTCATGCGGCCTGATTTTTTTTCCTCCTATCCTTAGGGGATTATAATCCTCAATAGTTCTCAATATCTAAATTCAAGGGATAAGCCCTATCTGCCTCTGTAACCCTTTCCAAAACACTCAGGATAGGTTTCTCTCCTATTCATTTGTAGTTTTTCTTTAGTGTTTCTATAAATTTGTGTTAATGCGGTTTGTTTTTATCAAGGTTTTAATAGTTACACAATAATCTTTGTTATACTGTGACAGACAATTCAAAGGTCAAAGTGCAGTAATGTTTATGCTCCCTTGTGTGACTTCTGCTCTAGAATCCAAACACACAGCACACAAAAAGGTTTACACGCCACAACATGACTTTTGTTCTATAACTGGGGTAGGCAACCTTTGGCACTGCAGATGCGGTGGATGAAATGTCAGCTGATGCTTTGCTAGCATTATGGCTGTCAGAGCATTATGGGAGAGGTGGGCCACAACATCTGGAGTGCTGAATGTTGCCTACCTGTTTAGCTTAGATGTCCTGTAATTTACCAAATCTAACTTTAGTTCAGTGGTTCAGAATCAAAATATGTACATGTTATTAGCATGGATAGTTTAAAAATTGACTCAGTGACCCATTCTTCAAATCTAATATAGTTAATGGGACACTATAGTCACCACAACAGCTACATCTAATGTAGTTAAAGGGACTGACTGCACTCACCAGAACAGCTACATTAGCAGTTCTGGTTTGTATATTCAGCCCCTGCAGTCATTTTAAAATAAATACTGCCTTTTCCGAGAAAACGCAGTGTGTACATTACAGCCTAGCAACATCTCCAGTGGCCACTCCTCAGGCGGCCACTAGAGGTGCTTCCTGGCTCAGTGCTGCACAGTATGCAGCACTGCCATTCAGCATCTCCACGCTCTGCATGGAGACGCTGACCATTTCTCATAGAAATGCATTGATTCAATGCATCTCTATGAGAAGATACTATGAGGAGATACTGTTTGGCCACTGTGGCATTTGGCTCTGCCCCCTGACCCGTCTCCTTGACTGAGTGCTTCAGAATTGAGACACTCTCAGCCAATCCAGTTCTTTTTTATAAGGGGAAGCCTTGTGATTAGCTGAAATCATCAATTCTGATTATGTCAACCAAAGAGGTGGATCAGGGTGGGGCCAGACGCAAGGATCTCCGACCGGCACTGGAAAAAGGTTAGTAAATCGCCTTTCTCACCAAACGTAAGAGGGGACAAACCACCTAAACAGTGGTTTTAGAACTAGTGTCAGGAATACATGTTACACCATAGTACCCCTTTAACATTAAAATAAATGTTAAAATTACTCAAAACGAAGAGGAAATTGAAAATATATTTCCTAGGTTAACAAAATTGGGAATATGGGAAGGCACAGATCTGATAAGGACACTGGAGAAACAATAAAATAAACTAGAATAAAATAGAATAAAATATATCCACTACAACCAGTAATCAGAAAGCACCCACCCAGAGCTAGAAAATGCAAATAAAAACACAAGCTTAAAAACTCATGTAACAACCAGGAGTGGTTATGTATAAAAATGGAAATACGTTAATGAGAATAAAAACCAGAGAAGTAAAAAAGGGGATCAGTCCACTAAACAATGGGTTATGTCCAATTGGTTCAATATCCCAAATGGGTACAGTTCTTATAGGATGTAAGTCAAAGTTCAAGTATGTAAAATGCAGCAATAAATTGATAAAACAAGTCAATGTAGTCCTATCCACAATGTATCGAAATGCATCAGCTCGAAATATAGTATTAAACTATAATTCCAAATGTAAAAATAAGTTGATACATATGTTGCAAGTAAATGATGAAATACTTTGAATGAAAAAGGTAATCAGTATCCAATAGATCTATAATGACAAAAACTGGGCCATAGTGCTCTCTGTTTAACTTTATTGTAGATAAAATATAAATTAAAATTCACTCATAAAAGGTGCAGGACAGCGTAGTATGTGTATCGAAGTCCATCTCCTATCAGCCGCGGCCCCACTCTTTGCTCCCTCCTAATAGACGGCTTGAAGGAAGATCAGGGAGTATGACAGCTGGAAGACCAGTCTCCGTTTGCTGGCGTGTGTTCCACTGCTGATCCTGCATTCCACTGTGCTGTTCTGTTCGGTGAGGTAGATGTAGCCTTACGCATTTCGTGATCTCATGATCACTTCATTAAAATAAATGTATTGCAAGTAATTGTAAAACTTGATTAATAATCTTTTTTTGTATGGCAAAAATAAATAAAAATGTAACTTAAAAATAAATGTAGCAAAACTCCAAATTAGACTCTTCCTGGTATCACAGTAGAGGGGCATTGCTATGGTAAGCCCTTTCATTATAAGTCCCCTTTAATACTGAAAAAGAAATAAATCACATATTTTTTTTTTTTTTATAATTCTTTATTTTTCAGTGCAAATTTAATAATACAGACATTGTATGAATATGCCACAACAGCACTTGCATATGGCAGTAGTCTGGGCTTCCTGCAGTTGGAGCTAAGAGGGTCTGTGCACTTTTGTATTATGTAGGACTGGGTAGTCGTAACGAGTCGGTCGTCCGTACCAGTGGGGATTGTGATGGTGTTGGCTAGTGTTATTGGTAGAATTTACCAATATAGTTATGGCACTGGAACAGGTTTTGCGCTAGTAAGCCTCCTGGTCCTTTGTGGCCGTGTGGTGTGTATAGAGTTGGAGCTTAAAATAAGGACTTGGGGTTTGAGTGCCGTCTATGTGTGGATGAGTCGGATTTCAGAGTATAGGTAACCGTGCCGTCGTGGGGCTGAGCTCCAAGAGACTGTGGAGAGAGACTATGTGTTTTGAGTAGGTCATATCACTCTAGTGAGTATGTGCTCCATTGATTGCTATGCCCCTTGACCCCGAGGCATTAGGGGGGGGGTCAGTGTGTTGCTTTGCCGCCTTTAGGCTACAGGGTTATGAAACCCTTTCCAGTGGAGGAGAGGAGTGCCTAGTGAAAGGTAGATTATTCATAACTTGGTATAGTGAGTGAAACATGAATCTTTAGCAGTAAGAGAAAAATAAATGAAATAAAAAAGAAGAAAAAAAAAAACACTTTTAGGTAACAATAACAGAAGAGAGTTTGTTGCGTGTTCAGTCCAGGTTTTATGTCACGGGTCCCGGGTGCAGAGTGTTCGCTCCTATGGCGTTGTTGGAGAGCCCCAGTGTGGTCAGCAAGGCCGGTCCTTCTTCCGCATTGGTGATCTTGTAGTGTTGGTCGCCTTTCGTCACCCACAGCGTTCTGGGGGTTGCCCATCTGTAGACGAGGCCCGCTGCTTGCAGGGTGGTGGTCACAGGCTGCATGCTCTTGCGCCATGTTAATGTGTCCCTGCTCAGGTCCTGGAAGAAGGTGATTTGCTGTGTTTCGAAATCGTAGGGTGCCTTCCCTTTTATGGAGGTTATTAGGACTATTTTGTCCGTCAGGGTTTGGCATCGTAAAATTACGTCGCGTGGGGCTGTCTTGGGTGCCCGTTGCGGTTTGGCTATGCGGTATACTCCATCAAATAGAAAATGTTTTGCTTGTCTGTTGGGGATGAGTGAGGCCACCAGGCGTCTGATAAAGTGGGGTAGTTCCTCCAGTGGCACGGATTCCGATATCCCCCTGATCTTAATATTTTTCCTCCTCCCCCGGTCGTCTAGGATGTTTACTTGCCTGGTCATGTTAGCCTGTGCTGTTTGTAGCTGGGCGACTGTGTCTGTTAGTGAGTTTAGGTCTTGGCGCAGGTCTTTCACTTCTTGTTCTGTGGCCTGGGTTCGGGCCGACACCGCCTGCACCTCTGCTGCTAGCCCCTTTAAGTCTGCTTGCCACATTAGTTGTAGGTTACCTTGGAGCCCCTCCAGCATGGCCTGGATGTCCTGTTTTGTTGCTGGGGCTTGTCCATTGGTATCTTGTATTTGTATATTGCCTGTGTTGGCTGCTGCTGTGCTGCGATCTGAGTCTCCATCTTCAGACCTCTCAGGTGAGGCTGCCATGTTAGCCCTGGTCTGTGCGGGTGGAGGGTTCTGCAGCATGCTGCTTATGTCCCGGTGTGGCGTGTGAGCGCTTGTGGCTGGTTTGTGGGACCTCCGTCCCATATCTGCCGATGTGTGGGAGTCTGCTTCTGTGAGCTGCGAGCTCCGGTCAAGCCACGCTGTCAGCTCCCTGGTGAGGTACTGGTCGCGTGTGCGGTAGGCCCCCGGTACCTTGATGCGGCTTTTCGTGCCCGACTTTTGAAAGAAAGGCATCTGCGGGTTAAGCGAGGTGTTAGGAGGTTGTGTTAGTCGCCTGTTGTAGTCTATGAGCTGCGGGTTTGTTGTTATTTTCAGTTTTTCGCGCTGGCTGTGCGGAGCTCTTGCGAATGGCGTCTGCTTCTTTGAGCCGTTGGCTCCGCCCCCCTAAATCACATATTTTATGACACTGCCGCTTTAATGCAAAGTACAGTATTTGGAGATAATGATCCAGCACATTGTGGGCAGGTGTAATGCTGAAAATATTGGGTTAGTGCATCATGGTGAGAGGTTAAAGTGAAACTATAGTGCCAGGAAAACAAACTCGTTTTCCTGGCACTGTAGCTTCCCCCTCTGTCATATCCCCTCCCCCCACCCATAGTGCAGAATGGATTAATAACCCCTTCTGTCACTTACCTGGGTCGAGTGCAGATTTCGCTGGGTGCTGGCTCAGCTCCGCCCACGCTCCTCCCCCGCCGACATCAGCCGCACTCACATTAGTATTTTTCCCATAGGAAAGCATTATTCAGTGCTTTGCTATGGGTATTCCGATGACACTGGAAGTCAGGGGCGTTTTAGCCGCGAGGCAA